TTTGATCGAGAATCACTCACAGCATTGATCAATGCGCGGCCAGGCCATGGCGTGTGCGTACTCGATTTAGTTTATGCCAGAGGGCTTGGCGCATGTGCAAGTCTACAGAGAGTGGAATATAGCATCCCCGCCTATACAGAGCCCCCGCAGGACTCCCAAATAAACTATATGTTTCCTGGCATCACCCATCCCCATGTGCTCAGGTATTGACAGATGACGTTACCTATGTGACATTCGAGGCGCATCCCGACGCCAGGAGGCCCATGTGATGCGCTGGACATATGTTGTATTGGGTTGGCCGTCCCATCATTAGGCCGGCACCAGTGTTGGCAAACACAGCTTCTGCTAGTAGCACACATCAGCTAGACAAGCCGGAGCTCCGACTTCGAGTGTGCCAATCAAGTCCCTGTGAGGCCATGGTTGTTGGAGAAATCATTCTGGAAGGTTGCGGCGTTCCTGATCCCAGCATTACAGCCTGCGCCTGAAGTGCTGCTATTGAGCTGCAAATTGGTTGCATTTTCCGAGGTTTGACCTAGGAGATGTGCCCTCAAAGATTCACGCGAGGTCCGCCTGATCCTGGATAGGTGGGTTTAACCGTAGTCCTCAGAAACATTGCTTGTGGGCCCCATTTAGCGACACCCAATTTCATAATGACCTTTGACAGTCTTGACGAGACGAGATAGGTCAGATAGGTGTTGGGTCTGCGTGTGTCTGGCGTCATCGTGCCGTGCCTCGGAAGGGGACCCTTCCCATGCGGGCATGCAAACACACTAGGCAAATTCATCGGGGTTTGGGGGTATGGGGGTCAGGGTTGCAGAGTGTGATGAAAATCAATATGTGAGTGCTCAACTTTGGATGCTTTGTTTTGCTGCAAGAGACGGCCTTGAGCGTTGCGCTTGCATGTTGGGCTCTAAATGTGCCCGTGCTCGTGGCGAGACTTCAGAATCGTTTATGCCGCCTTTATCAGTTGTCCTGATTCTATTCATCCGTCCCTCGATGCCTCGCTTGGTCTATTTTTAGTTTACAAGGATTTCGATGGGTGAGTCTGTCTTGCTTCGCACTGGGTTTGAGCTTTGCCGCCGGGAGTACTCCAGCGATCGCAGGATCAGTCAGTTTGTGTCGAGTTGTGAAGGGAGTGTCTTTGCGCCTGTCAAAGACCTAGCTGCAACTTCATCACATTTCAGCTCAGGGGAAATCCTCATCTTCCTGATGACTTTCGGCGGCTGGAGGAGGCTGTTGTCAAATCTGTCAAATGTGTCAACGCAGGGGTCCTGCCAGCAGGAAGCCTCCCTATGGTTCCCACGTGAGGTGCTGAGCTCCGGCTATCCCAAGTGTTGTTGAAGAAGGGGTCCCTTGCCAAGGCCGTTTCAATCTAACAGCGGTGCAGCAGTTCCTTCCCCCAGAGTCGGACGCTCAATGTCACGCACATGAAAGGCAATGGGACCAACGTAACATAGCATTTCAGAGAACTGAAAGGCGCTATGGTGTGGCCAGGATGATCCAGTCTTTCTTTCATCTCTCAAAGGCGGCCGGGAAAGGTGTGAGCATATGAAACATGCACTGGTTAGTTGACGGAAGTTTTCTGCGTCTTCCCGCTGGCAGGACCTTCAACAGAATGCACTGATTGAGCCAGATCAGCAAGGTGTCGTCTTGACCGCGACAAAGTGGATGTCGGCTCAAACACTAAGTGGCTTGCAGTGTTTGCAGCTGCGAATCATCGCAGGCAGAGCTGCCGGTGGTGTCATCCGATGTGCAGCAGCTGGGCTTCATGTGGGCAGCGCAAGGGGAACTATGGCCCTAACGCACCCCCCCCCCCCCCCCCCCCCCCCCCCACGTCCCTGCACCCATCTCAAAACTTCCCATTCCCATGCTTGGAAGTGTTTGGAAGACGTCATGCACTGAGGAACGCCAATTGTCCTTTGATGGCCGCGGGCTCTCTGCAGACTCCCGCGAGTTCACCCCGGGCAGAGCTGAGTAGCCTGACTCAGTTTTGTGGGGGCTTCAAGTTGGAGTTTTTCTTGTGTGTGTGTGTGTGCGCATGTGTGCAGTCAAGGGTACGTTGAATGAGCCTTCCTTGCAAACATCTGCAACAACAACCGAGAAACCTAAGTCCAGTCCTCAATGTTGGCATGTTTATGCTGCAAAAATACTTCTGACCACGCAACATAAATCGAGTTCTAGGTCCATACTTTTCGAACGCTGCTGAAAACTGATGCTTCAGTATCTATGATCCCAGCGCAAGCTAGGAAGACCATTTACGGCTCTAGGCCCCTACCATGTTTGAAAGCCCTGGGCGTCTCGGTTTCTGTGGACTTGGGCTCTAGTTTTTCGTAAACAATAATTATTGAGCTGTAAGGCCCGGAAAGCAGGGCGCAGGATTCAAGAGTGGTGGGCATCATGGTTCCGGGATTCCAAGGTGTACAGCAACGTTTACCAACCATTCAGAAGCTGACATGGCCCTGTCATGTCGATGTGCATGGCACCGCACGATGCGTCGAAGACATTGCGCTGCTGCACACGCAAATCCTTCTCAGCATGCTGTCTCTGACACACCCTGTTTTGGCTCTGGCTCTGGCTCTGGCTCTGTCTCTCTCTCTCTCTCTCTCTCTCTCTCTCTCTCTTGCTCTCTGTGTCTCCTGTCTCTCTTCTCTGTTTCTCCTTCTCGCTCGCATGATCACGAAAGTTCTCTGTTGCTGGGAGCACACGTGCATCTCTCTCCGCGAGCAAAGACATGCTCGTGCGAGAAGAGAATCAGATGAAGCAATCTGCTGCGCCCTCGCGCCACGTCGAATTTGAGACCTGCGTGCTCGAAACTTGTCGATGCGCACGATACAGCGAGATGCGTCGAAGATGTTGAGCCGCTGCTGCTGCTGTGTTGCTGCGGGAGCACATCTGGAATCTCTTTCTGTGTGTACATGCTGACTGCCACCTATGACTGATTGCCAGCTCTCACGCGAAACCCATGATGCCACAAAGTAGGGTGTTTCTGCCCAGGGCCTTTTCAACAACGAGCTTTGCGCTTGGCGAAAAATGTCGAGCGCGAAGACTACAGAGTGGGTGCTATGTTTTCTTGCATACCACTGCTATTGACCACTGCTGTCGGGGGGCTGTTGAGGGAACACTTTCAAGCTCAATTATGAAAATTGTATTCTTGTGCGTGTCCTTGCATCTTTGTCTGACGCGCCTTCTCTATCCCTAGATCGCTCTTCTGTCAGATTCTTTCCTAACCCATAGATGGTCTGTTGCCCCTGCTTCCACGAGACAAAAATCTGTTTCCTGCAGCACGGGCTTGCCCAGGTACTTGAGAGAACTGCCACACATTCTGCAAAACAATTTCCGAGATGTCTACGAACTGAGGGTTTGCATGTTAGAGCCTGCGCCATCCCATGCCGTTCCATCACCATTGTTGGTGGCCCTGTTAGATTGTTCCCAATCCCCAACAGCGCAGCTTCTGGGCTCTACAATGTGGAAAAGCAAAGGCACGGTGACCAAGTCTCAGGTGGGCTTCCGAGAGGTTACAGGATGTGTGCGCGTGACTGTAAAAGCAGCGGGAACCGGCGTCTGCAAAAAACATGAGAATATGTTATCTCGAAACCAGAGCGTGAACGCAGCAGTCTTCGCACATCACAACTCCAGCGAATACCAAGAAGGCTGAACGTTGGTCGGGAGGCACAGTTGCCAAGATTGTGCGGGATGAAGAAAAGGCCGGGTTGGAGGGTATTGTCTGGCTGGTTCCTGACCGTGCAGGCACCACCTCAGATGAGCAGCTGCGGGCGGGTGGGCAGAAGCCGCTTTGGTCAAGTTGATTTCAAGCATTCTGGTTGCGGGGAGCCAGGAAGGCTGGCTGGGCCTTAGAGGAAGCTCGCTGAAAGTTCTGTGCCTCAGAAGTTGGCACGCTGCGCCTGGCAGCGCAGCTGCGAACAGCTGCGAATTCGAAGATCGTACTCGGCTCCGACGCTGCTTTAAGCACGTGTCTTGCACGATGAGTATGTGTATAATCCCATCTAGAGGGGGACGTGTCGATGCCAAGCTGCAAAAATGAAGATGATCTGCTCTGCCGAAGATGGTTCGATCTGCATAGGAATCAGCTCGTTGCAAGCAAATAAGGTTCTGATGCTGAAAGTACGCCGCCATTGGCCACCGCTATTGCTGGATTGTGTAGTTTGGACTGGAGCTTGCGGGACCCTGGCACGGGTTGCAAGATCCTACATTTCAGCTTGTTCAAGACCCGCCAGCAGATAGCGACGCCAAACAAGAACGCTTGTGCAAGGCTAGGCCAGTTGATGGGCTGCATCCTGCGACCTCCGCAAAGCCTCTGCTGCGTGTCCGCGCTTGGCACATTGCATGGCAGCATCGACATGCTAAAGATGAAGCAAGCAAAGCCTCCTCAGAAGGCACCTCGCAGGGCCATGGTGAGAGGGCGGTGCACAAGTGTTTCAGATCGAGAGTTCGATTGAGGAAGGTCGGAGGCCCCGGATCCGTTCGGAGACTCCTAGGCCTGTCCATGGCATTGATCAGTGCACTAGTGAAAAGATTGGAATGGGTATGCAGCCTTCACAGCCTGACAGGCGGCGTTACTTTAGCCTTGAGAGAGCCGAAGAATCGTGTCGAATCGTGAGATACGTGTCATGGCCCTATGCGAACGCGTGAGGAGGGACACGGCATGCATCTCCACTTCGTGACTTTGCAGTGCCCAGGTCATTACACCGGAATCTTCTCATGCTTAGTAGAAAGTTCTTATTAGCTGCCGCCTCAGCGGAGTGCAGCAATTTTGAAATGATCCCCGTGCAAAGTTTCCATAGGAGAGAAAAGATGGCTGCACCTGCTTAAAGCAGTTGAGAAAAACACGGCTGCATTGCTCTGTCTGAATGACACATTCGCAAACACTGACTGAAGTGTTCCACAGTCCAGCATGAATCAATCTCTGCTGCTGCCTCCACAGTTCAGCAGGCTGTTCAGTCCTAGGGCTGTTCAGGTTTGTTCTGTCTTCGTAGGGTCCCATGAGCATGAACCGGCCTCGCGGGCGATGCCCGTCTTCAAAGGTGATTGTCAGCTCCTGTTCCGAGGCTTGTGGCTATTTTCGTTCAAAACCTGCACAGTTGCCGCAGAAGTCTCGAGTAGCAGCGCAAGCTAGGCTTCTGCATGGTGATCTGCAGGTGCAGAGGGTTGCTACAGTTTTAAGGCTGTCTCGCTGGTGCAGGTGCTCATGGATGCGCATCCCCTCCTTGCAAGTCAGGCCAGCATTTGGGAGAAGGCGAAGGTCGCAGCTAGAGGTTTTGATGTCTTTAGTTGCGGTCCATGTGCTGCGTGTGTTAGAAGGAGAACGGATGTGTGAGGCGGCTGAAGAGCTGGCAATCAAGGTTGCCGGGGGGCACTTGATGGAGGACTGCTGTCGTTCTTCGGTCTTTGTCTTCCGGCTCTGTGCACCATCTGAGAGCGTTGTTGCGGTTCAACGATCCTCGAAGGCGCGAGGGACACTGTTTGCGGCAAAGGGTCAGTTCAAGGGGCGTGACTTAGTCAGGTCATTCTTGGGAGGGCTGCGCAGCCAGTGCTCTGACCCTTTCTGAACTCTTGCAACTTGAGTAACCTTCCGATCATCACCCGAAGGCTCCTGTCGCACAAGGTCCAAACCTTGCCTTAGCGTGCCAAATGACCACATTGCACCACATGGTACCACTTTCAAGCTGTTGGGTTGCACCAGTCACTACTGAGGGGGCGGCTTCACCAACAATGATGAACGCCATCACTTATTGAGGGGGCGGCTTTACCAACAGGGATCAACTCCATCACCTATTGAGGGGGCGGCATGTTAGCTAATGAGGCACGTGAGCAACAGCCATGGTCTAATGAGGGTGCAGGTTAAAGAATGTGATAAACCGCCATCGCCCAATGAGGGCGCAAGAGAAGTAGAAAAAACACCAGCCGCAAGAGAAGTAGAAAAAACACCAGCCGTTCTCGCCTCATGAGGCGGTGGGTTTAGGAAATGTATGATAAGCGGGTTCAAGAAAATGTTATTGCCTCACCTAGTGAGAGCCGAGTTTAAGAAGTACGAGATGTTTGGCAGGGCCGACCTCCAGCGCTCCATCTCTCAAGTGTTCGATCGCGCTAGCGCTAAGCACCGAAACTACGTATCCCAGCGCTCGTGCTAAAACTTGCATTCATGACTTTCCAAGCGATGCCCTTCCCAAACGGGGTAGCCAGGACGACCTTTTCTGGAAATGTTTGAGAGCCCACTTCTTCGAGAGCGACCTCACGCTCGCACTACAAATCATCGCCAAGGAACTTTTCCAGGAATTCAGATTGATTAATGCAGATCAGGCAGAATGGCCAGGCAGAGTTTGTACTTGTTGCTTTACACTTACCAAAGCCTATGCCAAGGCAAGCTGTGCCAGCGCAGATGTTGCTCCTGGAGGCATGTTCAGTCGGGAACCCTCAGGGGAAGGGCTATTCTTCAAACACAGTTCACCAAACTCCCAGCTCCCCGACATCCATTGATAAGACTGTGAGGCTGTCAGAACTATGCCAGAATCTAAAGGGTGTGTTCGGAAGAAAGTGCGTTGCGATGTCCGGCTTCGGATTCTGCTGTCCTCGATCCAGAAAACCCCAGGGCGATGTTGATTTCCTGCTCGGTTCCGAACCATTGCTAGTGACTGGGAGTACGGTGGTCCTGCCGAGCCAAGTGCTGCACCTTCTGTCGAATTGATTTGTTGTGCCGCGGGGGCACAGGGTCGACAGGCTTGGGAGCTTGGGCTGACGATGCAGATGGGGAAGTTATTAGGGGTTCCTTGTGGGGTAGCATCGGCGTGATAGGGGGAGCCAGTCTTTGGAAGCTGCTGTGCCGTGTCGGGAGTCTTGGGATTCTGTTTGGATTGCCCGATTGAACTCGTTTTTCGAGAAGTGATGCCGTGAATCCGACAATCTAAACCCCTGGGTCCTGCCCTATGTCGAGATGAGGTCAGTCCATTGAGGAAGCCGAGATTGATCGCCGCAATGTTGCCAGCTCAGGGCGTCTTTCTCAACCTCTTTAACTTGAGCCCTCATTGTTAGGTCAAGTGTGGGGCTGAGGACACGATGGAGGCATCAAGCTTTGATTTTGAGCCGTCTCTGGGGGTTGGTTTGGGGGATTGAAGCTTGCTTGCAGGAGGGATTGCCAGCTCTTCTGACGGTGCGTCAGCATCATGTGGAGGCAGCTAAGTTCGTTCTGCCATGCTCTTCTCTTCTTAGTTCCTTTGAGTCTTGGTTTGCTCTTCGTGTTTGTTGGCTCGCGCTCCTCTTTCTGCATTCGAGAAGCACGCAGACTAGAGAGCAAGACACCGGTACTGCCATACGTGTGCTCTTCCACTATCGGATCAAGCGTCAGGGTTGAGGGAATGAGTGCTGGTTAGACTTGCTTTTGCTCGTCGGCGTCTTGGTTGCTGAGCTTAGCAGCAGGTTTGCTTAGCAGCAGCTTTGGGAGGTACCTTCGAAAGTGCTGTGTGGAGCCAAGCAAAATGTTGCTTTTGTGCGACATCGCTTTCGTGCATTCATTGTCCATGGGTGTTCATTGTGGCGTGCACCCTGGATCTGAGTATTCCTAAATAAAACTATATAAAACTCAATCCAAAAGCCCTCGCCCCTTAAATTTTAGGCGCTAGTTTGGCGCTAGTGTGAAGGCAGCTGGACATCATTGGGGCTCCCGCCGAGAGGAGGACCTTGTGCGGGGCATGCGTGGATTGCTGATGCACAGCGCTTCGTACAAGATGCAGACAGACAGTGCTGGGGAGCAAGATTGCAGGAAGAGAGACCCGCTAAGCCTCAAACCTTTCACGGGCGCAGCAAGCCAAAGTGTATGTGCAGAGACCCAAACCCGCGCCTCCCGACAATGAGGAGAGAGGCAATGAACCCTAAAGCCCTAAACACATCCCACAAACTGAAGCCTCACCCACCCAACCGAAGCCCACCCAACTGCCCCACGCTTCCCCAAAAGACACACACACACACACAGACACACAGAGACACACAGAGACACACAGAGACACACAGAGACACACAGACACACACAGACACACAGACACACAGAGACACACAGACACACACAGAGACACACAGACACACACAGACACACACACACACACACACACACACACACACACACACACACACACACACACACACACACACACACACACACACACACACACACACACACACACACACACACACACACACACACACACACACACACACACACACACACACACACACACACACACACACACACACACACACACACACACACACACACACACACACAACACACACACACACCACACACAACACACACACAGAGACACACACACCACACACACACAGACACACACACACACACACACACACACACACACACACACACACACACACACACACACACACACACACACACACACACAGACACGGACACAGACACAGCCACAGACACAGACACAGACACACACACAGAGACACACAGAGACACACAGAGACACACAGAGACACACAGAGACACACAGAGACACACAGACACACACGGACACACACAGACACACACAGACACACACACCACACACACACACACACACAGAGACACACACACAACACACACACACACGACCAGACACAGACACAGCACAGACACACACACACACAGACACCACACACACACACACACAGACACACAGACACACACGACACACACAGACACACACAGACACACACAGACACACACACAGACACACACACACACACACACACACACACAGACACACACACACACACACACACAGACACACACACAGAGACAGACAGACACACACACACACACATGAAGAACGGAAGGAAGCAAGGAAGGAAGAAAGGAAGGAACAAAGAAGGAAGCAAGGAAGGAAGGAAGTATACATGTGTATATATATATATATGTATATATATATATATAATATATATATATATATATATATATTATACTATAACAATATATACATATGTATGCATGTATTGTATATTATAATATGCTTTTTAGTACTATATATATATGTAACAAACTGCATGATACATTGTTATATGCAAACAAAAACAAGCCTGGCTGTGTCATAACGAATATGCATATATATATATATATATTTCTCAAAATGTATTATTGTATAATATATATATATATATATATAATGTATCATTGTATAATATATAGTAAAAATATCTAATATAACACATACAAAAAACAATACAAAATATATAATATATAATATATAATATATAATATATAATATATAATATATAATATATAATATATAATATATAATATATTATATATAATATTGAATATTTGATATCTAATATAGCAGGTTCCAGTGGGAAATGAGAGACTGATCTCTGTACGACAAAGCTGTTGAGGGGGAAAACCGTGTCCCTTGGGGCCCGTGGACTAAAAACCCCCAACCGAGCTCAATGAACGTTGGAGCAAGCTTGGGGCCTCCGGCCCACCCCTCGCCCCCCGAAGCATGTATATATATATGTATTTTATTCATATTAAAAATCATAATATGTAAACTAGGATGCATAATGCACATACATATATGATATAGACAAACATAGTTTGTTACAAATAAATACATAAATAAATAAATAAATAAATATATATGTATGTATATATGTACTTATGTATGTATATGTATATAATATACATATAATCACAAATAGCATATGTATACATATATATATATATCTAACCTCTGAAAAGACAGAAATGCTGCCATTTACAGTATTTGCAGTGTTTGATTGAAGCCTCTGAAAACACAGCAATGCTGCGTTCAGCGTCTGAAAACCCAGAAATGCTGCTATATACAGTATGTCAGAAATGCTGCTACGTACAGTATTTGCAGCCTTTTTCAACGCAGAAATTCTGCTATTTACAGTATTTGAAGCCTCTGACAACGCAGAAATGCTGTTATTTATAGTATTTGAAGCCTCTAACAACGCAGAAATGCTGCTATTTACAGTATTTCAATGCTGCTACGTATTGGAAGCCTCTGACAACGCAGAAATGCTGCTATTTACAGTATTGGAAGCCTCTGACAACACAGAAATGCTGCTGTTTACAGTATTGGAACAGACATGCTGCTATTTACAGTGAAGAAGGGCTTAACATCTGCGATGGCTTGCCGCGCTGGGAAAACCAACGAAAACCTCAGGGAAATGACAGGAAATTCGTCCAAAACGAAAGTGAGTTTTTTCTAGGGGAAAGCAAGAAAATCGACCCAAAAAAAGAAAGACCCCCCAAGCACAAGATCCCCCCAAACAAAACACCCGTAACAAAAGTCCCCATCCGAGCAGGCCCGAGCTCGAAGAGATCGGCGGCAACATGCAGGGCCTGGCGGAGGCAGATCTTGGGGTTTGGGGCTTGTTCGGAAGGAAATGGATGCTTTCTGGGCGTGTTGGCCCGGGAGGATGGCGCAATTACGGGGTTCTGATGGCATTCTGCGACTTGGGGTCAACATGACGGGTTTACACACTGTCTGGTTTAGGGTGTGGGGGCTTCTGGGGTATCAGGGTTTAGGCGCCCTGAATGATTCTTATCCCTGACTCAACTTCATAAGCCAAAAGCACCCTGACTGGATCTAGACTCCTCATATATTCGCGATTCGAAGTAGAATGGGAGTTTTTGGTAGCTTATTCTTCAGACAGCTAGGGCGGATAATGGGACAACATTTTTTTGAGGGTTGTTTTTGTCGGGTAGTTTGAGGTGCTATGGTGTCCATGCTTTGCTTCTGCCTTTGCCGTATTTTGCTTTCAGCTTTTTGCTTGTCTCTCGTTATTGCTTGTTGCTCTGCTTGTTGCTCTTTGTTTTTTGTGTGTCTGCGCTTTTTGCTTTGTGCTTTTGCATTGCTTTTCGTTTTTGCTTCGCTTTTTGTTTACATTTTTTCGCTGCTTGCTGTTTCATTTATTAAAGAAACTCTCTCTCCTTTTGCTTTTGCCTGCTTTTTGCTGTTTGCTTTTCGCTTCTCCGCTTTTCGCTTGTAGTCTCTCATGCCCACCAAGAAGCCCCTCGGGCTAAACATAACATCAGAAGATGGACTTCATGGAGGCTGACCACCAATAAGCCCCTCAGGTCAAGAAGTCAAATGGAGAAGGCGTGGCTGACCACCGAGAAGACCTTCTGGTCAAAGTCGTCATTGGAGACATGAAGGGCATGGCTGGCCACCAGTGAGTCCCACAAAAGGAAAGCCACACGATCGACCTTGAGTACTGAGGAAAGTGAAAGCTTGAGGCTTACAGAACATTTCAGGATATAGAACGAGAACACCTGAGCTGAGAATATAGAAGTAGTGAGTCAACGTGGTAAGAACCCGTAGGTCTTGCGTGATGTATGATGGTTGTATGCTCGTGAGGGTGTCCTTTGTTTGAGATCGGGCGGCTCATGGCTGCAGAAGAAGCCCTTCCAGGTATATGCCTATACACGCACACTGCCCTAAACCCTAAAGCTTGAACCCTAAACCCTAAACCTGAAGCTGCCGTGTTGAGTACCGTGTTGGATGTGGCAGGTTGTGCGGCCATGGTGCTGCACAGTCCATGAGGAGACAGAGGGTGACAAGGCGCTCCGCATGCGCTGAACACGTAAAGCAAAGCAGTGGCGCATGATCAGTATGATTCTTATTTTGATTCTTATCATGATGACGATGATGCAGATTGTTTTATGACCATGACTCCTTCATTTGTTGTGATGATCACGGTGTTTCCTTAGGTCATCAATGACCTTGAAGGCGTGATTACAGAGAAGCAGCGTGAGGTCGAGGCCCTGCAGGCCGCGGCATGTCCCACAAATTTTTCAGCTCTTTTCTCGGCCCCTTGTCCCCCGCGGTTTGGGGTTTAGGGGTTCAGGTTTAGGGCTTTGGTTTAGGGGTTAGGGCATCAGCCCCCAGGGTTTGAGGAGCCATGACCTCAGGCCAGTTTGAAGTCCGGCAGCCTCGATCTGAAGGCCCTGCGGGTCTGACGAGGGTCTAGGGTTTAGGGTTTCGGGGTTTTAGGGTTCAGGGTTTTCGGGTTTAGGTTTTAGGGCTTTTAGGATGTTCACGATTTAGTCTGTTTGGGATTTTGGACGTTTAGAGTTCAAGATTCAGGGTTTGCTAAAGTATGCAGGCTAGGGGAGTGTGGTGCCAGGGGAGTGTGGTTAGGTGGGGTGAGGGTGTTGATGCCACGCCTGCCCTCAACACTTGTTGGGCAGAAGCTGTACGCCAACTTCCGGCAGACCCCCCCCCATTTGCAAATGCAATGTTTGCATGATGGGTTTGGAAAGGATTCGTTTACCTTCGAAGCAAGCTTGCGGGGGTGTTTGGGGTTGATGCCGGACTCATTTTTTAAGGTCCTGCATTCAACCTTAAACCCACAAAATCCTGAAACTTAAACCTTAAAACCCAAAATATGCCCTAAAACCCAGAAGCCTGAATACCAACTGAAGGCCGAAAGCCCTGGACTCCTCTATCCACCCGAAACCCTGAGCAGCAAAACCCTGAAACCCGACAACCCCGGCTCAGATCGATGCCTTTAGGGCTCAGGGCTTAGAGGGTTCAGAGGCTTCTTAGAGGGCTCAGTATGCCTAGGAGTTGTAGAGATTACGGGGCTTGTGGGGCTTACAGGGCTTATGCGCTCGCCCCGAGGCCGGAGGGGAGGCGGACGAGACGCAAGGAGGGCCTGGACCTCAGGGCTTAGGGTTCAGAGTCTTTTCTGTGTAAGGGTGAGTTTTTGTTTCCAAGGCTGCTGAGACGTGGCAGGCTTGAACTTCTCTCCTCGACGAGACACTGAATCCCAACGCCTAAATGCCCTAAACCTAAATTTACCCCCCAAGAAGTACTTAAACTGCAAACCCCGAAAGACACCGGACCCTAAACCCTGAACCTTCCTTCAAACTAATCCCCTCCTATAGCGGCATGAGTAGAATGCATTCGAGATCACCCTAGCCTTCAACCCCTGAGCCTTCAACCATCCCCTATAAACCCTAAACCTTCAACCTTAAACCCTTAGAACCCTAAGCCCCAAACCCTAAACCCTCTTCGGCCTTTCGGGTTCGGGGCCCCAAAAGACCAGGTCGAGCTCAAGCTCTTCGCTGCCTATGGATGTCGCAAGCTCATCTGGGGTTCCTTTCGGGGGAACCTAAGCCTAGAAGGGAGGCTAAGGTTGAGGGCTCGGGGTTCAGGTGGATCCTAGAACCCTGAACCCCAGAGTAGGGTCTAGGGCTTGGGTGTCTGAGGTTCCTTAGGACTTTCGGAGTTCGGGGTTTGGAGTTTGTATGGGTGAGGGCTTGAGGCTTTCGGGGTTTCGGGTTGAGTTCGAAAGCTGTTGGCTGCAGAGTTATGTGAAGGTTTTGTGAGGGCTTTGGAGGGTTCAGGGTTGAGGTTTTTGAGGGCTTTACGGGTTGAAGCTTGTTGGGGCTTTGTTGTTGCTTTAAGTACTGGGGCTTCATAGCTTTTTGTGAAGCCTATGTTTGTAACTGTAGTGACGAATAAAGGTAGAGGGACTGCCTTGCATGTTCCAGGAATTAGGGTTTTAGGTTTCGACATGTCTGTGAATATCCTAACATGTTAGGACATAGGCCGTTTCTTGGGGAAATAGTATGTTGAGCTTCCACTTGAGTCTATGTCGCCGCAGCCCGCTTGGGCTCAAGAGCCAATCAGCAAGCCTTTTGTCACTACGTCTCCTTGCCTGTATAGTTTCAACTTCCTCGACTTCGCACATAGTAAGTGGATACGCAGAGCTGCACAAGGGCGGCATACGTACTTGTGACGGCAGTATATAGCACATCGAGGTTATCCTCGCAGGTACTAGTACTGCGGGTGGGTTTCGCTGATAGGAATAGCAACCCCATTGGCCGGTTGGCAGGGATACTGCTACCTGAACGACGGCACATGGTGTGGTTGGTTTGGTTGTTCCTGTTTTCGGTGGGCTTCTAACACCCTACAACCCTGGACGCTGTATCCCTTTTGCGCAGAACCCTAGAAACTTAAACCCTTGCCCCTATAACCCCGACATCCCTATCCCCATAAACCCCATCACCCCCCACAACCCCGACGACCGCCGATAATCTGAACTCAAGGCGCCGGACGCAGATCGAGTCGAAGAGCTCTCAGACAAAGCGTACGCGCGCTACCATTGGCAGCGTCGAGCTGGCTCGCATTGTCTGGTGGGTTTCTTGGGGTTTCTCAGCGTCTTAGGGTTTCTTCGGTTTTCTTAGGGCTGTTGGGGTATCTTTGGGTGCGTTCGGGTTCTTAGGGTTTTTTTGGGTCCTTTGGGTTTCTTGGGGTCTTAGTGCTTTGAGGGCATCTTATGGTTGGTTTTTACGGTTTTTCTTGGGGTTCTTTGTGTTCTTTGCAATGGGTTCTTGGGCTTCAGGGGTTAAGCAGCTTTTTGTGCACAGAAGTGCGCAGCACATCACGACGGCCACGTCGATCGTAGTGATCTTCTGCAAGAGATCCACACCAGCCTCCTCAGCAGATGAGCCGATGCCAATGCCCCTCGCATAGGAGCCATGGCGGCCCTGGGGATGCTCTTTTATGAGCCATATACCCAAAGACCTAAATCCCAAACCCAGGCTGGAGCGGGGGTCTGCAGAACAGTCTCCCTCAATTTGCACCAAGTCTTGGGCTTGTAGGGGTGCAGGGGCGACTACAGCCAAACGCTCTGTTATACGCCCGAACACTTACAAACTCTAAACTGTACACAAGCAATCGAGATTATGAGCCGTATTTCAAGGCTCCGTATCAGAGTAAGGATGCTAAAAGGAACCCAACCGTCCAACCCCCGCATAAGCGGGGCTGAAAGGCTGCCACGTGCGTCGGAACCATAGACGGAAAGAATTCCAAAAGAGCCATCAACATCCATCAACATAGAAGCCTGCCAGCTCCTAAACCGGAAGATGCGGGTGTTGCAGTCTAAGAATGAAGGTGCGGAGCTGAGGGTTGCAGATTAGCTTGTAGGTTTAACATCTCAGCTAGGGTTTAAGGGTTTGCTTGGGGTATTGGTGCTGAATTCAGAAAGTTTTGGTGTTTGGATCGAGAGTTTAGGGCCCCTGCGCAGTCTACACCAGCACCGATGCTGAGTCAGGGACCCGGCTCCTGGGCTACAACAAAGACGTGGGGTTTGGAGTGTTCCGGGTGGCAGGTTGGTCTTTGGGTTCAGGGTGCTAGATGCGTTTGTGTGTTGGGGGTGGGGGTCCAGTTCAGGGATTTAGAGATCACAGGCTAGCGTTTTGGCATTCTGGGCTCTGTGTGTGTGTGTCAGCCGAATCCACAAACTGACACTTCGAGTAATCATTTTCCGAGTGCTTGTGCCCGAACCTTGATTGATTGATTGATTGATTGATTGATTGATTGATTGATTGAATGCAGCCTGTAGATTACTTGATGCATCAGCCTGTTGCTGAGTGATTGCAGACTGTGAGACGCCTGCAGCGAGTTGATTGAATGCCTCAGCCTGTCAATTGATTGAATCCTCAGCCTGTTGATTGTTTAGCCTGTTGCCGAGTGCTTCCAGACGCCTGCAACAATTCTGTCTGCAGCAGTCCAGGAAGTAGAAAGGAGTCTACAGGTGCTGAAGACAGATTCCGAATGCTCATTTGCAAGCTGACAGGGCTTGCCCCTGCTCACGAGGCGTGTGTGTATGTGTGTGCCAGCCCTGTGACCAAGGGAGTAGCTCGCCTGTGCTTTTGATGAGCGAATGGATTGAATGCCACAGCCTGTTGGTTGTTTTAGCCTGTTGCCGAGTGCCTATAGACGCCTGCAACGATTCTGACATGTGCATGTTCTAGTTGCTCTCACTTTGAGGTCCAGTATGCTCATGATTATTGAGACGGACAAAGAGGACGCGTTACATATTTGCCGGCTTTTGGTGCCGAGTCCAGTACTGCTGCGGATGAGCCTGCTTGAGCTGAAGCAGAACTTGATTCGACCTTTGCTAGGCCTGTCGAGTGATTGCTGCGCGAGCCTGCTGCTAATTGTCAGCCGAAGTCCACAAACTGACCGTTCGAGTAATCAGTTTCCGAGTGCTTGTGCTTGAACCTTGATTGACTGACTTGCGCAGCCTACTGATTGGTCAAGAGCGGCGAACCTTGCTGGTCAGTTGAGGATATCAGAGCGCATAAAATGTGTTTCAGAGGAAGGAAGGATTTTTGTCTTCGAGTACTTTCAGAAGGGCGGTTTCAGTGCCTTGTGTGGACACGCGGTGCTGCTGAGAGTGTGCTCACTACACAGTTACACAGTTGCTCAAAGCCATTCGTGATGCCGAGATTGATTGACAGTGTTGCAGTAGAGTGTTTGAAGCAGACCGGCGATTTGTACTGGTGTGTTCAATGGCTGCAAGTGCCTCCACTCTTCTGATTGAAGGGTGTGTGTGTGTGTGTGCCAACCCTGTTGCCAAGGGAGCAAGTGTACGCAGCCCAGTGTTTGAGCTCTCACCATTAAGGCATTAAGGCATGCAGGGGGACCGACCCATGAATGCAGTTGGTGGTCCAACGAAGAGGGCTGCATTCATGGCTGATATGGGAGCAGATCATTCCCACGTACCTGCAGATGCTGAGAGTTTTCGTTGTGTGCGTCGCTGCATGTTGTGTGCCAAGAGTGAGCAAGGTTCTAAATTGTCAGGATAACAAGGTGATTTTCAGGTGAATGGACCCGAGACTTGGCGTGGAGATATTCACATGGGTGTGTGTGTGTGTGTCCTAAACACAAAAACCCTAAATCCCAAACCTGAAACCCTAAACCCAACCCCGTAAATCCTAGACCCTATATATTGCCTTTTTGCTGGGTTGAGGTTTCCTTGCAAAGCCAGTCAAAACAGGGCACGCGCGTTTCATTCCCGGACCCTTTGTGGGTGGGGGAGATGCCCCTTGGATCGAGATTTTCGGGTTCGGGCTTAGGGTTTAGGGTTTGCGTGCGCGTGTACCAAACCTAAACCTCAATCCCGAAGCTGCCGTAAGCCCTGAACCGGAAGCCCGGGAGGAACTGCAGCTTCTGCAAGCCCAGCCGACTTGTTTTAGCCCCACAAACAGCAAGCACCCTCTCAACCCTAACGTGAGTTTCCGGAAACAAAGGCCAGAAATAACATCTTTAAGTGTAGCCTGTACTACCATGTTCATCAATGGCGGCAACACATGGGCGCCTCTGCAGGCCAAGAGACCAACGTGCCTTGCGAGAGCAATTCCAGCAGGAGCGCCGAGCCTTGCAGGCATGGTGAGGGCCAGGGGTTAGGTCCCGTAAACTGCCCTAAACCCTCAAACCCTAAACCCCTTAAAGCCCTAAACCCTAAGGACTGGGAGTCTGGGTACGTTTTGTTTTGAGGCTTGGGCGTTGGGTGTCTTAGGGGTCGGGTTGGAGATCGGCAGTTTAAAATGTTTAGAGTCTAGAAGCTGCATATATTTTTTCCAGGGGCGGGGTTGTAAGGTTGAGGGGTGTAGTCAGGGGTTTCGGGTTGTTGAGGGTTCAACCTTGAGGCTCTCCGGCTTGCATGAAAGGGTTGAACACATGCTTAAGGTTTAGGGTTTAGGGTGTTGTGTCAGGCTCAAAACCAGATCCAGAAGCCAAACAAGACCAAGAAGGCGCGCAGTTGAAGAGTCAGGGGGCCCAAGCAACCCCAAAACCCTAACCCTAAACCGAAACTCTAAACCCCAAACTGCAGCGAGCGAGACCTTGGGGTTTACGGGCCTAACAATTCGCACTTCCATCGCCCAAGCCCTCCCCGAAAGCCTAACGCCCAAATCCCAAGCTCCGAAGCCTGAGTTGTAGAATCTGTCCCTGAACTCCTGAGCCCTGATCCTGAACCCATGCACCCTCATCCGCCTTCCGCCTACAGCAATAACTTGAGTCGATACGAGACTTCCTAGGCCGTGTACATTGTATTTAGTACAAATCACACAGTCTTGCCGCATCTTGGGTTTGGGGTTACGGGGCAAGGGTCTGAGCTTCATGGCAACCAGAGGCGCGCAACTCGGTTCGGAATTTAGGGCAGTGTTACAGTGCGTTGGGCACTTAGGATGCGCTGTGGGCTCAGACGCAGGTTGCAGCACTTAATTAATGTCGTCTAGGGCCAATCTAAGGTAGGATTTAGGGTTCCAAGTCCAACCCCAAAATCCCTCTAAACCCTAAAACCCCTAGACCCCTCGTCAACTGGAAGCCTCGAAGCCCTCAACCTGAAACAGGCCCTAAGCTCTGGAGCCCTGAGCTCTTGATTCGTGGGGTTCAGAGGGGTTTTGGGGGTTTTAGAGTTTAGATTTTGGAAACTGAGAACTGCCATTACAGCTCCCTTCCACAGCCTCAAGGCCAAGAAGTCCAAAAGTTAGGCCCGGAAGCCTTCTAGGGTTGTAGCTTTTGGGTTTCTCCGGTGTGGAGGGCTTAGGTTAGGGCTTACTGGGTTTTGCCAGGGCTTAGGGTCTTTGAAGGCGATGAGCAAGGGTGAAAACTCTGGTAAAGGCAACTAAACCTTGGGAGGGCATATGCAACCAGACCTTTAAAGCGACGGGGCACACCGATAAGCGGCGCCTCCTGTTGCGCGACCTAGTCCCTAGGCCCTAGGCCCGACAAATAGAGTTTTGACGGTCGCTCATATATACCCTGATCTGCAGGCTCGCTGGAACAACTACTACGGCAGCTATGACGGCCATGGCAGCTATGGCGGGTATGGCCGCTACGGCCACGTCGGCTATGGTTGCTACGGCAACTGCTATTGCTACTGAATTCCCAGGCAGCGGAATGTTTAGTGTTTGAATCCCCAACCCGCCCCCAACCAAAACCCTAACTCGGCATTCGAGGCTTTCTTGATTCCCTCAACCCCAAACCCTACAGACGCAAGGGAGTGCAGGTTGGGGCAAGTTGCCAATAAGGATACTGCATTTTTTCTATCCAGATGATGGAAGACGTACTTCAGGATCCGTAAAAGAAGACAGCAGTGCCTTTGCACCTCAGAGTTCTTAATGGGGAATTTTAGGTACGTACCTTAAATTTCCCTATGGAATCCTTTAGGGGACTATGTGGAGCAAAATTTCCAAATTCCCTATGACACGACACGTAGGAGCCAGGAAGGGCTAAACCCTAACCCTAAACCGTATAGGCTTGGGTTGAATTCTGATGAGCCCAGCCGAGCCCTTGGCAGGTCACGACCTCTCAGAATAAGGTCCCCAAGCTCTTCGGAGTTCAGAGTTCAGGGTTTCAGGTTTAAGGTTCAGGGCGCAGGGTTGAAAGTTTAAGGTTTAGGGTCTACGGGTTAGGGCTTAGGGCTTAAGGTTTAGGATTTCGGATTCAAGGTTCAAGGTTCAAGATTCAGGGTTTTAGAGTTTAGGCCTCGACAGTGCAGCAGGCCATGCCATCTGCAGCCTACAGAGCGCTGGGGCCTTACAGTAGCACACGTAGGCCGTTTGGTCTATGTTGGGCTAGGAATGTAGATTCAAGCCCAAGAGCAAAATCACGAAAGCTAGCTCTCCCGAAATTTAAAGGGGGCTGCGCCCAACCAGCTACATGGCCTAAACCCTGCTTCGTTTGGAGGGGAGTTGGGCTCTTGTCTTCTTGCAAAAGTAGAGTACAATTTATTCCCAGGTTCTTTGGTGCTCCCAGTTCATCGCGTGCTAAACCCCAAACCCAGGCTGGGCAGGGCCCACAAGGACCGGGCGGGGTTCCCGGTTCTGTATGTGGGTGTTGGTGTTGTTATCGGACTTGGGGTTTAGGGTTGAAACGCGAGTAGCGTTGTTCTTACTTCGCTATAGAACCCTTCATGGCGAAAAGTCAAGAGTTATCTTTAATTGAGGGCTCTGGCGGTTTGACAGTTCAGAACTCTTTTTTGGAATGCTTCAAAAAATGGCTATCCAGAAATCAGAAAGTATTTTTTAGTGATGACGACGGAGCACTTAAATATGAAATCAAATAACCATATAGATAGGAGAAGGATTAGGTCATGCCGTAAGCTTAACACAAGCTAACGTTGCAGAGAGATTTCTTACTCGAAACGTTGAGAAGATGATAGGTAGCAGTGCATGCGTCAGGAAAGGTGCATGGACAGGTTTTGTTTTTGTTTCAACCTGCTTTGGACAAGTGTAATTGCAGGACCGGACGGCCCACATGTCCATTCTTTTCTTGGCTGCCCGGATGGGGATGGAGGAGAGGGCGGAGTGACAGTGACGCGCGGCGGTCGGCGCGCTTGGATGTGTCTGCACATACTTGTCAGTATGCCTGTGTGTGTGTGTGTGTGTGTGTGCGTGTGCATGATATGCATGACATGCATTGCCTGAATCTGTGTGTGTGTGTGCGTGTGATCATTTAGGTAAAGAAAATGGTGAGGATGAGCATAATGCCGTGAATACTGAAGTCTGTTCTGAATAGAGTGGTGCTTACTTAAAAGCACTTAAAAAAAACGCCATATATTATGATAAGGACGCAAGGTATGAAGAAAAGACAATATTCTGAGTGGCACGTTATCTGTTGATATATTGCAAACGCTTGAGGCTGAGTTAGAGCCCATGAACAGTCTGGGCAGGACGTCGCAAAAGAGACCCGCGTGCACGCATGCATTTTCGTACCATACGGTATTCCGTGTATTCCGTTGCTGCGAAACAGCGCCAAACACATTCCTGTGCTGGATTGTTGAGAGAGCGAGAGAAGAACCAAGACATAGGAGATGTAGAGGGGAGGGAGATTGTCGACTATCGGATGTGGGTCCGTTTTCGACTTTTCAGCTCAAAAAACTGTGTACATATTTTGGGGAGGCCCGAGTCAAGATCACAGCAATGACGGCGGGGGGAAGTCACAGCAAAGGGGAAGGACTGAATATACTTGTACAGCTGCACGTTGATAGAGACAGGGAGCAAGGTAGAGGGAGAGAGTTGCATGCTTTGTGTCACGAGCTGACGACATTCCATGTCTTCCATTGCTGCGCCAAACACATTGCTGTGCTGGATTGTTGGTAGAGAGCGAGAGGACCCCAACACATACATGGAGAGCTAGAGGGGAGTGAGATTGTCGATTATGGGATGTGGGTCCGTTTTCGATTTTTCAACTCACAAGCCCTGATAGGGTACATACATGGCTTATGCGCCTTACAGGGGCTTCATGCCTCTTATACATGGGGTTTGTCAGGGGCGCCATGCTCTTAGAGCTTTATAACAATGTTCATTCTGGAACCTGCGTGTTACGAATCGAAAAATTACTGTGTGATTTCAGGAGTCGCAAGAACGCCCGAAATCCACCATTCTACTATTTTTTAGGGTACCAGTGCGTCATGATAATGACAGTCGTGGTGAGAATGTTTTTGTGGTTCAGGGCTCAACAAGAATCATGTTGATGATAGTGATGGCAGGAACCGTTGCGATACTCGCTGAACTTGTGGTCGGGTACCGAAAACCGAAACCTAGGGTTTACAAGTTTTGTGAGGGTTCAGGGTTTAGCCCTCAACCGAGTCTCAACCGCCTGCATCTGACACCCTGCCCCATCCTCCGCTCACGGCCGACGCGAAACCCTAAACAGGAGCGAGGTTCAACAGCTTTGTCTCCGGGCCTCCGCCACTTGTGATAGAAGATTCCGGGTGTATCTCGACCTCTGACTGTTTTTCGGTAGAGCCGGTAGCAGCCCTCCAGACCTATGTTCCTGCTCTTCTCAGGACAACAGCAGCCCTACATTCTAAAGCCTAAGTCCCAAAGCTTGCCTTGTGCAACAAACTACAGCCAGAAGTCAGAATGCCCAAGTCCACGGTCGCTTCCGGGTGAGGGTCCACCACGCGTGTGGGCACGGTTCTCAGGCAGTTGATGCAACGCCGCGTGAGCAAGAAGGCGTTTTCGCCCTACATCCCTAAAATCCCTCAATTTCCTAAATGCCTAAACCCTAGCCGGCTATAAACACTAATTTCCTAAGAATGTCGTTTCGGGTGGACCTTTGACCCACGCAAGCATGAAGGGAGTCCCGGCCGCAAGAGAGGCGCCTCTGTTGCGAGTGGTTCACCCCCAGTCATTCTAAGCAACGTGCGGCTGCGCGAGTGTCAAAAGCACCTGCATACTCCGGTCACTGTCTTGCAAGGTGGAGGGGGGGGGGGAATAGGAGTATTTTGTGTGCCTGACTCATGCTGTGCATGCCTGGCTTCTTGTTGACATGGGTGTTCTCAGTCGCAGCTGTGACACTGGCCGAATACCAAGCGTAATGTTAGCTGTAGCTGTCAACATCGCCGTTCCTCCTGCCTTTTTCTTTGCGTCCCGACTCGCACCGTACATCTCAATAAGTAGAGCGAGCACTTACGTGGAGCAAGTGCATAGCACTTTCCGCATTGCTGAGTGCACCTCAGCGGACATGGCCCTTCTGTTAGCGAGCTGCTCTCGACTTTGCCATGTCGCGGGCAGCGCTGAGCAGCGAGAAGGAGAGCACGGGGCCTAAACAGATTGAGCTTTGTTGGTTTAGGGGCACGGGCTAAGTGTAAGGATGCAGCGCCTACGGCGTGCATCGATTGCCGCAGCCGGAGTAGGGCTTCAAGAGGAGAGGGTGACCATTTTCCGTGCTAGCCCCTTCCTGGCCCTTGTTTTTGCATTTTTTCCAGGACGTTGAAGCGAGTTCCGGCCCAGAGTCGGCGTCGACATCGGGCCTTGATCTTCAACATGATACGTCGAAGCTTTGCAGGTCAAAGTGGAGCCCTTGAGATCCCTGTGTGAGGGTGATGACAGTGATGACCGGCCCGCAAGGCACACAACTTCCCTGTGCTCCAAGGACTTTGTGGCCCATCAGTTTCTTGGTCGACTGCGTCACTTCCTGCTGCCCGCAGCTCCTGAGGACGGGTCTCGGTTCAACGGTTCTACGTTCATGTTTCTTGGCCCGGGGGGTCAGGGCCGGTCCCGCCTTCGTCACCCTCCCCCCCTCCGCGTTTCAATTTGCAGGTGTAAGACGAATCATGAGAAGATTCTCTGAAAAGTATGGCCCTGGCACCGAGTTGGACCGCGCAGGAGCCGAATGGAAGTGGATCCTTCGCATGAAACCGGGGAACACAACCGTGGCTTTGATTGGGAGGCTTCAGCTGGGCCTGGACGGTCGCGACGGCGCGAGAACCTCTGGGGTTTCTTCGCACCTTGGCCTGGCATGGTGGAGTCCGTTGTTGGCTCTTTGCTCTGGCCTCTGGGTGTAGCGACTCATCAAAACTTGGGGGCGAAGCTGTGGGGCTGATCGAAACCGACAAGGATCGAAAGCCTTGCAGCAATGCACCAAGGCTGTGATTTCTGTTTGCAGTGCCCTGAGTGCCTGCGAGAATCCTGAGAAGCCTTTGAGCTCAGGAGCCTCAGCAGTCTCAGCAGTCAGCGAGCGGGTGGACGCTGTGTCCAGAGCTGGTGGAATATCATGCGCCTTGGATCAGCAAACCTTCTCTTTGGCTCGACATGTGGAGGAAGTGGCAGGGTTTGCCGGGCCGTCGGCAGCAGGGCTGTCACATCCTGCGTCAACTTGCTGCAGCAGACTGCAAACGCTCCGGTTCCTGGCTGGACGTCTTCCCAAGTCCGAAATTCTCAGCTGGTTCACACTTTCCCGGACGATTTGACTTGCTTAGGGCTTCAGGTCTTCATTTTTGGTAGTCGTCACATTGAAACGAGGCTGGGAAGGGCGATTGGCACTTCTAAGAACTTCTAAGCTCCAGCTCGACTCTAAGCTCTGTGTAAACCTGTAAGCCTTATACTGTGTGCGACTTGTGACCGAATAATCTCCTTCGTCCGGGGCAAGGTGTGGGAAGTACGAGGTCTCCCGTCAGCTGTCAGCTGTAGGTCAGTGTGGTTGCTATCTCAAGGACATGAGGCTGCACAGCCCTGACCTGCAATATCCTGCAATCACCTGCAATCGAGTTGTGTCCATGCTCAGTCTAAGAGAAAGTCCTGTCTTGTGCAGGGGCGCCGTAGCCTTGACCGGCCACGGCACCACACGGGGGGGGGGCCCAGAAGAATATCGTAAATCCGATATGAAATCTTTGCTGGCCACCGGCTAAATTCGCATCTGAGGTCGCATGTGGCTTCTCCTGCAAACAGTGGAGGTATCATTTCCAGGAATCCCATGATATGGCCATGAGAGTTCTGCGTCAGCTGGTTGCCCACTGTTACAGCCCGAACACGCACGTGCGACGCTTCTCATTTTCTTCTGTCGGGCTGCTGCGAGATGGGTCACAAGAACGCGGGGCACGTTGCAGAAGTGCTGCATGACTTCACAAGCTCAACCATTCCTTGAAGATGAGTGGCTGCAGTCAAAATGGTGCATGGTTTACATTCGGACCTACGCCCGCAAGCTCACGCAGATTCAGAGACAGCAGTTGGTCTTGCTTCTGCTGCGCATGATACCGGCAGTGAACAGCCTCAAGTGCCGTGTCAAGTGCCAGCAGTACATGATCAACGTCCTAGGACTTTTGTGGAAAGCTGAGCCGATGCCTTTGGAAAGCTATTCGGAAGGAGCAAGCATCTTGTGGCAATTGACCACATCCGGGCAAGAGCTCAACAATCTCATCAACGAAGGACGCAAAGTGGCCCAAGAGCAAAAGCCGGACATGAGGCCGAGGCATGAAAGAGTGTCTTGGTCTCGTCTCCGCGAAATGCCGAGGTTTGCTGTATGCGCGCGCAGGCGACGTCGCGCAACACTTTGTGTGAAAAGTAAATCGCATTGCTGGGGAAACCTGCCATTACATACATGCCCAGCATATCAGCATAAGCCCTCTATGAAATGGTTGGGTTCATTTTATAGTGGGAAGGTCGTTCGAAATCACGTCGAACCTATCATTTTGAGAATCTGGAATGCGAGAGCCACATCGAGTGGCACGCTTGCAAGCCACGTGCAAACGCCGCAGCTGTTTCTCCTGCCAGAATGAAGTTCAGTCGGGCGAACCATGCGGCTGCAATGGTGGATGCTTGGACGCGAGAGAGTCACCAGACATGGCTCGTATGCACCCCCCCCTCGATGTTGTTCACCACTGCTTATGGAAGTTCCTCATGCTCGGAGCTGAGGATGTGCGGATTGTTTTGGTGTTTGGCGCCCGGGGTGGCTTTGAAACACAGGGGGCGTGTTGAGCATTGCCACATCTTCACTATGTGGTCCTTGGCGGCGCGATATGGCTCCGCAAAATGCTATGCAATGTGCAGTGTGCCATGCAATTATGCTGACTGTTAACGGTGCTGCAGCATCCAAGGAACTACTCGCGTCCAGTTCCAGACGCTTTGTTTCGGCAAAGAAGAACCTGCTCAGACGAGCGTCTCCCCTCCTGTTCTCCTCGTTTTGTTTGAAGATCCGTTGAGTTTTAATATTGGGGGGTGGTGGGGGAGGGGGGGGGAGCGTGCCGGATCTGGGATCTCTCTTGAAAAATTGAGGAGTACATCCACCTGAACCTGCAGAGCTGGGAGCTCGCCTCCCAGGGCCGCTGTGGGAAGCCGGTCTTGATCAACAGGACCAACGTCCGGCACTGGCCACTTGGGCGCCAAAGAAGAAGAAAGCCCTTCACACACAGTATATCATAGTATCCCCTCCTTTCTTTCTGGTTTGCTGTTCTCTCCTTCTGAGACGTGAGCTCAGGATCCCGGATGCCCCAGAGGAGCTGTTCAGGCTTCCATACGAGGCGGCCGAGTCCGATGCCATCCGCTACGCACTGATCTACCACAATGGGGGCGTGTACATGGACACCGACTTCTTAGCCATCGACATGACATCCATCATTGATCGGCTGGGATCTCAGCTCGGCAAAGAACATCGAAGAACCCCCCGAAATATTCACAGCTTTTCTAGGCTACATCATATCATATATACATTGTATTTGCAGTCAGCTGCTTTTTCTTGAGTTCAGGATCCAGGACCACGACATCATCACATACACTGCAGAGGGGCAAAAGTTCGAGAAAGGCCAGTTTAGCTCCAACTTCCTTGCTGGCCGCAAGGGCAGCAAGGTGATGGGTGCAATATGGAAGTCCCAGAAGGAGCACATGCAGCATCATTGTCCCAAGGACTGACCACGGGCCCGTCCTTCTGCGATCTTACTCGGGTCTCCGCTGTCGCGTAGTAAACGCTCCTGTCGCTGTAGGTTCAAAGCTAGACTTCAAACGCCTCTTTTCCATGCTCAAGAAAGGTTTCGTTGCACTTGCCTCGACGCAGGACATGGTCCCCAAGTCCGGCATGTGTTGCGACTCGGAATGTTTCGGCACATGCACAGCCATAAGAGCGAAAAGCAGCCGCAAAGTGCTCTGCGGCCAGTGCTTCTGAACCCTGAAAAGCCGCTTTTGAAGTGACGGAGGCTCCAAAGACTTAAAGAACCCGAGTCCCAACATCTGACAACACAATTGACAACAGCCGCACAAAGCAAGAAGACGGCGGGAGCGAGACAGAGAGAAGTAGAAAGAGGACAGCTGCGGAGAAGGCTCCCTTGCATCCTCTTGCATCCTCTTGCATCCTCTTGCGAGGCTACGACGACCCCTCCGTGCCCTGCTCCGTCCGCTGGGCGGGCGTGGGCGAAGGGATCTCCCACCCGGCCCTCCAAACGCTTTTCAGGTGCACAGACTGGTCAGAGAGAGAGGGAAACAGAGAGAGATAGAGAGGGAGACAGGGAGAGAGGGAGAGCGAGAGTGAGTGAGTGAGTGAGTGAGTGAGTGAGTGAAGTCGCGTGAAGGAATGCAAGCACGAAAGAAAGAAGGAAAGAAAGAGACCTCCAGCTTCAGAGAGAGCTTCAGCAGAGCCAGGGCACAGTTCTTGCAGCTTACGCTGGGGCTTTCCTCGCTTTTTGAGGGGCCTTCCTTTTGCTCTTGAGAGAACCCTGAAAGGGCGAAGGAGCCCTTCAAGAGCTACATCTTTGACGGCGACGAGAGCTTCGTCCCGACTGGCCTCCTGCCCTGCACGGATTGCGCGGGGAGGGCCCTTCACGTTCCCTGTGCAGTGGCAGTTCCCTGAGCTCAAGACCCACCCCAAGAGCCCAAGAGCCCCATCGAACGCACATCCCAAAGCGCACCCAGGTTTAGTGGAGGTCCTCAAGCGCAAGCTTTCTGTCAGCGACGCCCTGGCGTATTGGGAGCGGCGGTCGGTGAAGCAGCCGTTGCAACGCAAGCTTTACCACCTCTTCAACTCCCAGGCCAGAAAAAGCTTCTCCTTCAAGCTCGGACGGGGTGTCTGAAGAAGCCTTAAAGCAGCAAGCACGTCCACAGACTGTTTCCGTGGAAACGTCAGGGAACAAATCGGAGAACATGCGTCACAGGGGGGCCAGATTCAGGGTGTCGAGTCCAAAAGAGATTTTGGAAGAGGTGCTTTGTGCTTTTTTTTGATGCACCTTCAGACTGCCATTCTGCTTTTGCCATTCTGCAGAGTCTGCGGCGAGGGCTTCGCAGACGCCTACTCCTGCTACGACCTGACGGCCGACAACACCACGGCCCGGCTCTCACAGAAGGAGGCACAAGGTGGAGATCGCTGGTACTCCCACAACGATCCGTGAAAAAAGAAGTTCTTTCACACACACTTCTTATTCCCCAATGTGGCTCCTCCTCTGCGCTGCTCCTTGCAGCTTCTTTCGCAACTGAGGTGGCTGGGGCGCTTTACAAGCGAAGCCAGGCTTCGCAATGGCTCTTAATACAACAGCATGGCCCTTCCTTATTCATTGTTTCTGGGGGAGGGGGTAAGGTGCGTTGCCGGATACCTTTGACATCATTTCAGGGTCGGGACAAGTTACAAGAAGGACCACCCCCCCCCCCGGCCTCGGTAACATTTTCAAATCGGTCAGTTTTGGTATCGGCCTTTCGCTGGTTCTGTGTTTGTTTTGCCTTGAAGAGTTCCGGGCTTGTCTGGTTTATTGACTTGTGAGAAGCCCGCTGAAGCACCCTAAACCTCAGGAGCAGTAGGCCTCTGTAAAGAAAGCTGCAGAGTCAAAAGTTATCTTCGCAACAGCTGGCCTTCCTGGCCTTTCTCTACATCTATCTCACAAGAGTAGTCTTAGCCAGTCTTATTCTAAAATAAGAGTAGCTTTAGTAGTTCCTATTCTACTGTGGAAAACCTTCTAAAAATACAGAATTTTGCAGAAAAAATCTTCAAAACTGGCGCGCCGCCGCGCCGGACCGGCTTCTCCCGCCTCCACCTTCTCTCAGAGGTCATAATCAGAGAGCTTTCCCTCCTCCTGAGAGGGGGGGGCAGCTCTCTGGATTACTACCCCTAAAGGTGCCCCGTAACATGGTGATAAAGTTTATAAGGTGCAGTTATAAGTGCAGTTGTGATAAATATGATTCTTATCTATATATATATATAATACAGGTTCCCTACTAGCAATCTCAGACGGGGCCTTCAAAGCTTCGGCCTGGAAATCAGTTCCAGAAGAAGAACGAACTCGAAAAAGAAAATTTGTGGCTTTCTCTTCTGCCGCAAAGAAGTTCTCATCTTCTAGCTGAACCTGTGAGCAAAAAAAAGTTCCAAGCTTCTAAATTCGCAGAAACTTTGCGGCCCAGGCCTTCTCTGCAATGTAACATCCCTGGGGCGTCAGAGCCATATCTGTCTCTGTTCTCAGATTTAGAGTCTAGAGTAGAGTTTCGGCGGGTGGTTTAGGGTGTTGTTCTGTTTTGTGCCTCCTTCTTTTTCTCTCGCCTTCAGCACGTTATTGCACCTCCAAACCTTAGAATCACCACATTACATCGATCCATATATACTGTCGATACAGGATATGAAATGTGACCAAAGTCTTTGGGTAGGTCAGCATGAGAGCTCCCAGAATCCCCTGAGAGACCCAGAAATGTTACCAGAAAGATTTAGGTGGTCCTAGGCCTTCAGGCCAGGGCCATACAACAGCTTAACGCAGCAGCCGCAGTTTCGCAACAGCCGGAGTTTCGCAATGCGGATCCTTGTTTTTTGTGCGATGCCTTTTGAAGTGATGTCTTGAGATGGGGAGGTTAAGCGATCCATCGCAGCACATGATGGGCCCACATCAAAGTGCCCAGTTCTCAGCTGGCGCTTCTCACTTCATATTCTGTCCATGGTGGGCAATGGCTGGTTGCTTGTGCGTGACAAAGGCGCCAACGATGGAGGTCTTTGCCGGTGTACTGGAAATGTTTTCTACGGCTGCTTTCTTAATATTCGGTTGGAAGTGCACGTGCTGAGTCGCAGTGAGGAGGGAAGGAGGGCGGTGCTGTGATGCCCAGGCCGACGTTTCGTGTGTGGTGGCACGCAGCAGACGGACCTTGCAGCCTGGAAGCACTAGGAGAGAGGCCCGTAAGGTAGCAAAGCCGCATAAAGAGCAGCAGAAAACGGCCGAGCAGCGACAACAGAACTTCGCTTAAAGTGTGCAAAATCTGAGGCCGGCCTGCTGGAGACGCAGCACTTCTCCAAGGCAGTAGCCTCCGAGATCCGCTGCGGTGCCCAGGACCAACAAAAGAAGAAAGCATAAGTTTGAGATGCTTGAATAATTCGAACTCGGAGCGTCAACGAAAAACGCCAACTCAAAATAGGCGCATGTTTGGACGAGGAAAGAAGAAAGAAGAGCTCACAGGGAAAGCAAAGAAAAGGATGAGCCTTTTTCCGCCACCTTGTTGCCACCTTGTTGCGGCCGAGTGCGGAGGACTTCGGAGGAGATCCCCTCTTCGGCGTCGCCAAGCACTGCCTCGGCCCTAAGCTGCGGAGGGCAAATCTCGTGGGGCAGACTGTGTGTTGTGTGTGCTGCTCTCTCCCTTTTTTTGTCCGAGCTTCTCTTTGCATCTTGTTACATCTTATCCTGCAATACACGATGACGCGCTCTTCTCACGGTGGTCCCAGGCATCTGCGTGCAGCTGTGATGATGCGAGTTGCGCGGTTGGGCCTTGCGGCTAAACAGGGCACTGTCAGGTCGTAGGCATCCGAAGCCGAAGCTGGCGCAAACTCTCAATCAGTATCTTTTTTTTTTTCTCTCTCTCTCTCTCTGCGGCTCTCTCTCTGTGTCTCTCTCTCTCTCGCTCTCTCCCTCCCACAAGCTAACCTGGCTCTGAATCTGGCGCTCCTGCGCAGCGCGCTGCAGCGTTGATCGCCCCACAGATGCCAGCTCGCGGGGAAAAGAGCGTTCTGACGGAGAGAAGTGTGCTACGACTGCCCGCTTTCGCATTATTGAAGATGCCAACAAAATTCTTGGCGCTTCAAGGATACAGACATGAAGGCATGAAGGCCAATGAAGGCCAATGAAGGCATGAAGACAATCAAGGCATCAAAGGCGCCGGTGAGCATTGTGTATGACAGTGCCCCCCGCACCCCTTCACAGCTGCGTATTGCGTATTCGTTGACTTTGGTGGGAGAGTTCTTTCGTTGTGAGAGTTGAGGATGAGTGGAGCCCATGGCCTGCGCAGTGCGCGCAGTGCGCGGGCGTTTCGGGCGATTGCGAGACCGCAGTGGGCAGCTCGGGGGGCAGCTCTCTGCGCCTCGTGCGCGGCCTCCTGCCGAGCGGCGTCCTCGCCCATGTTCAACCGCAGCGCTCAGAACTGCGAGGACCGCCAGGACTGCCAGGACTGCGGGGACTACGACAGTGACTACGAGGATTGCGGGCACAGTGACGACGGCCATAGCCACTGCAGCCGGGGCCCGCGGTGCCCACGGCTGGCTGCTTTGGCCGTTTTGGCCCGGCCTGCGCCGGAGCCACCTGCAGATGTTGCTGCGGTTGATGCACCGCCTGGTGCAGCGACGGGCCGTGCAACCCCTCGGCACAGAGCTCCGGCAGACGTGGCCGCCCACACTCGAGCGTTGTGGGCCGCGGCTGAAGCCTGCGCAGATACTGGAGGCGCTCGAGCTCACTGCCCTGCTCCGCGAGTCCCTGGCTGGCTTTGCGCCGCTGCTCAGGAGAGCCAATGCTGAGATCGCTGGACAGCCTAGCAGGCTCGTCCGAATCTTGGATCTTCTGCGTGAGACAGGCCGTGACATGCACAACAAAGCACAACAAAGCACAGAAAGCACGCAGGTCCGGAAGTCCGGAATGTTCCCCCAAGATCTAGGAAAAAGGAGAGTCTTGAGTCTGCTGTGTCTGCTTCTCCCGCAAGGTGATTCCCCTGGGGCACGCTTCGCCAGCAGCGCTTTGCAGCTCACGCAGCACTTTGCACGGCGGCTGGACGAGAGCCCTGGAGACTTTGGCTCAGAGGTGCGAGTACTGCGTGTGTCTGCTGTGGTCTGCTGTGGTCTGCTGTGGTCTGCTGTGGTCTGCTGTGGTCTGCTGTGGTCTGCTGTGGTCTGCTGTGGTTGGCGGTGGTTCTGCGGTTGTTGAGGGCAAGGTTAAGACTTTGTCACCTTGTGAGGCTGAATGCCGTACGCAGTGCTTGAAAGAGAGGGAGGTCAGTCACGCTTGTTTTGGTTGAGACTGGACTTGAGAAGAGGCGCTGGCGGTCTTTTGCTCCTTGGCCAAGAGCGGCCGGGCGGCCTTCCGGAAGCTCAGCGAGGAGTCCCTCTGGCGCCTTTGTGACCGCGTGGCTGGCCAGGCGAAGCTCAGCCTCCCACTGCAAAGTCTCCAAAGCAAGGCAGAGGAGCCGCGCGAGGCGATGGTGGCAGTGGTGCCGGCGGCGGAGCTGTTTTGCGCAGTGGCCCGGCTGATCCCCCGAGAGGGTGGCTTGCATCAGCTCGAGCTTCTGTCAGACTTGGGCGGTTTCCTCCGTGACCGCACGGACGAGGCCCCTGGACCTGGGAATGCTTTGTGAAAGTTAGTGAAGGGCATGCCCATTATTAAGCAGCCATGTCGGGTGTTCTTGAATGACTGGCGATCCTCAGACGATGCTAGAGCTCTCGTCGAGCATCTGTCGTTCGATGCAGCTTCCATGTATCCACATATGAACACATCATCACGCCACAAGGTGCTCACAATGTGGTGAGCAGAGAAAGCACGCAAAGGTCCTGAAGGGAGGAGTTTGTAACGCTTGTGTAAGAAACGTTTGAGCATGAGACCTAGCTGTAGGAAGATGAAAGGCTCTCAGTGGAGCAGGCTGGTACGACAATGCATCAAAAGGTGGCGGCTAAGCTGAGTGAGGTATTTCGGTTCTTAAGCCCACAAACCCACTTGGCTCCCAAACTTGAATCTTGAGCTTCATGCGCAGGTCCCTGCGGACATGCTGGTGCCACTTGCACGGGTCTTGGGACGGGGAGACCCGTCCGAGGAGTACGTGTTGCTGCATGCCATCTGCCAGCAAGCGCTGCGAGTAGGGCTTCCAAATGCATCTTCTGCAGCGTCGCTGCTTCTGGTTTGCAGCAGATGGGACTTCTACGATGAAGCTGTGTTCACGCTTGCTGCGAGATCGCTCCAAGATGGGGTGCGGCAGATTCCCCTCAGCGTTCTCTGTGATGTGGTCTACTCGGTAAGCAACCTTCAAATTCGAGATGCGTTGCCGCTTGATTCCCTGGATGCTCTTTGTGACGATCTGGTACGAAGAGCCCAGGATTTGTCGGAAGGAGATCTTGTGCGTCTCTCCAGAGGCTTGTTGAAGTTGCGACATCAGCATGAGCCTTTGTTGGCGGCACTCAGGCCCGTAGTGGCAGAGCAGCAGGCAAGAATCCAATCCATCAGCCTTTGCAACCTCATCAACGTCTTCTCCTACTTTGGAGGCCTTCCCAATGGGGGGAAGTTGCTCGAGACGGCCGTCGGCCGGGCGCGGCGATTGCAGCCGGTCTCCGTGCAGCACCTCCTCACTGCCCTTTGCCGCCTGCGATGTCCCTCAGACACATCGGAGTCGGAGAACCCCCCGAATTCCTCGAATTCCTCAGAGTCGGAGTCCTTGCAGCGGCTTTGTCAGCACATCGCCGCCAGCGGAAGTGGTCAGGGAGCACACGAAGTCCGCTTCTCGCCCGTGCAGGCGCTGAGCTCCCTCTCTGCCCTGGCCCGGCTCCAGCATCGGCACCTGCCCGCGGTGTCCGTGCTCTTGGGCGCCCTGACGGGAGCCCGTGGTGACGGGGCCTCGCCGTGGCTCTGGGCGCCCTCGCCCTTCCTCTTCCGCTGGCGCCCCGTGCCCAAGACCCGCCGCCTCCCGGAGGCACCGCAGCTGTCAGGACTTTCACTCCCCCAAGTAGCAATTCTTTTGCGAGAGTTGCTGTGTTTTTTTCTTCTCTCTCTCTCTCTCTCTCGCTGCCTGTGTTTCTCGTGGCAGAGGGGAGTGGGGGGTGGGGGGGGGGAGCTTGTTGACGTGTAGGGGCTGGACAACTCCCACTGCGTGGAGATCTTGCAGAGCCTGGCCTGGCTGGACCTGAGCAGCCGCGCCACGGTGCAGCTGACCGCGGCGCTGCGCCCCGGCAGAGATCTGCCTCGACAAAAGTGGGCTCCTCTTCTCCTCTCCCCCAAGAATCAACTCCATGTGCCTGTTCCTATCATGTTTTCGGGAGACCAGCTGGCGGGAGGACGAAAAAACAACAGGCTCTCAGAATGACTCTTCCTAAGCACACTTTCATATGCCCTTTCCGGTTCGTTGGCCGAGGTGCGGGGCACTCTGCCCGTCGCTGCACGAGCTGCGGGCCAAGGAGGTGCTCGTCGTGGCCCGTGCCTTCGCCCCGGAGCGCCTCCCGGACTCTGCCTGGGAGGAGAGCCTGGAGAGAGCCTGGAGAGAGCGGAAGAGAGAGGAGGGAGAGAGCTCGGCTCCACCTCGCTTTGCAGCTCTTTCACTCACCACTTTTTTTTCCAACTTTTTTCAGGACCCGGCCGCCTCCCTCTGGCGCGAGAAGGCCCTCGAGCTGTGCCTCGAAAGCTTGCGCCGCCACGAGAGCTTCCTGGACAGCTCCTGGGTGAGCCTGCTGCCCTTCAAGCCGCTCTGTGAGCATTTGCCATAAGAAATTGACAGAGTTCTCCTCAAATGTAAAACAATGACTTGTGATGGTTCAGTGGCCTTTTGTGTGTGATCGTTCACCGAGGCTGCTCTGTCTTCAGGTCAACTTTGGGACCTTCGAGACGCGAGAGTTCCGCGAGTTCCTGAATCCCATGCTCTTCAGCAACTCGAGTGAACAAGTTTATCGGCATTCGAGACGAGGGAGATTCGATGGTGATTAAGTGATTGCAAATGCCATGCTCAGCCAGCGAATTGCAAATGCTAAAAAAATGCCCCTTGAGAGCCCTTCAGGCTTCGCTGAGCGCTTGAGGTGCCTAACGAAGGACGCGGGTTGCTTTGACTTTGTGACAGGATTGTGTTCCACCAGCCTATCTGCGTGAGTCTGCATCCTTGCTGGGTCTGAGGAGCAGTGCGATCACAATCGCATGCAACGCGAAGGACTGGAGGAATTGGAGGATGACCAGGAGACTCTCTCCCTCGCAGAGGCACGGGGTTTTTTTCTCATCCGCCATCATGTTTTGTCCCGTTTTGCCGTGTCGCCATGCATCAAGAAGCATCAAGAGGTAGCATAATGAAGCACGCGAAAGCACTTTCAGGGTCCCCAGATGATTCACGGCTCCAAGTACCGCATCTTTGTGGGAAGCTGCGTGCAAGACTTGCCTGCCACTTGCTTGAATAGCTTGAGCGCAGCTCGAGTCTTCGGGGAGTGTCAGATCTCAGATGTGTTCTTTGCGAAACCGACTGTGAAGCTTTTTGCATGAAGCTGAGTGTTGCGGTTGAAGCGTTGATCTTTCTCTCAGGCAACATCTTGAGTGGCCACTCGGTATCTTCTGCCACTCAGGTCGACATCCTCTGCGAGACGAGCGGAGAGAGCGGTTAGGAAATGGTAGTTGTCGCCGGAATGAGGAGACAAAACGCTGTGGATGCCTTTTCTTTCACTTGTTCACTCATTCCTCTCATGCATCCGCGAACCTGGGCCCTGGACCTCGCATACTCGCATCGTGGGCTCACGGGCATCCGAGTGGCCGCTCCAGTTTCTGCGAAAGGGGGCCCTGGCCCTGGGCGTGGCCTGCCCGCCATGGACAAGGCAAGGTCTGCATGAGGAAGCCCTGCAGATGGTTTGCGCTTCGGCCGCAGGTGGCGCCGGTGGTTGGTGGCCTGGCCAGCTTGTGGATGGCCTACAAGGTGGGAGGATGTGGGAGGAGTTTTGCTGCACATGGGGTGTGTTGTGAAGCGCAGTGAGCAGGTCATTCCAGTGATGTATCGCTGGGAGCTCATCCCTGGTGCTGGGGACCTCAGCTCTCTCCGTCGAAGTGCTAGATGCCACTGATGTCGGTGTATGAATGGCGCATGCCTGGCGAAGGTTGCCTCAGAGGAGTGGTGGGCCCGAGCAAAGACGATTCGTTATGACCACTACACGGAGGCATTGTAGATGAGTGCTGGTGCTGATCATATGCGCGCTTAAATTGCGGCACATCTTTTCAGGGATCGCTGACAATCGCAGTGTGGTGCACTGCAGGGCATCGTGTACTCTCCTTATGACACCGGTGAGCCCATTCGAGAGATGCCCGAGGAGTGCAAAGGCGCTTTTGTTTCTTTGCTTCCACGTGGGAAGTTCTCGATTCCCGAAATTCTCAAACCGCCTGTAGTCGGCTGAGCACCGTGGAAGCGTCAGGCAAGATGCTCTTGAAACAAAGGCGCGGAGGTTGGAAGCTTCAGAGCGAGATGGAGGAGCATCTTGATTGCTGCCTTGCTCCTATGCGTCTTTGCCCCATTCCGCCGCTTACCTGTGCCAGGAATAGAGCAGCCCATCAGACGCAGCCACTCTGAACTGGCCATGGATTGCCATCAGTTGATGTAGGTGTCTTAAGCCTGTACTGGCGTTCTTCCATTCAAGCGACATGTTTGAGACAGTGTGACCCGTATATTGCAAACAGTAAGATCCTCTGCTTCTAGAGCCGCTTGTGTAGTTTTTGCTCACATCAAAGACAGTCGACAAGCAGTGACTGTTTATGTGCCGTTGAAAAACGAAGATCACGACCGTTTGGTTGGAAGCTGGCACAGCTGTGACTTGCATGCTCGTCAATGCTGCTTCAGATTTTGAGTTTGTGGCATTCGTGTGCGTAGAAAGGAGACGTTTCGATCTGCGTTGACACATGCTGGGCTCACGGGCATCCGAGTAGCCGCTCCAGTTTCTGCGAAAGGGGGCCCTGGCCCTGGGCGTGGCCTGCCCGCCATGGACAAGGCAAGGTCTGCATGAGGAAGCCCTGCAGATGGTTTGCGCTTCGGCCGCAGGTGGCGCCGGTGGTTGGTGGCCTGGCCAGCTTGTGGATGGCCTACAAGGTGGGAGGATGTGGGAGGAGTTTTGCTGCACATGGGGTGTGTTGTGAAGCGCAGTGAGCAGGTCATTCCAGTGATGTATCGCTGGGAGCTCATCCCTGGTGCTGGGGACCTCAGCTCTCTCCGTCGAAGTGCTAGATGCCACTGATGTCGGTGTATGAATGGCGCATGCCTGGCGAAGGTTGCCTCAGAGGAGTGGTGGGCCCGAGCAAAGACGATTCGTTATGACCACTACACGGAGGCATTGTAGATGAGTGCTGGTGCTGATCATATGCGCGCTTAAATTGCGGCACATCTTTTCAGGGATCGCTGACAATCGCAGTGTGGTGCACCGCAGGGCATCGTGTACTCTCCTTATGACACCGGTGAGCCCATTCGAGAGATGCCCGAGGAGTGCAAAGGCGCTTTTGTTTCTTTGCTTCCACGTGGGAAGTTCTCGATTCCCGAAATTCTCAAACCGCCTGTAGTCGGCTGAGCACCGTGGAAGCGTCAGGCAAGATGCTCTTGAAACAAAGGCGCGGAGGTTGGAAGCTTCAGAGCGAGATGGAGGAGCATCTTGATTGCTGCCTTGCTCCTATGCGTCTTTGCCCCATTCCGCCGCCTACCTGTGCCAGGAATAGAGCAGCCCATCAGACGCAGCCACTCTGAACTGGCCATGGATTGCCATCAGTTGATGTAGGTGTCTTAAGCCTGTACTGGCGTTCTTCCATTCAAGCGACATGTTTGAGACAGTGTGACCCGTATGATTGCAAACAGTAAGATCCTCTGCTTCTAGAGCCGCTTGTGTAGTTTTTGGTGTCAAGAACGAGAAGGATGCCGAGCGAAAGAATGCACAATCTGCGACATGACTGGGCACATCACGCCGTGAGGAGCCTTTTGGTGGCTTTCGTAGCTGCCCCCTTGCCTTGTTATGCATGGATGCCGTGAAGCCGTTACTTCTCAGTCATTATTGCGACATGCGGTGCATGATTCTGCATGCTTTCGGGTTCATGGCTTTTTCCCCCGCGTTTCAAGACCGGGCGATATCTTGGGCAGGCTGCGGCTATTTCTGGATCTGCGGTGTTCAGCCTCAGAGTCCCACAGCTAAAGCTCCAAGCTGAAAGCTCCAAGCTGAAAGCTGCGCCATGTCTGATGGCATGGGCCGAGACAAGGCGCGGACTCAGCAGCATGCGTGCTAGTCAAGTCAGACACATCCAAATGTCCAACAGCTGAACCCGGAAAATCACGGACCTGGGGGCGGTGGGGGGGAAACCAGTATGAAACTGGTGCTTTTGCTTCGCATTGGCCACTGCCAGCGACTCCAACAAAAGGGCCACTCTTCTGCGTTCTGCGGAGGGCAGTGAGGGGCTCCCAAGGAAGTGCCGGTGGCCTCTGCGCTGCAGAGGTCTCCTCTGGCATCTCTTCGAGAGAGCAGTGGCATACAGTGGCGCCGGAGCAAAGCTGGAGCAAAGCTGGAGCAAAGCTGGAGCAAAACAAGCAGAACAACATGCAGGGGCTGTGCGAGGAGCAGCCTCTTGAGCCATGTTCATCTCATCATTCCATTTTCCCATAATTTGTTTGGCAGAGAATTCTTGGGATGGGCCGAGAGGGGGCCGCCTGTCACGACCTTGTTGTCTGTCGCCAGGCGATCGAGCCCATGTTTGCTCTGGAGGTCAGAGTGGTGTTCGCTTTGGACGTCGCTTTGCACGTTGATGACGTTCGCCCCTTCCTCGCTGTACTGATGCGTGAAACCCGTCCTTGAAGGCGCAGGTGGCGCGGCTGAAGGAGCCCAGAAAGTTTCTTTTTCGTTTTCATCTCTTCGGTCCTTCGGCGCTTGCTGGTGCTCCCCGGTGATCCGGCAGGAACAGCTCGTGGCCGAGAAGCAGCACTCGGCTGAGAAGGCCTCAGGGGAAGCATCAACAAACCTCACAAAAGCACCCCCCACAAGCCGCATGAGGCCGCATGTTCCCAAAACTCCGCCTCGTGGTCTGTTGTGATCCAGGGATTTTGTCATGTCAACTGCAGTTTCCCAAACCTGACAGCGCTGTGATACTTGTAGCTGCCATACGTATCCCAAGTATCTCTGCACAGGGAATCAAAAAGGTCGCCTTTGCACTTTCAGCGCCACCCTGTCTTGACGGCGAGACAGTTGACAAGATCCTTGCACAAGGTTCCTTATGATCTCCAGGGCTAGATCAAGCGGCTTGAAATCTGCAAGCAGCAAGGCTTCTCGCAATCATCTAAGTGTGTTGGGACCACTGTCACGAAAGCTAGCTCCTTGGAGCTCGCGAGAGTTGTCGTTTACAAGAATTCTCTCTAGTGTTCAGCTGGGTCAAGAAGCGACTCCGACCCTTAAGTGGTATGAAAATCAAAGAGATAAAGGGCTGTGGAGGGGGGGGGGGGGCCCTCCCCCCCCCTTATAGGATTGACAGAATCAATCTTAAGGGTCCCCCCCCCCCCCCTCCTTTCAGGGTCGCCTTAATTGATTTCTGGGAGGGGGGGGGGGGGGGGGCCCCCCCCCCCCCCCTTCCCTTTTCAGGCTTCCCCCTCCGTCTTGGTCAGGCCCTGCTGTCGAGCTGTAAGGCTATAAGGCCCCGGCATGAGCATTCGAATCCGCAGCTTCCGACAGCTCTTAGTGCGACCGCTGCGTGTCCCATCATGTTTCGTTTTGCTTACAGTTCAGAGTTTGCAGCGTTGTTGCTGCGCCCGCACTTCTCCTGCCTGACTCGAAAAAAGCTTGCTTGTCAGCCGCGTTTCTGGCTTTCGTGGCCCCGATCTCAAGTCCCATTGGAGAACCTGTGCACACGAATTCGATGCGCCCGGGCTACGGCGCCCATGTAGCACCTACGAGGTGCACTTGCACCGGAAAAAAGAGAACAGACAGGGGAGATAATAGAGAGTGAATGGAAGGACCACGGGTTGCGCATTGTGTTGTGTTGCTTGTCGCTGTCCAACCGCCTTGCGGTCTCTGATCTCCTTGGTCAGACTCTTGGGGGTAGGGGTGGACTCGGGTGGACAGTTTGGGGCGAGGATCAGAAGCTGGAGATGATGGAGGCAGTCGTCACCAGGCCCGGCCACGTTGTTGGCATAATCGAGGCTGTGGGGAAAACGGTCCACGAGCCCTTCTTCTCTTGCCTTTCCTTTGCAGAGGCTGCAGAGCCGCATCGAGCTGCTGGAGGAGCAGAGAGCTTTGTTTTTTTGCATTCCTTCCTTTGCTGTTCCCTGTCTCTGTCCTTATCCCTATCCCTGCCTCTGCCTCTCCGTCTCTGTCTCTGTCAAGATGCTTTGGAAGGAGAGAAGAGCCCTTTTCACCAGCATCTTTGAACTCCCTTCAAGGCTTTTGTTCTTTCGCTCTTGGTCACCCTTCTTCTCCCCCAGAAACGCTCGGGAACGCAAGCGTGCGTGCTCGATGGAGTCCCCCTGTCCTGAGGACCATCTCAAAGAGCAGCCGGCATCCCCAGAGCGCGGTCTCTTTGTATTTTCGCTTTCGCCCTTGTTTGCATGTGTTCATGTTTTGTCTCTCTCTCTGTCTCGTATCTATGTTCCATTTTGTAAATCTCTGTCTCTCTCTAACTCTCTTTCTTCCTCTCTTTGAGAGTCGTTCCTTTCTTTCTTTTCTTCTCGTTTCTCTTTTTCTTGTTCCTCTCCGATGTCTCTGAGGCAGCGGAAAAACCGGATCATGAAAGGAAACGGTGAGGCATGACTCCACTCCGCTCAATGGCCGTCGACTAGCCGTTGTCTGCTCTTCTTGATCAGTGAGGCAGCCAAGCTCTCCAAAGTTCTCTCTTGAGTTTGCCTGTTCCCATCGGAGGCCGTGCTGGAGCTGCAGCAGCAATTGGCAGAGGAGCTGGCAAAGCGGAAGTGCCTCGGACGCGCCTCTTTTGAGCCTTTGAGCTTGCAAAACCTGACGCTTCCCAACCCAAAGCACATCAGCTCAACTTTCCCAAGGCAAGCACAGTACGAGCTTATCGCCAAGGCAGGGTGGCACAGCGAAATTGTGTTGGGAGCTCTCTCTCTCTCTCTTGTCATTCATTATTTTATTGTTATTATTATTTATTTTTATTTTTGTTTTTTTTTTTTTTTTTTTTTTCTCTCTCTCTCTCTCTCTTCTCACACCGCATTGTGTACTCGATCACCCACTCCCCACTCGCTCACTCACATACGCATTCACTCCACTCACTCACTTTCTCACTTTCTCACTTTCTCACTTTCTCATTCTCTCTGTCGCTTTTCTTCTGTCTTCCCAGCTTGTAGCCAGGCCAAAGAGCTTTGTGACGTTCAGCAGCGCCCTGGCGCAAGGGAAGCACGACGTTCATGACTCATGAATTCGTTGGCCTGCTGGCAGTTGCGGTTTGTTGCCCGGAGGTGTGGAGCGGCAGGGCCACAGGAAGTTATCACATTGCTTGTATCCAGAGAGGAAGGGGGATAAGCGGTGTGGACAGGTTCTCAAAGGAGGCTGCAAGTGCTACCAAGACATTGGACATACAAGGCATGGGAAGCTCGTTGCTGGGGATTATGCCCACCTAGGGCTGTCAATGACTAGCGTCGTGTGAAACGCATTCTGTAGTCGCACTGGCTTGGGTGTTGTGGATGTATTGGATGTGCATTGCAACGCACATGGGTCTCTGCATGAAGTCGTGACAGTGTGCCAAGGATAGCACGCGGTTTCATGCTCGGGCTTTGTTCCGCAGATCGGTGAATTGAGTTGCTGAGGAAGATGGCGGGAAGCCGCAACTGCAGTGCCCAAGATCGAACCTCGCACTACGAGGCAAGGCGGCGTGTCTTCAAGATGGAAACAGGGCGAGAAAGTCGTGAAGACAAGTGCAAGTCTTGGTGAAATTTCCTGAGGCCAGGAAGGAGCTTCCAAGAGGCCCCCGAAGCTTGGTCGCGGCAGTCTGAGTCTGCGCTTGTCGTGAACGCGGCTGTTCTCATCATAAGCAGGCACGCAGCAATCTTGGTCCCCGGAGATTGTGCGTGCGCCGGGGCGCCCAGAGAGATCTTCCCCCAAAGAAGGTGGGGGGCCCTTTCAGCTTTCGATCCACTGTGAGGACTACCAGCCACAGCCCGGCAACCCCGCCGCCGGCTCTGGTGCTGCCGCTCTCTGGGCTTTCCGCGCCGCTTGGTGTTGCCAATTCACCGCTTCGTTTCTTCGCTTTTTGATACGCTTTGCCACCCTTTTGCCGCTTTGGATATGCTTACTCTACGCCATTCTGGTGCCAGGAAGTCGCCTTCTTCGTCGTTCTTTGCCCAGGGCCCTACATGCTGTACATGCCCTGCCGGCAGTGCCACACCACAAACGCCGCCCGCACCGACACCGACGGTGCAAAGTGCCAGGAGTGCCAGGAGCCCATCCTGAGTCTCCCCCTTCTGCCACCGGCATGACATGGCATGACATGGAAATGGTGAATCCCCAGCGCCCAAGTCGCTGAACCCCAGGCAGTAAGGGTTGGGTTTAGGGTTTAGGGTTCTGGGTTTATGGTTTAGGGTTTAGGGTTGAGGGTTAGTTTAGGGTTGAGGGCTTAGGGCTCAAGGTTTACGGTTTGGGGTTTAGGGTTTTGTGTTTAGAGTTCACGTTCAAGGTTCAGGGTTTAGACGGTTCGGCTTGGACAGGATTCGTAATTGTAAACGCTTGCGCGCGCCGCCTCGGCAGCCGGACCTGGAAAGGCCTGCAAAAAGGGAGGGGGTCCCAGGAAGGGTTTTAGGCATCTTGGGTCTCGGGAGGGTCCGGCAGTTCGCAGGGAGGGGCCCTGGGAGTCCGGGTTGCCCAAACAAATTCGCGGACCGAATCCCGTGTCTGCTTGTTCCAAACGCTTCTCGGCAGGAAGCCGAGGCGAACATAATGCTTACACCAGTTGAGCCGGGCCCAAGAGGGGGGGGGGGGCAGAGAACCGTCCGCTTTCACATCCGGTTTCAGATCGTTGTCACCTGTGGGGAGTACCCATTCCAGGCAAAAAAGGGGGCCGACTTGGCTTTGAGGATTTGGAGGGGGCTGCCTGTTCTCACAACCTGTGCACCTTCGGTCCGAGGCCTCGGCGGATTGTAAGTTGTATCGTTGCAGCGATGTTTAGCGATGTTTCGTCGTGCAGCCACGCTGATCCCTGATCTTCGTGCATCTCGTTGACGCCTCCCCACCCTATCGTATCCAGGGAGTCTCCGATGTCGCAAAGAAGGGGGGAAGAAGAGCTTCGACTCTCCTCGCTTTGAGCGATTCCTCGTGCGCCGGCCCCAAGCCACGGGACGTGCACCTCCAGGATCCAAGACGAAGAGGGTTCCCAAGGCTCGTACGGGGTGGACAGCTAGGCAAGATCTCCAGCGCAGGAGATCCTTCTGAACATAGGAAGACACGATGGGCGATAAGTCAGAAGTCTCGTAAGGCAGGTCCACGGAAGGTACGGGAGGAAGCAAAACCGCCGGGTGTTTTGGGGAGGGGGATTTTTTTTTTTTTGGGGGGGGGGGGGGGGGGGGGGTAAAGAAGGGTTTACGGAAAAGGAGGAGACCAGTCCCGGCCATAAAAACACATGCGACGCTGTGAACAAGCTGTGAAAGAAGTTGTGAGAACAAGTTGCGAGAACAAGCTAGCTGCCTTTCTCTTTACAGGACCTCGCCGTCCCTCTCCGGGCTTGCAGCAGGTGCCACAGATCGCTCAGTGAGCTCTGAAGATGTCTTCTGTTTGTTCAAGGACTTGAGGATTTCATGGTCTGAAGCCTCTGGGGCCCACCAAAACCCTCAACGAGAGATGAAGTGACCTGCTTGTAGTGACATCTGTGCATCTCCCTCAAGCTGTTCTCATTCTCAGCCAGGCGAGGGCCTGGGCGATCGAGTGAAACAGAGGCTCTCCGCGCCACTTTGCAGATTGCAGGTTTGTCGATGGTGATGTGTCCACTTCCTCGCGCCCTTTCTGTAGCTGCTAGACCTTGCTGGCGGCGCCGCCTGCATGTGGGCGCCCGTCCACGAGCTCCTAAACTTATGAAGCTAGAGTTTTTTGCGATTGAACTCGAGTTCCAAATGTGTAAAATTCGCAATCGGCAGATTGCGCCGCGGTCGCACAATCAGTTCGTCAAGTCAGCATCGCCTCTGTGTTCTGCCTGTTTCGTTGACCGTCGCGCAGTGGCTTCTAAGGAGCTGCCTGCTTGAAGTCTCCGCAGCCGATCGATTCGTTCCACGCGCGCGCGCACACGGAGGGGGTATTTGGACTTGCCATTCCATGGAGCATAACATCTGCTGCCGCAGTGTTGCGTAACGGTCCACGGAGTCCACGTCCAAGCGGACCAGACATAAGTTAAGTATGAGAAATTCTGCTAGATCCTCGAAGCATCCCGATCCTCCAAGTGGCAGGAAAAGTCCGGTGGTTCCGATGATCAATGCCTTCAATGCCGAGTCCGTGCTGATCCGGCCACCAGCAGATGACGAGGGTCCAGGTGCAGTGCAAGGTTCTCAATCACCACAGGCTTTGAGCAGTCCTGGCGTTTTGACTTTGTGCTGCTGCACATCTCGGGGTGCTGCGACTTGTGCTGCGAATGCTCCGAGGTCAGCGCCGAAGGTATCTTGGTACGGGCATCTGCACGGGCAGCAAGGCCACAACGCCTTCCAAACCACGTCAACTTGGCACCTCGGCTTCCTGATTTCATCTTGGGTGAACGAGAGAACATAAGAACATAAGCTGAGGACGGCATGCGAATGTGAGTGCACAAATCCATGAGCCCGAAAGGCCACAATCACAAAAAGCTAAACAACCATGGATTTGCTTCCGTGTTAGGCAGGCCCTAGTTGGATGGCAGGGTTTTGAACGCCCATCTGTCGGAGACTTCCGTGCCTACTACGTGGTGATACCGATGTATGTGTGTGTGTGTGTGTCTGTATATGTGCGTGTGTGCGCGCGTGGGTGCATGGGTGCGTGTGCGCTCGTGCGTGCGCGCGTGCGTGCGCGCGTGTGTGTTTGTGTGTTGGTGCGTATGCGGGCGCGTGTGGATGGTTGGCTTGTCAGACTCCACTTGTAGGTTCTACCCACGTCAAGAGTGCTGGACGAGCTCCTGAAGTTTTTGTTGAAGCTCAGCTCGGAAACTTGCTGGAACTTCTCACCGGGTTCTGGCAGAATAGCCCTGGACGCACCCAGAGATTGAAGTATCCAAGAATGAAGGGCCGATTCGAGGATCCTTTCCAGGATCCCCGGAGCTCCTGTCGCAACCCGCTTCTTCCCCAGGGTGTTCCAGGGTACTGATGTGTGTGTGTGCCCTTGCCATATGTGTTCTTTGAACGTTTTTCACACTCTGTGGAAAGAACAGCCGTTCATGCAATGTCTCCTCTCAAGTTCTCTCAGACGAAACAAGCCCCGGACGCTGGCTGTGGATGCACAGTTGTGAAAGAAATGCTCCTCGACTTCTTCTTTTCTTTCTCGCGTGGTTGAGATTGCGTGGTTGAGAAGACATTCGAAGAGCCTGAAAGCCTTAAAGCCTTAAAGCCTTAAAGCCTTAAAGCAGATGGGAGGCCAGACCGCAGAAGTTCTCTCGGCTGACAAGGGTCTCATTGTGGAGAGGGACAGGAGGTTCACAGGTGGCGAGGATGCCAAGGGTTGGATCCGAGAGCACTTCAGTATGAAGGAGCTGTCCCACTGCTTGGGAGGGCAAAGCGCGGCCAAAGCAGGTTGCGAGAGCACAGTGACGCCTCTCCTTTAAATTGCAAACAAGAGACGCAAGAGCATCGAGAGCACGGCACGGAGCAGAAAAGCGCAGCCAGGAGCAGCCGGCCGTAGCCAGCATAGTGGAGCGTCGCCTATGTGTTGAGACATGCCATATGGAAGATTCTCTGACCTCTTTGCGTCGGTGTTATCTGAAATTTTATCTAATCTCTGATATTCCGGTGGGTGTCGTTGCTGACGTTTCTGCTGTTGGCATTTTGGGAAATAAGGGTTTCCTTCCGGACAAGCACATGCGAGGAACGACGGGGAAAGCTCTCAACAACTCAGAAGACAACTCACGGATCTGCCTTTTGACAAACCGCTTCGGGGCAGAGCTGTAGAGTCGGTGGAGTCGGTAGAGTTGAGCCCCGTTCCTCAGTTCCTCAGGGAGCCTGGAACTCCTGCGCACCTTCAAGACGCTCCTGGAGTTTACCCTTCTTGTCAGTCAGGCCTGGGGATCAAAAGCCATAAGGACAACAAAATGGACCACATGGTATACACTTGAGGCTTGATCCGATGTCCCCCGAGGCCACGCCACGCCCGTGTCGCCGGTGTTCCAGCACGTGCACTTGGACTACCCGCGCATTCTCACCTCGCGCCACGAAGTCAGGACCGGAAGAGGGGAATGCCTTGAGAGCCTTGAGAGTTGTGTCATGTTGTGTCATGTTGGGTCACAAACTTGTTTCATGTCGTTTCTCTCCTGTTTCTCTCTCTTTCAAAGCGAGTGAGTGCTGGGGAGGACAGGTGTGGGCTCAGGCTTCGCAACGGCTGCAAAGTCGGCCAGGGTGATCTCGCCCCCGCTCTCAGCACGCTTGCCTACGGGCCCCCTGGTGCTGCCTGCAGCACAGGTGGTGGTTTGTGAAGGTATCCATTTTTGAAGCGCCGCGGCATCTTTGCGCGGGACATTCCCCGAAGGTCCCCGAGGGATTTTCGTGTAGCTGAGCCCTCGCTGCCAAAGACCTGGACAAAGCTTTGCGGATCTCTCACTTGAGAGAGGGCAGCATGGGCAGCCTGTTTGAACCCGCGCTTGTAATTTGTACGTGTCCGTGTAGTCAAAACAACCGCTGCTGCGAAGCACACTGTAGCCTTTGATGCCTGAGAACTATACAGACCAGATACAGACTATACATGCCAGCCAGCGGCTGTGATGTAGACATCACTTTAGTGGTCTTTGCGGCAGCGCTTTGCGTCAATGTGCTTCGGTGCTTGTTGAAAGCGCATTTCACGGCCTGTTTCAGTTCCATGATCCGTGAAATGGGCGTCAAGCTGCGCCAAAATGTGCCCTCCGGACATCTCCGGATTGCACGGAGTGCACCCCTTTCCGCGTGGTTCCTCGGGTCCTAGGGGTGCACAGGGCTCTGCCGCCTTAGGCCGCTACGTGGTCTTTGAAACACTCGGAGACGCTCTGAGCCTCGGTAAACTGGAGACGGAGCTCACGCAATTCCAGGCCAAAAAACGCAGTTGTCAACACGTTCAAACTGCAGGGTCTTTGAATCCTCGGCCCAGGTCTCTGTGTGTCTCCGTGTGTCTCCAGGGCGTGCCGGTACTCACACTACATGTGTGCTAGAGGCATCACGCCCCCATTCATCTTTGTGGCTCCCGCGACGTGAGTCGGGCGAGCAGAGTGAAGAAGAGTGCAACGTGCAAGGCCCCTTCTCGTGTCGTCCTGCTCATTGGCTGTTCTTAGTCTGTTCATTGGTTGTTCATTGGCTGTTTGTGCTCATGCGCTACTTGGACATGCGGCACCATGCGCGGCTCTTCGCATGGCTCCGCAGGTTCCAGCTCAAAGTTTCTAGCTGTTCCCGATGGCGCCAGTCACTCACCGTAGGCGAGTGAAGGCCGAAGCGGGAGGGATGGAGCCGCAGTGCACAGCAAGAACCCAAAGAGTTAAACGGGATTACACCTGGATTACACCTGGATTACACCTGGATTACACCTGGATTACCCTCTCGCTTATCCTTTCCAGGTGCTGGTCGCACTGCATGCCTGCACTCTTGCGTCCGGCACTCACGCAGAGAGAGAGAGAGAGGCCTTTGGAAGGCATATGCATAGCAACGTATTGTAATGAACTCTATAATGTATGGTAGTGTCTACGGGCTTGTCTTTGGGCTCGTCGACATGTACATGTTCCTTTGAGGTGCACCAACTTTGTCACTGGCAAGCGCCGGCATGTGGCAACGCCTTGCGAGTCGCCCAAGCCTTTCGCTGGCCGTGAGGCGCGTTGGAAACGTTGTGAGAAGTGCCTTATATGCCCGTGGAAGTGTATATCAAAGCGGTGTTCGAGGTGCCGTGTTCCTGATTAGCCGTGGGTGTGCAGGCCGTGCAGGTAAAGGCTGCAGGAACTCTCCATCCTCCAGAGTCGCGGTGGGTTCGAGTCCCACGGCAGTTGCCGATGCCTCAATGCCTCAAGGCTGCCAAAAGTATGGACAAGCCTTGCCTCGCTGTGCCTCGCCTACATTGCTGACGCGTTGCGATTGCGTTGCTTCTGCCCCCGACTCAAGGTCTGGAGCCGTGCCTGGGACGATCTCAGCAGGCCCCTGACAGTTTCAGGGATAGGAAGAACGCGCAGAAGGAGGCCTCTTTGTTTTCGCAAAGAGGCCTCGCGGGGGCCTGCGCGGCCCTGGCAGCCCTCCCGGCTCTCCCGGCGCTCTCCCGGCTGCGCCGCCTCGGCGCCGGCCCTTCCGCTGGCGCTTCCGCCGGCGCTTCCGCCCAGCCGCCGCGGCGGCCGGGTCCCCCGAAGCCGCGCCGCGCGGGCGGCGAAGAAGGCCCCCCGGTTGGCAGCCGGTGTTGCGAGAGAAGAAAGAGAAGAGAAGTTGAGGATTCAGGAAGAGGGTTTTTGCGAAGGGGGGGGGGTGGGGGCGGGGGAGGGGGCGTGGGGGGAGCTATGCAGCTATGCAGCAGAAGCTCTCTCTCTGTACTCAAGTTCCCTGTCTCTGTGTCTCCCCGGAGGCCTCGACGGCCTTGACTTTCGATTTCAGAAGACCCGCCTTGCCGCTTGACGTCATAACACCCACTCAATGTCTCAGAGTGTGCTGCATTCGTCTTGCAGCAGCCTAGGTCACCTTTGCGGGCATGGTGCCCCTGTGTGTCGGTGTGGTCAGCTGCGTGTTGCATTTGTTGCACTCCATGTTGCAGAGTGACCTCAAGTGCAGTGTTGAACTTGGCGGAAAAGACCGGTTGCCAACGGGAAGATGAGCGCAGATAGTGTTGCAGGCGACGTTGTGCTGGAGCACAACCAGTTTCACCTGCGGAAAGACTAACGCATGGTCAAAGCTTGCGAGTGCTTCGCAAGAGACCCGGGCTGATCTCCTTGTCGCGCTTGGCATGGAGCGCGCGCTGCCCCCCCTGTCGTTTAAACGGCAATTCACCAGAATGAGCTGTTTCAGCCAAAGCCCTCCCATCCCCTTCGCAGCCTTCGCAAACCCAAAGACAGGGAGGACCAAGCTCGTACATATTCCCTACAGGTGTTGGGAGGGGATCAGTGGGGAAGCGGGGGTTTTTATGGGACTCAAAGAGGCGTCACGTTTCTACGGATAACATGCCGTATTGAAACTTGACCCGATGTGGGCAACGATGGGTTCAGAATTTTTGTGCCATGCAGAGGAGCTTTAGGCACGCGGAAGTAGGACTGGTGCGCAGCAATGCACAGCACAGTGGAGGCTACATCAGTTCCTGGATTTAGGCATGCTTTTGGCCGGCCACCCCGCCAAGCCTTGGCATGGGGTTTCGGGGCTTCTTTGCCCAACGCGTGCTTTAGCTGCTGTGTTGCGCAAGCTGGCTGCTTGCCATACAGTGCCGTCGTTGTGAGAACCAGGCGCGCCTGCTGAATTGCAGCTGATGAGTCTGAGTCGCTTTGCTGGTTGTCGACAAGCGAGAATGGCACGTGCCGCATTCTGTCGTGGCAGTTGAGGGTCGGGAATATGTCCAAGATCACAGCATCATGGCTAAAGGGCAAGGCACTTCGCACCACGAATATACAACCGGGGTTGCCAGGGGCGCTCGCTCTCAGCTGGAGTTTTCAGGTACTCGGCTACGCCGTCTATTACTTCACTCGGCTGTCTTTCACGTATGTGGGCGTTCGGCTCAATGCTGCTATACAACTCCGCCACAACACCGCATGTCACTGCACGTCGCTGCATGTGGCTGCATGTGCACGGTGACCTGACATCAAATCACTTCTCCTGAGCGGCACTTTGGATGTCCAATGTAGACCTCAGGGGTTCCCCGGGTCCCCGCGGTGATTTGCTGAGGTCTGGCCATGCGCAAAGACCTGGGGCTTAGCATGGTCCAGCCTTGAGCTTGGGATGGAAGACGGCTGCAACTGTCTGTAGTGTAGACTCATAAAGACTCAGACGTTATGGGGTCCCCTGCTACTTGCATCTTCGCCTCGAGGTTGGGCACCATCAGCTCCTTGTTTCCGCTGGCGTGCCCTGCTTCGTTTCAGCTGCTGGGAAGGTTTTCCTGCTGGGAAGGCTTCCCCAGGCTTCCAGAGGCTTTACAGTGCTTAAGCCTGCTTAGTGATTACGGCACCCGAAGCCCTCGCAGCACATGACTAAGCTGTCCAGCATCTTGCGGGGTGAAGGGGCCGGGGTAGTGGATGAAGAGCCGGGTTGGCCGAAAGATATCCCATCTTGATCACTCCACACATATATATATATGTATACATCAACATATCTGTGCAAAATCCATGTCTCTCTCTCTCTCTCTCTCTCTCTCTCTCTCTCTTCGCTCATAATTAATCCTGGGGTTGCATTGAGGAGCGGTAGCTGGCAAACAAGACCATGCAGGGTTTTCACCATCCGCTGGCTTCGTGAGCCAGCACACGAATGCCAGTAGCCACCATGTTACCTAAGCGATGTGTTCTTGCTCTGCAAACTCTCGCAGAACAGCGTTGCCACACCTTGTCCGGAGATGTCTTGCTGACTCGCAGCTCGTCATTTTGCTTGCCTCACGTGACTAATTGCGAGTAGCAGGAACGATGATGGAACAACATTGTTTACGCTGGCATGGTGTGGAACAGCATTGGCCCAGGGTGTCCGAACAGGGGGTTTTCAATCGCTATCCGGAACGCTTTCAAAACACATCTCGATTGTAGCGAGCCTCCACATGAACACCCTGAGAATCGGAATTTCAAGGTTTAAACAGAGTGCTCGCAGGCTGAGCCTCAAAAAAGGCTCAAAGTCTGCTCGACTGCAGCGCAACAGCGTGTAGCCAGGCCTACATGAACTCCAAGTTTCTGCGAGCAGCTTAGCACGTCCCAGTCACAAGGCAGGTGTAGAACAGTGTCCATCAGAGTCCATCACAGATGCAAATGTCACAGATGTCCTGGCACTTCATTTGGCTCCTCAGGTCCGGGGTTCTGTCTGACTTGCTCGGATCTCCGGTGCCTTGGCATCTTGGGGTGGAAGAATCGATAGAATGGAGCCGAGAACCCCCCCGCAAATTGAGAAGAAGATTCGGAGCAAATACTGGCGCGGGGGTGGGGGGGGGGCAGGGGATTTAGATTTTGAGCGGAGGGCCTTCTTGAGGTGCTGATCTTCTCCCTCGGGCTGATGCTGACCGGAGTTCTGAATATCGCTTTTGCGGCCGCCAGCACGGTGCCCCCGCTTGGTGTCATTGTGTCTTCTTTGGCGTCTTGGTGCGTTCTGCTTCTGCTTCAACCAGAGCACAGCGTTCTGCTTAAGCTTGTTTGACAGGTCCCCCTCTTCACCGGGATCTGGGTGCTGAACGGCCTCTTCCAGGCCTTCGTTCGTAGATGAGGTTCAGCAAAGAATTCAGCAAAGCCGCCCTGCTGTCCATGTTGTCCATGTTGTCCGTGTTCAATCTGCCCCGCAGGGCTGCGGAGCGACTCCCTGCAACAAGATGCTGGTCAACTGGTTCCCGGTGGGCGCAGGGGAAAAGCAAGAGAGGAGAGATGTTCTCGTGCCCCGGCACGTCTGTTGCCTTTAAGTAGCTCCAGGCGCGAAGTCGAGGAAAGTGGTGGAGCAGCTGGAATGCGCCCGGCACCAATTTCACACGGAATTTCACGGCTGGTCTGTGGCGCGAAGTTTGGGAAGTTTGGGACCAGGATCTCGGGACATTTCGGGACTTCCGCGGGGTTGTTTTCTTGGGGTTTTTAGGCTTCAGGGTTCATTGGGTCAAGGCCGGGGTTTATAGGCTTCAAGACACGTTCCGGAACTTTGGTATCCGAATGTCACCGCACATTTCCTGAATTTTGAGCCCCCGAGTTTCCGTTTGCTTCTGAAGAATGTCTGCCGGCACAATGTGACGCACTGTGGCACACCGTGGGAGACCATGGCACACCGTGGCACACGGCGCCGGAAAGCGCGGAGGGACTGTTCGTTTGGAGCATGGAGGGCGCACTGAAGGGGGTCTTAGGTGTTCGCTCCTGATAAGTTTGCTCTTGCGCTTGCTTGTTCAAGATTTGTGTCGCCGAAGGCTCAGATCTGGCTAGATTTCGCAAGGGTCCCAACATATCCCAACGCTTTCCGCTTTCCGCAGCTTGCTGTGATGTCGCTTCTTCGTGATTTTGCCATGAGTGGTGCCCAGCTGATGCAGCCACGAGTAGCCCGAACCGTTTTAGGTTGTGACAGTTGCGACAATCTTGTTTGCAAGAGGTCTTGAGCAGGGCGGAGCGTGCTAACGGCTGCTAACGTGCGCGTCATGGCGGCGGATCGTCGTGCGAAGTCTGGACTTCTCGAAGTGCAAATGAGCTCTGGATCGGGTCTCTGTGCGAGATGCCGAGGCAGTCCATGTGGCGTGCAGATCGGCCATGATTTTGGCGTCTTGAGCCCATCCCCCGTGCCAAGTGCGGAGGTTTCAGTTGGTGCGGCGGAGCGGGGTATCCCGTTGCCATGAGGAGCTTGAAATGTTCAGAAGCAGAGCTCAGTGTCGATGAGTAGCTGAGCAGAAGCAGATCAAGCAGATGACTCGTGCCTGAGCCACAGCAGCGATGCCATCGTTTTCTGCGGCATGACCTCCTTGACAGCGTTTTCAGATGGTGAGCTGCGCCTGGTTGAAGGCTGGTCGGCTGGAGATGCTCCGGGCCGCCTCGCCAGTTTGGGCACCCGTGTGCAAGCTTGGCTCACCAGCGTGGTATTCTGGATCTTCAGGCTTTGCTAGGTGCACGTCCAAGAAGACGTGCGGTGCAGTGCCGATGCAGGTGTCGGAGCTGACTTGCGCTTTATCGGAGACGACCGTGTGGAGTGCTCCACGTCAGCAGCAGACGACGTAGTCTGTGCGCCAGAAGAATCGGTGCTGCTGACTTGCGCTGGGGGCGGCAGCCCCATCGGACCATCAACAAGTCTGTGAAACGCTTGCAGGCTACTTTGTGCGTCTTGGAACATACCATCGGCTGTAAGCCTGAAAGTTTCCAAGCGATGCCTTCAGACATGACGCACAGTTATCTGATGCCAAAACCCAAGGCGACAGAACACTAGAAAAGCGACACCAGCGGGTTTCGGCAGCCGCTCACATGCAGAACAAGAACTGTGGAGAGCTGGCGTCGCTCGATGTTGTTCACGGATGTGTAGTTGTGGAGCCTGCAGGCAGACCTCAGACGGATTCAGTCAGCTTTTCATTCCATCGTTGGATGTGGCGGTGTCCGCTTGCTTTGCTTGGTGTGCTGCCTGCAGCTGCCGACTTCTTGTTTGTCAGCGGCATGACTGCGAATGCTGAGACTTGCTTGGTGTCGAATGTGTGGCTTGACTCCTGCGAGAATGCCGTTGCCAGTCTGAGCGGGAAGGAGATCTGGAGCTTGGCGTCAGATGCAAACCTTGTCCACACGGCCTCCAAGAAATGTCTCCGTGCACATGGCCAGACAAATGCAGATGCGCCAGCGGAGCTGGTGCAGTGTGACGCGGCTGGCGGCGTGCCCAAGTGGGAGCTGGAGGCCAATGGCCAGATGAAGATGGTGCAGAGCAGTATGTTTGTGGGTCATCTCGAAGGGTCCAACTCAGTGGTGAACGCAGCAGCAGCTACAGCAGCGTCAGCCTCGGCAAGCTCGACGTTGGATCCCGCTCTTGCCATTGAAGGCGTGGCGTCCACTGGGTTTCGAAGATGGGCGAGGTGACGTCACTTTGCTTGTGGATCTTGGAGAACTCGTGGGTCTGTGCTGGATACTGACTTCGAGTTTGTTCCTGCCGTGTTTGCGGTGGTTGATGGTGCATGTGGAAGGAGCTGGGCCGGAAAAGTGGCTACAGGTGTCTGCTACAGAGCCTGAAAGCAGGATGAAAAAAGCGGTCAGATGGGGACCGCGCTTGGCAGATGCCGAGGTGATATCCGGGTTCTCAGCACGCATCGTCGCTTCTTTTGAGGATTCTCGATATCGCTGCGCATTCTTCAAAAGCGGCAACAGAGGCCAGACTATGTCACATTCTCACTCCGTCACAGAAAGCCCAGCGAAAGAACACGGCGTGTTTTCATTACAGCCGCGTCCTGGGGTACAGGCACCGACTCCTTCAGTATCTGAGCCTCTTGAAAAATATTTTGTAGTCTTGGTAGGGCCCCCAACCCTGAACCCCAAAACACCCCAAAAAGCCCCAAAGTCGCCCCCCCCGCCCAAGGTATCTGGAAGCTAGATGGAGATGTGGAGCAGATACGAAATGGATACGAATGCCATACGTATCTGGGATCTTACAGTAGGGTCTTCGGTGTGAGTGTTTATTGGATGTAGGGAGAAGGCAAAAAATCGGGGGGGGGGGGGGGTTTACTTGTTATGGGAACGCACATTAAGGTCCTTTCACGAACCCAGGATGGCCAAGTGATGGGGTTGAGACAGTCTTCGCACGACCCTCGTCAGCTGGGGAAGAAATGTGCCAACGTCAAGCCATGAAAGCTTTCGCAGCGGGGAAAGTGCAATTACGGGGGGGCCTCTCCACTTCCGTCGCGGGTCAGCTGGACTCTGGGATCGAGTTCAATCAGGGCTTCTTCCTCATGATCGTTGCCACATGGATCTGTGCTTATGGCAGAAATGGAAACATGTGGATCAGGGCCGTTTGGGACTTAATTAGCTAGGACCTTAGGGCCTTAACCTTTTTGGGTTTCCTCAGAGTTCTAAGTGCCATGATCAGGATGATGAGGCTTTTCAATGGAGAGGCTACAACCTTCCAGTTTCATCCGGAGGGCGCACATTATGGTCGAAGTGAGCCGGTGCAGAATGCTTCAGTGTAGCTTCGTCTCCCCAGTGGGGCCAGAAGTTCATAATTTTTCCGTTGGCCTCTATTCTGGCCCAGCCAAAAGGTCGCTGCGAACCATGCCTCACACAATCGCGCGGTCTGGGGTGTAGGGCTTAAGGAGATACTCACCATACTCACCATACTCACCCCAAACCTTATATGAACCCCTTTTTAGGGGTGTGCTTTCGGAGCTGTTGCTTCTTCGATGAAAGGGCGCGATGAACCTGGCTAGACGTGCTGCAGTAAGCTGTGCCCCGACTACGATCTACCCTCCACAGCTTTACGTATGGTCCCCAAATGCCGCTGTGAAAGCTCCTCGAGAGAGTTGCTCAAGAGTCTTCCAGAGCCTCATCGGCGAGAGTCTATCTAGTACTTTGCCACTTTGCTGCCACTTTGCTTCCCTATGTCTCCGAGGTCTCACAACATTGGCGGCTTCCTCATTCCGCTCCTCGCAGGACCCGGGGCACTCGTGTGGGGAGGGTTGACAATGGACTGTTGCAATCCCCTCGGACAGACGAGAAAGTAACGATGATGAGAGCTGCTGTTCTTCTTGCAGCCAACGAAAGTGGAAACAAAGCGCGAAAACCTGCGAGGCGGCCTGGCCGCGAGGTTCGGCTGGCGCTTTGGCATGCTCGGCCCGGGCGCCATCGCCGTCTTTGCCGGGCTGCTCGCCCTCCTCACCATGAAGGCGAGAGGCATGCGTGTGCCAAGGATTGCCCTTCCCGCTCTTACTTTCTCTTACTTGCTCATTCCCTCCGTACTTCACAGTACTTCGCTGTAAAGCGGAGACTTTGAAGCCCATATCTGAATCGGTCGTCACTTTTAAAGCCTTGTAAGCCTTTGCATCCGCGCTAGAAGTAGTGGGCAGAGGACCCACGAGAACCCCTTCCCGCTTCCAATGGGAGCATCTCCATGGTTGGGTTTTCAAATCTCAAATGGAAATGACATTAAAAAGCCAACAAACACCGAGATGCAAAAGAAAGCGGCGCATGCCGAGGTACATGTGACCTGAGTGCTCATTTGCCTTAGCTTCAGTCCCACGCACAGGACATGAGTCTAAGCAGCTCTCGGGCAGCGCCCGGTCACAAGCAGGGTCTCGATGTTTTGGAGACAGCTTCCTTGCGGAGCATCGCGCGCAAACGTCCGGTTGACTCTTCCTGTGCGAGTGAACTTGGTGCGAAAGAACGCATGACAGGAAGTTGGCCCCTGCAGGGTGTCTCTGTCTGTTCTTGTCCCTTCGCTCCATTCTGAGCCTTTTGATTTCAACTCGCTCTCTCTCTCTCTCCTTCTCCCTCTCGCAATCTCTCTCTCTCTCTCTTTCTGCTTTTTTTGTTTGTTTTTCTTTTTTTTTTTGGGGGGGGGGGGGGGGGTGCCTCCTTTTGCGTAGTTTGCCCGGAGCATCCTCGGCCCCAGCCTTGGCGTGACAGGACTCGCCGGAGAAAGCCGGCTTGCCTTCCGCAGAGGCCCCCCCTTCCTTCGCGTTCTCTCGCAGTGCTCTGACATGCTCTGACGTAGTTCTCTGAGCTTTCTCTCTGTTGAAACTGCATCAAGCGATCGCAATCAAGCGCTGAAGAGCTGCAGGAAGGACTGCCCAAAAGCACATGAAATATGACGTGTGAAGTCGTGGCGTGATGGTAAAGTGAGTAAAGTCAGGAGTGACCAGACCCTCGAAGACTTCGACTCTCTCCCCTTTCTAGTAGCTCTTAGAAGAGCTGCCGCCTGTTGTGCACTGCCTTCAAAACTGTCAAAAAAAGCCATATCTCCAAATATTGCGCCCCAAAGCTGCTCACAAACTCTCAGCCCCAATGGCCCCGATTTTTGCTGTGTCCTTCTCACATGGCGAGCGATGGCGTCCACTCCGCCAAGCTCTACGCAGAGCGCCTCTCAGAGCGCCTCTCAGAGCACCTCTCAGACAGCTTCTCAGACTCTCAAGCCTTTATTGCAGATGGCTTCGCTCTGCTTTTCGCTCTGCTTGTCGCTTTTTGCTTTTCGCTTTGCTTGGTATAAGGCAGCCCCCGGCGTCGTTCCAGTGCGGAATCGCCGCCGGCTTCTTCACGACAGCCCTGCTGAACCCGTGGGCACTGGCCCCAGATTGGTTTGTTTGCAGCTCCGAGCACGCCCCCCCCCCCCCCTTGCCAGCTCGTGGGTACTGCAGTTGTAAACTGTGGGCTTGCCTGCTTGTCTGCGGCGGCCTTTCGATGAAAGGATCGCGCGCTCTACTTGGCCATTGTGAATGGCCGGCCCTTCTTCAGCAGGCGCAAAGATGAGCGCAAGGATAATGCTCCAGCTGATTCAGTCGGGCTGACTGAAGGTAGCTAGCTGACTGAAGGGAGCTTCAGCTTCCACTCTTCACTTTTCCACTCTTTCACTCTCCTCGTTTCCTCTGCTTTCCTCTGCTTTTCTTGCGCGGGCAGGGCCAATTGGCGAGAGCCCTATCGAGGCGGGGTCATCGGCTCGGGCGGCGACAAAGCTCTCTTTCGTGGGTGCGCGTGCTCTCGCCTTCTCTTCTGAAAATGTGGCTCTCTTTCTGGTAGAGTAGGGAGAGCTCCTCTGACTTTTTTCTCCTCCCTGGAGAGGCATCACGCAGACGCTCACCCAACGGTCTCTCTCAACGGGCATCTACTTCCCACTGGAGGAGAGAGCACTTATCCGCTCATTCTTTGGGCGCTCTCTTTGCTCTGCCCTCTTTGCATCCCTCCCCTCTTTCCCCGTTGAGAGTTTCGCGCCTGTGGCAGAGGAGATGTGCGCCCGTGCCACTGGCTCACAGGCGCTTGGTGGACAGGCCCCGCGCCGGCTCCCTCTCTCCCTCTCTCTCCTTTTCTTGCATTTGGTGTGCCCTGTGGAGGCAGGAGGAGTACTGTGCGGTGTCCTCCTGAACCCTTTGAGCTATGTGAAGTGAGCCCTGAGATTCTTAGATTCTTCATGCCGCTCTCGCGCCACTCTGTCTGGCTGCTACTGAAATCTGACACTGAGAGGTACCAGATGTGGAAGGAGGACGACGTGCGCCGCTCCTTCACCCAGACGGCCCCATCCTCGGCTCAGATCCCGCTGGTGGCTTCCTGCAGCTCCTTACCCCCCCGTCTTTCACCGTTTTCCTGCTGCTACAAAAAGGATACTTCTTTGCAAGCGGAAGTAGAGGGGGCAGTAGTCTTGTCATGGTCGTGGGACCCCCTTAGATGTCAGACGCCATCATGGTGCCACCTTGCGACATGAGCACAGTGAGACACAGTGAGATTCAGTGAGTGGGCGACGTGGTGCTTCTTGTTTGGGCTCATTTATCTCTCTCTCTCTCTCTTTCTCTCTCTCTTTCTTTCTCTCTCTCTCTCTCGCTCGTGCGTTTTTAGCAGGGTTGGGGGGAGCAGAGGCGATGCGCATGCTGCGGAAGGTCGGCCCCAAGGTTTTCCTGCGAGGCGCAGTGGGAGAGCACTCGGAAAGGGCGCGACGAGTCGGAAAGACTGGGACCAGCGTGCAAGATGCCCTTATTGTTTTTTTCAAAGCGCCTTCACCAGTCTTACAGACTGCCCAGCGGGCGGGCTTGTTTCAGTCTTCATGTGCCTTCTCTCGCGTTCTCTCGGCTGGCAGGCATCATCTCGACAGCCTGCCGGGATGGGACCTTTGGGCTGTGCTTCTCGCTGCGAAAGTTCTTCCAGGCCCAAGGGCCCAAGGGCCCCAAGGGGCCAAAAGGGAGGGAGTTCTTTGAAGGCACCGCCCGTTTCTTCCTACGACGGGCCCGGTCGATTCACTGTGATTTGGTGTTTGACCAGGTTGGCAGCCCGCTCCTCAGAGCTCGGCCAGTTTCGGCCAAGGGAGCGGGGAGAACCGATGGGAGGGGAGTTCCTCAAAAGTGTTTTCCGGGGGGAAAGGCCAGGACCAGCGCCTACCCGACTTCTGCGTCGGGGTGCTCTTCGCCGCGCGGGGCTTGTGGGCTTCTGCTTGTGCGATGGTTCTTTTTTGGGCGCCCCTCTCCGTCCCCCCCCCCCCCCCGCCCCCTCTTGGCAATTGTTTCGAGGCCGCCGGCACCACGCTCAGCGCGCCCTTCAACTACGTGAGGCGTGCGGCGAGAGCGACCAGAGCTACGAGAGCGACGAGAGCCTCACAAAGCACAGTTGCAGCCGCCATGCCAGGAACATGGCCTATGCCGAGAGCCTCAAGGCCTCCCCCGCCCCCTCTTCCCCAGTCGCGGCCGAGCACCATGCGATTCAAGCGAGATCGGGCACGGGTTTGGGGGGGGGGGGGGGGGGGGCGCCTGCCTTGTTGCAGCGCAGCGGCAGGTCGGGATGGAGCGCTGGCCTGACAAGACGCGGCCGCCCCAGACGAGAGGCGGTGAGAGGTGCGCAGTGACCCCGTGGTGTTCCTTTTTTTGCTCCTCGGATCTCGTTTTTGGAGTCTTTCCTTTTTGTCGGGCTCAGGCGATTCTGGCGGACCCACATGGGCACCCTCTGGAAGGGAGCTGCACAGCAGGAGCCCACCCCAATGAGTCTTGTAAAGGGAGTCAGTTTTTTTGAGCTCCTTAGAGGGGATGAAGTACTGGGATAGCAGTGACGTTCGGAAAAGAGAACGGGGAGGTACCAACAACTCAGACATCATTTGGAGGAGTCCCTGTTAGCCTCCCTGCACTTCCTGCAAGCCCGCATGCAGCTGGGCTGGGGCACCCTCCGCGTGGCCTTCGGCATGGTGCCGGGCCCAAGAGAGAAAAAGAGGAAAACCTGAACAGAAGAGAAGCAGAAGAGAAGCTGAGTTCTGCAACACGTCAAGGGAGGGGGCTTGCGCATGGGGGGTCTCTGCCTCTTGCACATTGCGATTTTGTGCGGCTCCCCCCTGAGGCTCTCACGGACTGCATCTACAATGCGTGCAAGCGCGCTCACTTCAGCGCACTCTGAGAGAGCAGCTCAGCTCTCCTTTTCGAGAGCAGAGCCGGCGAACGTCTCGCAAACATGCGGTGACGAGTGTGACGAGTGTGACGAGTGTGACGTAGAGCCGAGCAGAGGTAGCCAGTTTCGGGCTTGCTCTCTCATCACCCTGCCTGCGGTTCTCCTTCTTTTGAGGGCCCCCGGGCAGTGGCGTGTTGCCTTGAGCGGTGCCATGGCCTCTGCTTCTGTTAATGCGCATTCCGTGGCATTCCGTCAGTTCGAGCCCTTCTCCTGAATGGGAGTTGTGGTCTCTTTTGAGGGCAGCGGCACGCGCGCTGAGCCGAGCGTGACACACCGAGAAATCGAGCAGCATCGTGTGGAAACATCGAGAGCGAAGCCTCTTCAGAGGGTTGACTTCCGACATGAGGGGTCTCTCCCTCACGGCTCTCTCTCTCTCTCTCTCTCTCTCTCTCTCTCTCTCTCCCTCTCTCTCTGTGAGAGCCCTCTCTCTGAGCTCTCTGAGCCCTCTGTTCTGCGGGCGGCTTCGGGGGCAAGGGGCTCGAGAGACGCGCCTGTTCTCCTCTGGAGAGGACTGGGCTGCCCCGAGGTTCGCGTCTTCCGACGAGGCTCGCGATAAGGGGGCTCTCAGGGGCTTTCTCAAAGGCGGGTTTGCATTTTGCTTTCTCGAAGGCTTAAGTGCATAGGCAGTTTTTGTGAAATAGGAAAGCTGCGCTGCCAAATCCGATGGTCCATCGCGGGCCCATCGTGAGTTGTGAAGGTTTCTGGGAACGCTGAGCCTGCCGTGATCGAGGACTCCGACGAGAAGGCATCTTCGTTTCTCTCTCCCTCTCTCTCTTTTCTCTCTCCCTCTCTGTTTGTCTCTGTCTGTCTCTGTCTGTCTCTGTCGCTCTATACTTCCGACTCCGAGCCGTCATGTGAGGCAGATGGTGTGCAGATGGGTTCGTTTTCTCCTTTGGCGCGAGGTCTGGGAATCGCTTCTCCGAAACCGGTTTCTCTGGTGCATGGCAGCCTGCCACCTGGAGCGTTCACCGGATGCGTTCGCGTGACGCGAAGTCGTCCGAGGCGATGCATTTCTTCATCTACTTCATCCGGCAGGGTGTGCTTAATTGGGCGCCTCGGACCTGGATAAAACTGTTTGAGTAGCTCCGTTGTTCCAAGAGCTCGCCACTCCGCTAATCCTCGATGCTCCCATGTTGTCTGTGAAGTGAAGACGTGAAGACGCGAAGAGAGGCGCACTTTTACATCATGGATGAATTCGGCGTTCCGGCCCTGGAGGCCGCGCCTGTTTGGCGCTGTAAACGAAAAATACTGAACTCTTGTCAAAAGTTGCCCCGCCCCCTCCCTCCTGTTTTGTTGTGAGGCCACCGCCCGAGTCAGCGGCTTCGAACTGGGAGGCCACATGTGAAGGGAAGCTCTCGCAGTTCAGCTTAGAGTTCAAATCGTGGTTGATTAGCTCTTGCTGCAGCTAGAGAAGTCTAGAGGTCTTGAGGGATCTGGCCAGCCTCCTCGAACTTGTGTTAGATGTTGCGGGAGCGTTTTTCGCCAAAAAAGGGCTCGTCTCGAGATGTGGAGCTGAGGCCTGCTTGGATGCATCGTCTCGGGCCAGGCTGGGACCTGAGAGATTCCCCAAAAGATGCCGAGTGCTCACTGCGGTCTCGCTGGCCTCACTGCGGTCTTACTTTGCGAACCCGTTCTGAAGCCTCGAGGTTTCGGATTGGCTGATCAGCCGCTACCCAGAGCGAGGAGCTGCGGGCTTGAGAGCCCAGGCGCGAGGAAGAATGAAGCCCCCAAGAAGGAAGCAACGAAGCCAACGCCCGCCAGGGAGCAGAAGCCGATCTGCCCCGCTTTCGCCACCCCAAAAACGCGGTGGGCTTTTTCCAATGATGCAATGGTGCCCTGCTGGAGGTTATGATTGCATACTCCTTGCTGGCGGCAGCGGCAGCTCATCCCCGAGAGACTTTTTTCTCTTTCTTCCAACGATTCGAGGGAGGAGGGCTCTCTGAATTAGCTCGGTGTGGATTGCATTCCACGGGATGCGGGGACGGGCCTAAGTCCAGTGTCCTTTTGAGGTCTTTTGCTTGTGGGTGGTGCCACCGCTTGCTGCCGCAGCCTCACGCAGCCTCACAGCGATGAGAGATGTGCTCATCAGAATCAGTGCTGGGGTGCTGGGACAATCCGAGCCCCCGAGGTCTTGCAGTGGCTGTCCATGGCAGCGTTTGGCGGGGCACCCTGATGCCACAGCAGAGAGCCGCAGAGAGTCCGCACAGAGCCCACACAGAGTGGCCTTTTCTCATTATTCAGAACATTGAGAATCTGGAGGCTTTGCCATCTATGGGCCGCAGACCCTCATCACCATGACAGGGGTGGAGACGGTGTGCCCATTCAGCTGTTCACGTCCGCTGACAGTCTGTGTGAGCTTGGCCATTGTCTTGCCCTTGGCCCAGGTCCCTCGCAAGGCAGCCGCCACGGCAGGAGGATTGCGTGCTGCGAGAATTTGGAGTCGGAAGTCCTTCGGAAGCTCCGCGTGAGTTGGGTGAGTGCAGCGCTCTCCCTCTGCATCGCAGGCCTGCTTGCGTATCCCGCACAGCTGGGCTCGATGTGCGCAGGCCCTGCCAGACAGTCCATCTAGACTTCTCAACACGCTATTCAACAGTTCTGTTGTGCGCTTCTGCGAGTCATTGGCGTAGCAGGCCTGCCTTTTGCGCTGCTGGCCTGGGCCTCCAGCATGCCTTGGCCCGTTGCCCGTTGTTGCCTCCCAAGTTTGCTCCAGGTCCAGGAATATGGCTGGGGAGGCTACTTTCCGAGCCTCATCATCCTGAGCCTGGCCGGGGTTGTTCTGTTGAGCTGGAGTAGAAGGGAGTTTACCGGAGTATAGCGGAGCATAGCGGGAGTGTAGCGGAGTATAACGGCGTATACAGTACTCGAATGGTGTGCCATGGTGGGTGTCACTGTAGCGTTGACACTTGAGGTGCATTCGGAGGGGAGGGACCTGACTCCTTTCAGGTGTCCTCCGTGGTCATCATCCCCGGGTGGAACACGCCCTCCTACCGCCAGGCACAAACAGGGGGAACTAGCCCTCAAGCCTCGACGCGGCGTCGAGGAACACGAAGGGTATACGAAGGGCACGAAGAGCACGAAGAGTGCGCATGCCTTTGCGCCTCGTTGGCGACTGTTGTGTGCTTTGCGCCTCTGCTCAGGCGCACCTGTCCAAGTCATAGACCCAAGGCGCGGCGGAGTGAAGTGTGGCAAAAGAAGCGTGAGGTTCCAAAAGCCAATTGGATCAATTCGCAACGCCTCTCCAAGCTGCGTGCCCTCCAAAAACAGATCCTTCCCGCTGCAGATTTCTACAGAGGAGCAGGCCAATGCCACTCTTGCCGCTGTACACCGGCCACCTCTAGCCTAAGCAATTCCTGAACCTCTCAAAGGACCACCTCCCCAGCCCTCCCCAGCTTCTTTGACAGTCGATCCGACTTATCCTCGCCCCACCCACCTCCTCATGCCTCCACCGCCCTGGGCCGCGGCGGCGACATGCCTGGCAGCAGGCTCAACGATCAGCGATAAGGGAGTGGACGTTGGTGTTTTGGGGCCGTTCGCGGATTCGGCGTTGGCGTGCGTGAGTGAGTTCCACATCAGTTCCACATCAGTTCCACATGCGCATTGTTTCCCCACCCGAACTTCCAGGCGCGCTGGGCGTCGTCGCATGGATCTGGTGGAGGCTCGGGCCTTTGGGGTGAGAGCAGCTGCCCCTTTTCGGAAACAAACAGCCTGGCAAAGGTATCCCCACGCCAGCAAGGCCGAGATTTTGAAGGCCTTGCAGGATCTGCAGGAGGAGTACCGAACAGCTCGAGCCCAAATCTCTTGCGCACTTCGCAATTCCCTCGACATGCCACATTGGAATTAACGTATTGCAAATTTTGTGGCATTTGCTCACATTCACGCTTTTTCGGAATTCACAGTGCGGCGCGCTAGTAGAATGGCAGCCTGCTGTGGCTTGTATGTTGGGACCGACAAGCTGCCGCATCAGACATGCCGCGAGAAGAGATGTGAAAAAAACAATTGCCATGACTGTACTTCTAGTATGGTATACTTGTAAACGCCTGCGCGCGCCGCCTCGGCAGCCGGGCCGGTCCAGAGTATGCAGTATGTGGAGATGACGTCGGCCTGGAGGCGACCTCTGAAGTGGATTTATCAGGGCAGGAGACCGGATCCGGGTCTGCTCGTTCCAAACGCTTGTCAACATAAACCGACAAAGAGGGGGAGAAGGCTTTTGAAGGTTTGCGGGGTAAGGGGTTTCAGGCAGTTTTACCGGGGGGGGGGGGGGGCGAGAGACCCTCCACGGCATCAGTTTGCAGCTGCTCCAAGCGATTGGAGGGGGGGGGGGGCGGGGGTGGCGTCACAAAATTCTGCACGGGGGCAAGGGTTGGGTTGGGGGAAGGAGACCGGATCCGGGTCTGCTTGTTCCAGACGCTTCTCGGCAGGAAGCCGAGGCGAATATGGTATAGGTAGGCTTTTCCGAACGAACCCTTTGCCTTTTTCAGGGCAGTTGTACCTCGCTTCTGGGTTCTTGTATTTGAGAGTGGCAGTGGAAGGCATGGAAGAACGGTGGGAGGTAGTATCGACACGCATGCTGGAGCAGAAGCTTAAGGTTTACGCGGAAGTGGCTGCCGCAGTGCATGAGACGACGTCGTCGAAGGATGGCATAAAGCAGGGCCAATCAGAGGAGGACTCGGAGCTTTGCCAGGCTGGATGGAAGAAAGGGTTCTGCCCTTGCCTTATGAGCAGAATCGCAAGATAAGAACAAAAAGCCCACGGAGGTGCTGGATCAACCCCTGCTTCAGCATGGCCTCCGATCTGCCACAGAGCGGGCAGCAAAGAGATTGGGAGGCCGTCGAGCCTGAGAATCTTCAGGAAATCTACGGGAAATCTCAGTCGAATCTGCTTTCGGAACGTCCTTGAAGAGTGTGTCACTTTGAGGCAACTGGTCGGCCCAAGACTTGGAGACCGCTTTGCAGAGCTCCGTGGCAAGCTTGATATGTAGGGGAGTTCTTCTGACACTGTCCCCGCATCCTTCTCCGCGCCCTGCTGTGGAGAGAGACAGAGAGACAGAGAGAGAGAGAGAGAGAGAGAGAGGGACAGAGAGAGAAAGCAACACCAACCCTTTCTGGGCCCCGTTGAAACCGATGGGGCCCGAGCGGACAGAACACAGACCCACTTGGCCGTCGCGGCCGGGTTTTTTCTTTGGGGGCGGACTCCTACGTGGAGAGAAGAAGAAGAAGAAGGGAAAGCAACACACAAAAAGAAGAGGGAAAAAGAGCAAAAGAGCGCGAGTGAGACAGCGAGGCTACGCAGACGAAGCCGCCGTGCGGGAGGGCTTGGCCCAACTGCAGCGGGAGCACCAGGAAGCCCTGGAAAAGGGGTGCCTGGTCTCCGAAGTCTCCGGAAGAGACGAAGCAAAAGACGGAGGAGATGAAGGAGATGAAGGAGATGAAGGAGATGAAGGAGATGAAGGAGATGAAGGAGATGAAGGAGATGAAGGAGATGAAGGAAGGGAGTCAAGAAAGGCAAGAAAGGACCCAAGGAAGTCCGAGGCGCGGCTTCCACCGGAAGCGCTGGGGGCGCTCCGGGATCTCTGCCGGCGCCGGCGCCACGCCCTGGAGGCTCCATCTCCCGTCATCACCCTAGCGCCCCTCTTACAACACTCTCTCATTTCTTTGATTTAAGGGGTTTCAAGGTTTGGCAGTTGAAAGCAGTTGAGAAGGTATGGAGGGGTTATGGACTGTGATACAGCAAATTGTTTAGCATGCAGCAAGAAAGTCAGAGGGCTTAACCTGGGCAGTATGTTTCAGTATGTGCGTGTTAAAGGCTTTTTGGATTGGGCAAGGCAAGGCTCCTTCTGGGGGTTTGCCGAATGCCCCTCTCACTGGCCTCTCGCTGCCCTGGGTGTAGTCCATTTTTCCATTTTTGGAGGCATAGTCCGACAGTCTGTCTGTTGTCGGGTTCCAAGAGTAGCCATATGGTCCACCGCCCTCTGAAAGGGCTCTGAAGTGCGGCCCTTGGGTTTCAGGGTATACAGGGGGTAGATACCGTTTCCGCAGTCAAAGGCCCGTACCAACGCCCCCTTGGGGCGTTCCTAGAAAACACGGTGCCAGCAAAAGTTCGGTTTCTGGCGACAACGGATTGTTTTCAAGCCTCCGTGCGCATGGAGGCCAGGAGGATATCTCCTCATCCTCATGTCCCCCCAGAAAAGATGGGGGCTGGGCATTTTGTTCTCCCACATGTTGACTTGTTGCAGAAATTCTGCGTTATTTACAGTTTGCAGCCTCTGAAAACGCGGAAATGCTGCCGTTTACTGTATTTGCAGCCTCTGAAAACGCTGCTATTCACGGCTCTGAAATTGCAGAAATGCTGCTATTTGCAGTTTTTGCAGCCTCTGAAAAAGCAGACATGCGGCTATTCACAGTATCTGCAAAGCCACGGCGAGCCACACGTTCAAAAAAAGACAGGCCCAAGCCACACCTCGCCGGGTCTGGAATAGTGGAAGTCCCAAATCGAGGGTCGCCAGAGTAAAATGTTGACCGGGCTGAATCGCCAAGCAGCTGCTCCCGTTACTTTGGCAGGGGCTTCTCGGCGAGCATGAAGAGCTGCACGCCAAAGCAGCCACAGCCTCAGACACCCAAGCAGCCCCTCTGCTCACTCGGCCCCTCTTCCCCCTCTCTCTCTCATTGTTTTTTTCTCTGTCTCTCTCTCTCACTCTCTCTTTCTCTGTTAGCTGTCAGCTGTGCTCTCCAGGCTGGATCCCGCGCCTGGACGTGATTTTTGGCACTCGGGAGTCTTGAGTTTTGCCTCTTCTGCCTCAAACTCCTGTCCTTTTTTTGTCCTTTTGAGCCGTGCGAGGCGGTTTGGGACCTGAGCTGCTGGCGCGCTGCCGAGACGTCGAGGAGGAGTTCTGGCGAACTTCGGAGCCCCTCGGAGCAGATCCCTAGCAGCATCCCCTCCAAGCCTCTAAGTGTTAAAGTGCGTACTTGAGACTGCGCAGGATCCCCCGCCGCTCCTTCGGACCGCTCCTGTCTCTCTCTGGGCTCTCTGAGCTCTCAGAGCTGGAGGACGGGGGGTCGCATGATTCGCATGCAAGGATCTGCGCGCCGGCTCCCGGACAAAAAGCGGGGGGGGACCCTCTCCTCCGGCTGCTTTTTTGAGCGGCGTGAGAGCGGCATGAGCCTTGCAGTTCCCAGCTTTCCGACTGAGCGCTGTCACGTTGCCTCCGGCGGTCGCCATGCCTTCCTGTGCTTTTCCGCCGCCTTGCGCTGCCAGCCCTCACTTAGAGATGCGGGAGGCTTCCGCGAGCCGAGCTCCGTAGGTGGCCGGGGCCGATCGGCCATGCCATGTCCGGGACTTTTCAGACGTGAAATACAGATTCTTTTTCTTTCTAAAAAAGAGAGCCTTGGCAGATGCCTTCGTGAGGCTGGGCCGCAAACCCAAAGGGGATGCCGCCGTCGCCTCTAAGCCAGGGGCTTCCAGGTGGCGCCCTTCATCCTGCGCTTCCATATCTTCCCGTCATTGCAGATCCTGAGTAGATCTCCTGAGTTACTTGGCAGGAGGAGCACGCCATCTGCGAAGAAGCGCAAGTGGCTCCTTGGACTTCACAAACTCTTCAAGCTTTAACAGCCGTTTTTATGGCTGCGATGCATGGCACCGGGTGAATCGTGGAAGGCAGGAGGAGCTCAGTGAGGAGAGTGATGGCGAGGCCATCTGCAGTTTTGTGCAGCTGCATTTCACATTTCCAAAGACTCATTTTGCATCCGATTCTCACCCAGTGCGGCAGAGTCTTGCACAGGGTGAGCAGATCACGGTGGAGGAGTTAGAGCAATGGAAGGAGACGCTTGCCGAGGAGGACTCTGCAGGGCTTGACCCTTCAGAAGCGGAAGTTGGGCGATGTCGTCACGATTCGTCACGTGTTCAGGAGAAGCGCGAGCAAATGGAGAAGGAGGAGCAGGCGCCACCGAGCCACCTTGCAGCCGCGGTGTGCTTTGTGCCTCGCATCTCGCGCGGGAACTTCCGAGAATGTCAGGAAAGAATCGCTCGAGAGGAGGACAGAAGACGAAGGGAAGCCGAAGAGGCACGTACGGCACAGATGATGGCACAACATGGTGTGACGCAAATATCACAAGAGGCAATGACGTTGTGATCTAAACTTCACACAGGAGGAGCGGCGGAAGCGCGAACGGGAAGAAGCCCAGGCGCAGAAAGAGGCCGAAGAGGCCGCTCTTCCCTCTCTGGGATGGTGTCGAGAATGGTTTTCTGATGGTTTTTTTTCTCTCTTTTTTCTGGCCCTCTGCTCGCTATGGCACATTCGGTCAGTGCACCCTCCACGGTGGTCCCGCAAGCTCACAAGACGGAGCCCTCTCGGACAGCGCACGACTGGTTATAGGGTTCTTAAGGGAGGGGGGTTCAAATGGGGTATGTAACCCAAGGTTCCCTAATACTCCCTAGTACTCCCTAAGGCTCCCTAAGCTTCCCTAAGGTTCCCTGGGTACCTACCCCCCTTTGAACTCTTTTAAGAACCCTATAAACTGGCTTGGCTCCGGCCCACGCGGGGGCTTTTTGCGGGAGCACTTGCGAGGCCCGAAGGGCGGCCGAGGAGGCCGAGCAGGAGAGGAGGCGGCAGGAGGCAAAGGGCAAAAGGGCACAGCAGCGCGACAAGCGCTTGCAAGCGCTTACAAGCACGACTCGCTCTCCTTGTTTGTGCTTCCCTTTTCTCTTGGTCAGGAAGATCTGATTCCTCCTGGCGCACATCCGCCCGACGTGCTGGGCCTCATTCCTCCAGGCTCGAAGCCGCAGACAAGAGATCGCATTGTGGCTCTCAGATTCTCTTTCCGTCTGTACGCTTTCTTCCTCTTGCTCGCAGGCCTGAAGCCGGACAAGGCGCACTTGTACAAAACGTCGCCGGTTCCTCAGAGCGAGCGAGAATGAGAGTGAGAGTGAGATTGAGAGTGAGAGTGAGAGTGAGAGTGAGAGTGAGAGGGAGAGGGAGAGGGAGAGGGAGAGGGAGAGGGAGAGGGGGAGGGGGAGGGGGAGGGGGAGGGAGAGGGAGAGGAAGAGGGAGAGGGAGAAAGGGAGAGAGGGAGAGAGTAGAAGCGAGAGAGAGAGAGGGAGAGAGAGAGAAGAGAGAGAGAGTAGAGAGAGTAGAGAGGATAGAGAGAGTAGAGAGCATGAGAGTAGAGAGAGTTGAGAGAGAGAGCCATAGGGCCACAGATCGTGGTACACAAGGGGACAAAGGGGTTCACGAGATGTCAGCGAATCGATTCGGGAACCCCGTGGAAGGAATGAGTGGCTCTTCCTGCTTCTGAGGGCGGAGCAAAGCCATAGGACAACCCAGCCGCTTCGTCTGAGGGCGGCGTCAAAAGATGCCAAGATCAGCGCCCAGCGGCTCGAGAGTTCGGCGCGCCCGTAAGGACCCCTGAAGGGGAGGAAAGAGGAAGGGCGCCCGGAAGAAGCCTGGAAGCCTGGAAGTGAGAGCGTAAGAGAGATCGAGCGTTATAGAGAGAGAGGAAGAGAGAGAGGAGAGAAGAGAGAGAAGAGAGAGAAGAGAGAGGAGAGAGAGAAGAGAGAGAAGAGAGAGAGAGGGGGAACACATCGCGCTGGGAGTGGTGGGGTCGCATTTCCACCATATATGACTGAATCGAGGGGACTGGGCGCGCCCGCGCGCGCGGGGGTTCTTTGGACCCCTCATGCCAAGAAGAAGAAGAAGAGGAAGAGAGAGGAAGAGAGAGGAAGAGAGAGGAAGAGAGAGGAAGAGAGAGGAAGAGAGAGGAAGAGAGAGAGAGAGAGAGAGACGAACTGAGGTACTGGGCGCGCCTGTGCGCGCGGGGGGCCCACGGGTCCCTCAAGCCCTGTAGAAGAAGAAGAAGAAGAAGAAGAAGAAGAAGAAGAGAGAGAGAGAAGGGGGTTAGTGGCTAAAGCTGGCATGGGACGAGTGGAACACCTCACCCCTACACCTGGCAGGTCTTGGCCCTTAATCAGCAGGTCTCAGTCCCGCTGGGGATGTTCCGGGAGTCCTAAAAGGCGCGCATACAGTTTCAAAACCCGAATACAGCTCGGGAATAAGGTGCTGAGTCAATGCTCCAAGGAGTATCACAAACTGCCCCAAACCGTCTGTTGGACCATAATCGTACTTCCACCGCCCCCGGTGTTACCGATCTCCTCCAAGCACCAGTTTCACACCAACGAACTCGGTGGAGCGTGCCCCTTGGGGCGGCCCTCTCACCAGGGGCCAAGCGCGCTGCAAGCAAGCAAGCAAGAAGGGGGTTCAATTTGGAGGGTTTGTGGACAACTCTCCCCTGGAGTCTCCGAGGACAGCAGGCTACCCCAAAGCGGGGGATGTGCAGCGGGCTCTGCAAGTTACGCGCCTTGTCGTGAGGGGTCACGCTCAAGCCCCCAGAAAGAAAGAGAAAGAAAGAAAGAAGAAAGAAAGATGGAAAGAGAGAGAGAGAGAGAGAGAGGGAGAAAGAAGAGGGAGAAAGAGAAAGAAGAGAGAGAGAGGCTTAGGCCGAGCACTAGTCATGTTGCACACCACAAGACAGCCGGACCCCACAACTAGAAACACGCAGTCAAGTGTTAATTCGCATGGACCCGAAACAGAGCCACCAGAGCGGGGCTACGAGGGGGGGTGTAAGGTGGGGGGCCCCTTTCTAGGGGGGCTGCGGCCCACTCCTCCACTGTCATTACTGGACCGACGCGGCAGGCAGTGCAAAGGTCGCGGGCCCATGACCACCAACGAGTGCTCTGGGGAAACATACGCAAAGGGGGCGTTGTAGAGGCCTGCCTTGCTAGGCCTTCCACACGAGTCACACCTGACAAGTCTCACGAATCGTAGACCCAGCTCTTGAAAAGGGGGCATTGATTTCTGTAGTACGCCTTTGCCATGATAGTTGTGTTTAAGATTCCCATCACCTGGCTGACTTACTTCCCTCAAGAAGGCCAACAGATGGGAAGCACAGTGGGGGGGGAAGGATCGTCTTGCCCACAGTGTTCATGACCCTGCTGATTCGCTTATTTACAAGACCCGAAGCCCCAATCCCTGAAATCTGCATGGGCAATGCCCGGTGGCAACAAGACGGCCTCCCGCGAACAGCGTGGGGATGGCAACTCAAGGGGCTAAGCGTATGGAGAGAGAGAGAGAGAAACAGAGAGAGAGATAGAGAGAGAGAGAGAGAGAGGGAGAGAGAGAGAGAGAGTGAGAGAAGGGAAGAGAGAAGAGACAGAAGAGAGAGAGAGAGAGAGACAAAGGCCACCCTCTTGAGGGGGCCTCTTCGCTGTGTAGAAGAAGAAGAAGAAGAAGAAGAAGAGAGAGAAAGAGAGAGTGAGAGAGTGAGAGAGAGAGAGAGGAGAGAGGAGAGCGAGAGGGAGAGACAGAGAGAGTGAGACACAGAGACAGAGAAAGTTTGCATGAACATGTGTTTCTTTGGTTGCTTTGTCCGCCTGCGAATTGGGTAGGTTCTGCAAGCGGTGGGAGCAGGGCAACTGCAACTTCGGTCACGACCTTGATGGTCTCGGCAATCCCCCCTCCCCACTTTCCACCACATCTCCCACTCTCTCTCTCTCTTTTCTCCCTCTCTCTCTCTCTTCTCTCTCTCTCTCTCTCTCTCTTCTCTCTCTCTCTCTCTTCTCTCTCTCTCTCTCTTCTCTCTCTCTCGCGCTCTCCTCTCTCTCTCTCTCTTCTTTGCCTCTCTCTCGCTTCTACTCTCTCCCTCGCTCTCTTTCTCCCTCTCACTCTCACTTTCACTTTGACTCTCATTCTCTCTTTCACTCTCACTCTCGCTCTGTCACTCTCTCTCTCACTCTCTCACTCTCTCACTCTCTCACTCTCTCACTCTCTCACTCTCTCACTCTCTCACTCTCTCACTCTCTCACTCTCTCACTCTCTCACTCTCTCACACTCTCACTCTCTCACTCTCTCACTCTCTCACTCTCTCCTCTCTCACTCTCTCACTCTCTCACTCTCTCACTCTCTCACTCTCTCACTCTCTCACTCTCTCACTCTCTCACTCTCCCACTCTCTCACTCTCTCACTCTCTCACTCTCTCACTCTCTCACTCTCTCACTCTCTCACTCTCTCACTCTCTCACTCTCTCACTCTCTCACTCTCTCACTCTCTCACTCTCTCACTCTCTCACTCTCTCACTCTCTCACTCTCTCACTCTCTCTCTCGCTCTCTTGCTTTTTCTCTTTGCTTTTTGCTCTCCACCAATGTCTGCGGTCTACATGGCAACGAGGCTCCGCGTGCCACTTTGCACACGGCGAGCGGGAGCTGCGTGGGCGGATGCCCTCCCAGCTCGGGCCCCGCAAGTGAGAGAGAGAGGGGGAGAACAGAAGGAGCAGAGAGGTTTGCAGAGCAAACAGCGCAAACATATCAACAGAGAGAGAGAGAAAGAGAGACCTGTGAGAGGATTCAGTGATTCTTGCTCGCGCTCCCTCTCTCTCTCTCTCAAGTATGCCTCTGTTTCACATGTCTCTCCTTTCTCCATCTGCACTCTGAGGGCGGGCATGCCGGGACCTCTGACCATGGCACCCGCGCTGACACCCGCACTGGCGCACCTGGCACCTCTTCTTGAGACTGAACGGATACATTGTGGAGTTGGCGCTGTGGATCTTCCCTCCTTCTTTCTTGGACTTTCCTCTCCTCTCCTTGAGTTGGGTGTCTGCGACTCCTCCTCTAGTACGTGCCAGGCGCCCAGGCCTGCTGTGCCTTTGGCACCCGCACCCGTGCCGGCTCTTGCCTCACAGGGGCTGTGCCGAATTCTGCTTGCGTAGTCGTGCCATCTAGCGGGGAACTCTGCAACAAGACGCTAAGACCGCTAAGAGCACGAGAGCATGCCAAGGTTCCAGTGCCGGCAGCCAGCGTCGGGTGCTCGAAGTGATTGTTGGCCATTCCGGACAGGGAAGCATGAGAAAGCATGGGGATTTGGGGTGTTGACCCGGAGATGGGTGAGCACGAATGACTACTGGGGCCGCAAGAACATTTCGAGTCGTCATACATAAACTCTGCATGATGGCATGGAACCCGTGCACAATACCGTGCCTCTCGGTGTGCCACTATGTTCGCTGCCACTTGCGGAAGAGAGGCCCCCCCCCCCCCCCCGTATACCACAAGGCGGCATTAGGAAGGCCAGCTCGCTCCTGCTTAGGTGTCCCTGTCGCGCCCTCCACTGCCACCTCGCCCGCCACTTTCTGTGTCCTCTCCTCAGATCATCACAAAAGTGCGGGAAGGGATGGCATGGGATGGCCAACAAGTTGCGCCTACGCCTGCCCTTTCAGGTCGCCGATGGCGGTCAAAGGCGACTGGAAGGGTGACGGCTTGGGAAAAGGTAAAGGCTTCGATGGCTTTGGAGAGGGTAAGGGCGGAGGTTGGGGGGAGGACTGGGGCGACTGGGCTGATTGGGGCACGGGCGCATCGGGTCCTTCGTGTGGGGCCTGGGGTGGAAGCTGTCCTGGTGGCGCCTGTGGCACCGGCGGCTGCGGCGGTTGCGGCGGTTGCGGTGGCTGTGGTGGCTGTGGTGGCTGCGTTGGCCATGGTGGGGGCGTGGGCGGCGGCTGCGGCGGCTGCAGCGGCTGCGGCGGCTGCGGCGGCTGCGGCGGCTGCGGCGGCTGCGGTGGCGGGTGCGGCTGCGGTGGTTGCGGTTACCGTGGCGGCTGCGGTTGCGGTGGCGGATGTGCGGGCTGCGGGGAAGCCTGGGCTGAGGAGTGGGGAGGTGGCCAAGGTGACTGGGTTGGCTGCGGCAGTGAGTGGGGATAGCAGCAACCAGGCCTGAAGCTTCAGTCCGCACGCCAACTAACTCACCCAACTCACCCCTAACACCTAACACCGCTCACCCAACGCACCCTTGACATCTCACTGCTTCGCCTTTCGTGCTCGAGACGACCTCCTAGCAGCCCGGCGAAGACAAAGAACGGCTCTCGTGGCTGTGGACACTGAACCGAGTGTATGCCTTAAGTGATGCCTTAAGTGATCACTCTGCTGCTTTGCGGCTTCGCGGCTCAAAAGCGCTTCTCCTTCTTGGCCCCGCGCTGGCCCCCAACCCCAGGCTGCGATGGCATAGACCACTGTTTGACGGCAGGTTGTTGCCCCATCCTGCGATTGTTAAACAGTTTTTTTTTTGTGAGCTCTTCTGGCTCTTCCCCCCCCCCCCCCCCCCCCCCCCCATTGTTGAGAGTCCATTTGGGCAAATGTCCCGAGCGCGCTCCCGTCAGTTTCGGCGACCTGGCGCCCCCCCCCCCCCCCCCACATGGACTCTGCAGACTCAGGCCCCGACCCCAAAGAGGACGGGCGGGAAGGGGGAGGGGTCGCAGAAGTGTGACCACGTGTGACCCTTGCAGGAGTTGAGTCGTTGCGGGTGCTGGCCCGTGCCACGCGAAAGGCAGAGCAAAGTTGCACTGACCATCGCAGTATATCGCAGTCACACATATGAACAAGAGAGAGCCTCGTGGGGTGCGCGGAGAGAGGGACTCGAAGTCGACGAGTCGAAGTCGACAAAAGAGAGAAACGAGAGAGGCCCTTGGATGAGACTCTTTCTGTGCAAGTCGACTCCGCCGCGCCGAAACCTCAGAGATTCTGGGGTGACTCCTCGGGCTTCTGCGGTTGCCAGTACCTTCCCTCCTTCCCTCCTTCCCTCCTTCCCTCCTTCCCTCCTTCCCTCCTTCCCTCCTTCCCTCCTTCCCTCCTTCCCTCCTTCCCTCCTTCCCTCCTTCCCTCCTTCCCTCCTTCCCTCCTTCCCTCCTTCCCTCCTCCCCTCTCTCTTCTCCTCTCCTTGTTTGGCTGACGCGCGTAGAGTCTATCTGAATTCAGCCTTCTGCAGGACTGGCCATTTATCGCCGGCCGGTCACAAGTTGCCAGGTGCCACATAGCGGACAGAGCGATAGCGGTGACAGGGCCCGACTTTGTGCGATCTGAACGGCTACCAGCGGAACTGCTCCCATCGCGTCTTCTCACAGGTGACAGCGTTCCCGCTGCCTGCGTCTACGGAGCCGTGTCGGAGCCACCTTCAATGGGAGGGGCCCGAGGGGCCCGAGGCTCAAGAAAGCCGAGCCACAAGGAGGCGCTGAATGGCCAGCTTTCTTTTCTTGCAACTTGAGCCCCGCCCGAGGCATGTTCCGCTCCTGCGTCTGCGACTTCCAGCAAGGCACTGGCTGGACTCAAGAAAGCTTCTGCAGCCTGAGGAGACAACAAGTCCTGAACCCCAGAAGCAGATAGAGAGAGCACAAGTGCTCTCCTTCTCGTCTTCGGTCAAATTTGCTCATTTTAACCAAGGCTGGAACGAAAAGGAAGGAACGCCCCGAAGTTGCTCCGGGCATCCGGAGAATTAAAGCTATGGCTTGTGTCGAAATTTGCTCCAGTGCTTCAACTTCAGTGCGCCTCTTTACACCCTCGAAACCGATCTGCCCACAGAGTGCAGATGAATCTGGCAGCACTAAAGCAGGGAAAAGCGAATGCCTCGTGGCAGACAGAACCTCTAAGACTAATCTGACTTTTTTGTTGCATCCTCCTTCGCCCCTTTTGCGCTGCAGGCGCCGCCCTCAGAAGTAGAGGTCGGCTTTCTTCCCCCGTAGGCCTTGAGAAGTGAAGGTCCATTTTTGGCCGCTCTCCGCTCAGCCTCAAGGATCCTCTTGTTCCTCTTGTTTCACGCTCGTCTCCCCTAGTCTACCCTACCCTGCCTATACCTCAGAAATCGGCAAAAGGCTCGGAAGAGATGGAGGGCATCTTTCACATGCTTTCCCCCTTTTCAAAGCGATGGTGTGCCGCAGGGATCCGCGAAGCGCAGCGAGCCCTGCACCCGCCTCGGAAACCCTGAGAACCCTGTGCAAAAAAATCGCGTTTCATTTCTTCGCTCTTCGAGATGAAGTTTCAGGTGAGGCAGCCCAGCCAATGAGCCCCAAATGCAAGATCATGCAAGAGGCCGGGACCTTAGTTTCCTGCAGCGTTGCGCAGCCCAGCTCCATTCTCCATGATGTCTTTCCGGGCTGATGCTCCTGTGGCTGTGGATGTCGGGGTGTGGGGTCTGCATGTTCTTGGCGACGCTTCTTCTCCAAATTACACCGTTGTAGGTGTCATGGGTGAGAATGAAGCCTTTCGGCGAAATGTGTCCCAGTCTGTGGTAGGAATCGGCCTTTCCCGTACTTACGTGTGTCACCGTTTGTATGTATGTATGTATGTATGTATGTATGTATGCATGCATGCATGCACGCATGCATGCATGTGTGTGCGTGTGTGAGTGTGAGTGAGGGTTCGGGGAGGGGAATGCCTTGTCACACGCGTTGAGGCGCTCAAAGCCGGTCGCGTGTCGCAGCTCCAAAGCAGCTCCTGCCTCAGTTGTGTTTTTTCACGGTTCGATAGCGTTCCATGCGTTCTCCCCCCCCCCCCCCAATGCTTGATTAGGAGTTTCTTTTTTCAGTTCTAGGGAGCTCTGAATTTTTCAGGGGAATGCAGGTAGCACCATCGCCGATTGCACCATCGGAGCCAATTACAGACTTGACCTCAGAGCGCTGGGCCCTTTCGGAGTCTCGCACACGCATTTCTCCAGACTTCTGAGACTTCGCTTCTGAAGGGGCGGGTGCGGTGGGTGAAGTGAAGTCTGGGCACAGCGCGGCCGTGTGTGGAGTGCCGTTCTCACATGTTGGCGAGGCAGCGCGGTGGCGTCGATCTGTAAGGATCTTGACTTTGCCGGCGCCTCACAATGTTTATCGTAAAAAGCAAGAGAACGATAAAGAGGACCAATGTGCTGCTCACCAGCCCCTGTGCCCCTTTGAGGTCACCGGGGAATGCGGAGATCTTGAACGGGATCCCACTTTGGCCTATGGAGCTGCCCGCTGCTCTGAGAGCTAAGCTGTAACGTCTGCTTGCGTGCCCCGCCTCGCATTTTGCACTTTGGACTCCATGTTGCTTTCCAAGGGCCTCCAAATATGTCCCCTGTGTTCTGCTGCCTCGGAACATGTCCGAAGTGCCTCTGCTTCAGGCGGCGCTGACCTTCAAGGAACGCCACCCCCCGCCCCACCCCGTTCTGTCTCTCTCTCTCTCTCGCTCTTTCTTTCCCTTTTCTTTCCTTCCGTCCCCTTTTGGCAGCCTTCTCTCCTTCTCTCTTTTCTTCCCCTCTCTGCACATCTTTTGCTGGCAGGATGTTAGCTTCGAGCTGCCCGCAGGCTCCCTGTGGCCGCATCTGCCATCTTTGGGATTCTGAGCGCTTCTTTCCCAGGGCAGGGCCTAATTCTGGCCCCCTGCTCTGGTCATTTCGAGCCTGGCACGTGTCTTGGCTGAGAAATGAACAATGATGCAGATAAAGAGAAGCGCCACGTACTCGCCGAGAGCTTCATGGGGCTGGTTTGCACGCGGGACCATCAGGGGAGGGACAAGGCCATGTTCTGTATGTGTCCAGTTGTGATCTCGATTCTGGAGCTGTTAGACAAGGAGCCGACAACCTGAATCATGGGAGCCTGAGGGCGCTTGGTCTGTGGACACGATGAGAAACTGAAACGAACGAGGGTCCACTTGTGATTCGCTGGGACCGAGGCTGGTGGCGCTGATGGGCTCGGACCCCGGAAGCCCCGACTGAAAACTGTGTGAGCTGACTTATTATCGTGCTTGTGATTTAATCTGAAGTCCTTTTCTCAGGTCTTATGAAGCTTGCTCATGTCAGGTCCGTCTGGCAGCGGAAAGACGACGCTGCTGGACATCCTGGCCTGCAAGAAGACCTCGCCATACACCGGGGATGCTCGGGGCGCCCAGGGGAGAGGTTTCCAGAGGTTCCCGAGGTTCGGATCCCGAGGTTCGGATCCCGAGGTTCCCGAGTTGTGGAAAAGCTCGGGTGATGCATCGCTTGCTTTGAGAAGCCAAATTTAGTGGCGTAGCTCTTTCAGCAATCGGTGGTCTCTCTTCTTCTCACGGAGAGTGAGTCTCAGTCAGTCTCTGGGAGAGGTCCATCTGAATGGCCGGCCCCGGGACGAGCTCTTCCGGCGCATCACCAGCTACGTGCCGCAGGAGAACACTGAGAGAAGCAGCCACCACGTGCGCCCAACCGCTGGGTGCCCACGGCATCCAAGCACCTGTCCACACCCCCTCCTCTCTGTCTCTACTCTCTCTCTCTAACTTTTCTTTCTCTTCTCGCTCTCTCCCTCTCTGTGTCTCTCTCTCTCTCTCTCCACTCTCTCTCTCTCTCTCTCCACTCTCTCCTTCACGCGCACATCTGCAAATTCCTCTCTTCGCTCTCTGTCTCTCTCTCTCTCTCTCTCTCTCTCGATCTCCAGGAGGACATCATGTTTCCCACGGTGACGGCCGGGCTTGCTCTTTTATCCCTCGGAGAGTGAGAGAGAGCACAGGGAAAAAGGAAGCGGATAAAGAAGACGCAGCGAAGAAAACTAACAGACGTGTGTGCACAAAAAAGGGTGTCTGTCAAGTGTAGACCCTCTTTCCTCCAGCTCTTCGGATTGTGAGGTGAAGGAGCAGCTCATGTTCCACACCGTCCTGAAGACCGAGGCCGGCGAAAGAGAAGGGAAAGAAGGAAGAGAAGGAGCGAAGAGAGCTCGGGGAGAGAGCTCTCGGGGAGAGAGCTCTCGGAGAGAGCGAAGGGGAAGAGAGGGCACGAAACGAAGAGCACACAGGAAGGGGGAAAGCCGAGGTCCCCTCGAAGGTTACCAGGGAAGACATGGCCAAGACCATCCAGCCCCTGGGCCACGTTCAAGACGTTCAAGAGATCTTCAGAGACCCGAAGAAAATCCGAAAGACCATTGAAGGCTGCAACTCCAAGCCGTGGGGTTGGAGGAGGCGCAACGAGGGCTGAGAAAACGGGGGGGGAGGGCACTCTTTGAGCGTGTGGCTTCGTCGTGGCTTCAGGGCCCGTTTCCTCGGGTGTGTCCTGAGCTTTGTGATGGTTTCCGGGCTCTGAGATGGAGTTGGGCGACTGCTTTCGCTCAGGAGTAGAGCCCGAAATGCCCAAATCCGGACAGCCAGCAAACGGGCCAGGAACCCGCTGTCAGTGGCTGTTCTTGACTGTTAGTATAGCGTAGGCCCGGGACTGCTTTGGGGCCGCGGTTGCAGGCAACCAACTTAATGAGCAAAAGCCCCCAAGCTGCCCTTGTTTGGTGGATCTGGGAGGTGCAGGACTCCTTGATCGGGAGCGACGTCGTGCGGGGCATCTCGGGTGGCCAGAGGCCTTTGGGGGGCAGGCATCCTTGGAGAAGGGGCCTCCTCTTGAAGCTTGCACGCTGCCCCCTCTCCCCCCCCCTTCCCCGTGCGGCCCAGTTCCTGGATGCGCATTCTCCTCCTCTTTGTTGTCCTTCTCAGCTCCGGCGCTTTCTAAATCAGTACACATCGCACAATGTGCCACGTCCTCTTGAGCTCTGCGCCGGTCCTCTTTGCCTCAGGCGGCGCGTGTCTCTCGCTTGCGGCCTCGCAACGGGTGCCTGGAACCTACGCTGCCTTCTGTTTTCAAGCACCGCTCTCTCCTTCGATAGACTGCTGTACTTGGGAGCGGCTTCCAGGCGCAGATCTTCTTTTGCGATGAGCCGACGTCGGGCTTCGCCGGCCTCTGTCATTTTGGGCGAGTCATAGCGAGTCATAGGCATGTCGGGTCATAGCGAATGGCGCGGCAGGTTTGAGTGCGACGGATGCTGAACAGTGTGTCAGGCTCGTGCCAGGGAACATTCTTGCCGTCTTGTAACGGAGCAGGCAGTTGGAAGTATGTGGGGCGCACATGGTGGCGCACCGGCAGGTACATGCGCCTGCTGTGCAAGAAATACGGTGTGAGCATCGTCGTGGCAATTCACCAGCCGCGGCAAGAGGTGGGGGACCGACAGAGCTGTGACAGCGCAAACTGCAAGAAGCACGCCCTGAACCCCAGAGAAACAGAGAGAGACCGAACTCCCCAAAACGGCTTAAAGAGTTCATTCAAGAATCACAGCCCAAGAGCGTCCAAGGTGGCGGTCCTCTTCGATCACCTCTTGCTGCTGACAAGTCCTGGAGATGTCGTTTACAACGGCAAGATGACGGAGGCTCAGCCGGGGGAAGCTAGGCAGCATCCCCTAAAGAGATGCCAAAAGAGGAGGATTTCGAAATGCCGGGGGGGGGGGAAGGGGGGGGGGCAGAGGGGGCAGAGCTCGGTTCTGCGACTTCCCCCCTCCAACGGCGCCACCTCCGCTTCGCGTTGATAACTCCCGCTGTGGGCTTCAAGAGTCCCCCACAACCGAGTACCCAACACCCTCTGCGTGCATCTTGAGAAAAAGTTGGAGGTGGAGTTTCGTGAGACGTGTCTGCGCGCCGCGCGCGCCCGCTCTCCTTGGCCAACTGAAAGCTTGATGTTGGAGTGCTACTGAGCCTACAGCACGCCAAAGTTGTGCGAAACCTCGAAGCATCCTGTAACCGAGAATTCTGGTGCGGCTCGGCAGAGGGCCAATGCACGTCATGCACGTCATCAGGGCTTCCAGATGCGGCTTTCGGCGAGAAGCCCTGGTCCTACACCGTCGAAGTCCAGTCTTGCATTCCTGGACAGTGAGGCGTCCTTCCGTCCCTTTGCAACCCTTCGAAAGCCTGCGAGGCGTTAAAGGCTCCACATTTGTGGTAAACTTTTGAAAGCATAAAGAATCGGGGGGGACCCTTTGAAGGCCCGGACTCATACCCACGACTTTATTCATCCCGGGCCGGGGGCCCATTTTGGGCCCAGGGGCTTTGTTTTCCTGTCGGTCCCCCAGAATTTGCACCCTCCAAATGAAATTTTCATGCTCGGAGTCAATGCTCACAGCATGCAGCTAGTTGGCGGCATCTATCTATGCTGTCTTGCATACCCTCAGCTGTACATCACACCATTCAAAAGGACAGCAGCAACCAGCTTAATGGCACATGGCTTCAAGCTGAGGGAAGAGCCTCATCTTCCATACCGAGTAGCCCTCCCTTGCCACCCTTCCTCCTTCCTCGCCCCTCCTGGTCAGGCGCGGCAATACTGGAGCGACGCGGGCTTCCCTGTGGGGCCCCCTTAGAGAAGCTTTTTCCAAAGCCTCAAATTGGCCAAAGCACACGCTGCAGCGACCGAAGCCAAAGGTTCCAGATTTGGTCTCGCCCACAGTGCCTTGGGCGAGCATTAGACGGAGGGATGGGTTGAATGTGGGGCTTCGCAAGACTTGACATGGAGCGGCTTCGCAGGACCAAAGAAAACGTGGTATTCAGTAAGCTGGAACCCCCAGTGCCAGAGCATGTCGTAGGACTACTTCCTGGACTTGGTCACACCGGGGACGTTGGACTCACAGGCGGCTGCAGCCATGCCAAAGCCATGCCAAAGCCATGCGAAAGCCATGCGAAAGCCATGCGAAAGCCATGCGAAAGCCATGCGAAGCCCACTTCGTGGCAAACCAACTTCTCGCGGAAAGGCTTCAGCAACAGTTGTCACGTTGTCACGTGCTGATTGTTTTCTGAGTCAGACTGAGTCAGGTGGAGCACTTTCGAGAATTCTATCGGGCCAATGCCAAGGGCAAGGCGAGGGTCGACGAATTAGCAGGAGCCCTGGAGAGAGGTGCTGGAATGTCTTGGCTTGCCTTTGCCTTGGCTTGCCTTCGCTTGTCTTCGCTTGTCCCGCTCTTGTACTTCAGGTTGAAAGGGAGTTGTGGAATCTCCACGAAAGGAAGACGGCCTTTCAGCTGTTGGAGGTTTGCGCACGGAGAGAGGCACATTCCACCACAGACATCCAAAGACCACACGATGCCAGGATAGACAAGAGCGGCTGCACAGCTGGCGCCAGTTGCATTCTGGCGGGGGGGCGGGTGCCCTCGAGTTTTGGGCATCGCATTGCATCGCTGGGCCTGTGACCGTGTTCATGTTGCTTCCGCCTTCGTGGCAAGGATGCCGTCGTGTCAGGTCAGGATGAGAGCCCTGAACGGCCCTAAGCTCTAAACCCACGTGGAACCTGTTGGGGAGGGCCCGGGGGGGGGGGGGGGGGGGGGGGGGGGGGGGGGGTTCGTTTGTGCCAGGTCGAAGTTTGGGGACCTGCCGCCGGTGAGGTACAGCAGCTACGGCGTCAGGCCTTTTTTACGCCGGCTATTTTGGGGTAAACAAGTGCGAAGGGTGGGGGGGGGGGGGGGGAAGGGCATTTCCTTGTCGTGCGCAGGTTCCGGAAGCAGCTGCAGAAGGTCTTTTGTCGGCAGGTGCGCCTCCTCCTCCGGGATCAGCCACGAGCTCAGCCTCTGCAATTGACCATTTAAGTCTTCTCAATGTGTCTTTGAATCTGCTGGGCTGCCGAGGCAGGGCGTGTTTACCGAGATTTTGGTGGCCATAGCGCAGGCTTTGGTTGTAGGCCCGTCGGAGAGATTCGGAGAGTTTCGGGAGAGCGGTGCAGCGGACGAGGGCAGCTTAAACCCTGGCAAGCGCTTGCTGAGGCGCAGCGTACATCGGCATTGGGAAGGGAGAAGATGCTGGATACCACCAGGCACCCACTGGCGCCGGTACATCCGGACCGAAAGTTGCAGAGGTGCTTCCATGTTAGGTCGGATTCTACTTCATGCTGGTGATGACCTGCGCCCTCTCCGGCATCAAGGATGGGCCACTGCAACGCACTGCAGCTCACTGCAGCTCACTGCGCAATCTGGGAGGTCATGCCGAAGGCGATTGCAGAGCGCACGGTCATGAAACTGGAGGTTTCGGAGGTGCTGTACAGCGTGCATTGCTCAGGATGCCTTTCATATCAGCAACACAGAAAAAGGCAGCGCGCAAGACATCCAATTCGGATATCAGAGCTCAGGACTGGGCATACATTATTGCTTTTACAAGCCTCAACCTCTTCTTATCATTGTTCTGCAATTGCATCTTCGTGACACTCGTCTTCGCTTTGTCCGAAGCTCAGAAGGGCAAGGGGTGGGGGGGCTACGGTGTGTGTGTGTGTGTGTGTGTGTGTGTGTGTGTGTGTGTGTGTGTGTGTGTGTGTGTGTGTGTGTGCGTGCGTGCGTGATACAGACATTCTTGATCCGTGGGAAATCTCACGCAGACTGAGGAGCGGGCTTGAGTGGACGGTGTACCCGATTGCCACCCGGTGCTGCAGAGGGTCAGACTTTGCTTGTTTTCGTGCCTAGTCACTAGTTTGTTTGTGCAGTCGGTAGTCTCTGTAGTCTCTGTAGTCTTTGTAGTCTCTGTAGTCTCTGTAGTCTTCTCTAGTCTTCTCTTCGTTGTGCGTCGTCCTGCTCCACTTTTTGGTACGCTTGCAAGTGAACCAACTTAAAGGGGGCCGTTGTCACCGTTGTCACGGAAGACCCAACCAAGAGCGCTTTAGAGCGTGTGACTCTGTGACTCCGCATCTCCGTGAGGTTCTGCTTTGGAACAGCATCATCTACATCTCGATGGACTGGGGGGGGGGGGGGCGTCTCTTTCCTAGAGGGCTCTTTACACAGACAAAAAGTGAGTGAGAGACTCTTCTTTTTTTGTGGGGGTAGAGTGGGGGTAGAGTGGGGGTAGAGTGGGGGGGAAGGGGGGTGGGGGTGGAGAGAGGGGGGAAGTGGGAGCAAGCAGGACAGCCTGTACTTGATGGTGGCGGCGGCGGCCCGGGACTCGAGCTCCGCGCAGATCCTCCTGGCGCCCTTCCTCACGCCCGGAAGCCGAGCTTGTTCCTTCGCTCTCTGCTCTATGCTCCTTCCTTCCCTTCCATCCCTCTTTCTCTTCTTCACTCTTCTTCTTCACTCTTCTTCTTCACTCTTCTTCTTCACTCTTCTTCTTCCCTTTTTGTTTGACATATGTCTGAGACATGTCTCTTCTGGAGGATGGCCATGCTCTTCAACGGCTTCACGGTCTCCCGCAAGTCCGTGCCGGAGTTCATGGCCCGGGGCCTCTCTAGTGGACCCCCACCCCCCTGAAGCTTTTTTTTGGGGGGGGGGGGGAAGAAGATCGAAGATCTACGGAAGATCTGAACACTTCAAGCTGGGCCCCCCCTGCTTGAGCCGAGGCCTGGGCTCTGGAGCTGTCTCCTGTGGCTCACGCCATGGAGGAGATGGTCCTCGCCATCCAGAAGGGGCTCGACAGCCGGGCATCCCGATGCTTTTCACACGCTTATGCATTCACAGCATTCCACCACACTGCTCACTACTCTCTGACTCCCACTTCTGCTCCTCTTTACGAGAGGGTCCCCCTTGCTGCTCCACCTTTTTTCTCCATCCCAGGTGCGGAGTTGAAGCTCGTGGCTCGAGCCTCAGCAGACGCCCTGCCCCCATTTGCACGAGACCTCACCTCACCTTTCTCGTGTGAGGAGACACTCTTCGGCTTCGAGAGCCACCTGGGCAGATCCCTAGGTCGGACTGTTGAACACTCTCATCTCTCTCATCTATCTCTCATCTATCTCTCATCTATCTCTCATCTATCTCTCATCTATCTCTCATCTATCTCTCACTATCTCTCATCTCTCTATCTCTCATCTCTCTATCTCTCATCTCTCTCTCGCGATCTCTACAGGAGACACGAGCGCTGGTCTTTGTTCGTCTTGTCCTGTCGCGAGGCGTCCTTTTGGGATGGTTCCTTGTCTTCAGGATCGCTCAGATCATTTGCCCCTCGGAGAAACGCCTGTGAGAAGACTAGGCTTGGCTCAGATGGGCCCATCGCCGTTTCCGATTTCCGAGGCTTAAAAACGATGCACCACATCAAGCGTGGCGGCCCCACAGTGACAGAGCTTCTCAGAGAGGTGGTTTTTAGGTGCTGCGTGGTCATGCCGTCTTTGCTGTTCTTTTGGGCCCAGATGCTGAGGCTGAGAGTCCGACTTGACATGACTTGACTACTTTTCCGCTGTTCCAATCAGCTCCGTTGCACCTCCGCTATATTCTGTGAGAGCACGGAGACGCATGCAACAATTCTTTGACTGCATGACTAAGGGCTGCAAAGCTATGCCCGCACAGCGCAGAATTGGTTCTTGAGTCTTCAAGAGCTCTGTTTCGAACCTAACAATACAGGCTCTTTTGACCTCTGGGACGGATGTGAGAAGTCCTGCGATTGCACAGTGGGTCACCAGCTACAGGTTGAATGATGGGCATCCCTACTTTTGTCTACTTGTTCCATATTGCAGATGGCACAGGGTCCTCGTCAGGCTCATAAAGTCACCGACATGACCACACCATATTAGGTGTTGTCGCCCCTTGCAGTGTGTTCGTGTATTTTTGTGCGTGTGTTCGTGTGTGTGTTCGTGTTCGTGTGTGTGTGTGTGTGTAGCTGGCGCGTAGCTGGTGGACTCGAGCTGCTTTTCTCTCAACAGCTTTGTACATGGCGCCCAATTCTGCAAAGCTTTGCGTTGGAAAGCCTCGCGCGCGCGCGTGGGGGAGAAAATATGAAGTGCCTGTGACAATGGTGGTGGCAGGGGTGCCTGTTGGAGCAGTTGAGATGTGGGGCAATGGGGGAGATGTTGGACGCATCTGACAGTACGTTGATAGCATTGCAACAGGTGGACCCAAAGCGGGCCTTTGTTGCTGAGATGGCCTGCGCCATGCCTTGTAAGAGATAGGGTCAGATAGGGTGAGCGCAGGTTTTTTTGGTCACAGGGGACTTCATTCGAACATGCGCGCCGAACCGACTCGATCATCTGCAGCACAGACCACATCGAGCAGATGTTCTAGAGAAGCCATCAGAAACTTGAACTCTAAATTTAAACTTAAGCCCCCCCAAAACGGTACAAAACGTTGAGAGATCAGACAGACTCTCGGATTTCGCATGGCAGCCTCGAGCCTAGGGAGCCTTAGCGGTGTGGAACATCTAAGTCAGCTCCTCTCCCATGGGCAGAATGCCCCAACACCATCCCTCTCAACTCCGGCAACCCTTACAAGCCCTAGAATGGCACCCACTTCTGAGTACTTAAATTTGCTTGGACACCACCGGTACGGGCCGCAGCTTCGCAACGTGCAGTGTGCTTGGCGGAGGCAGCGGGTATCTCAGTTAGGTGTGAGAGCCTCTGAGAAGTCCGAAACGTCGTGGTCGAGGTTGCGCCGTTGTGTTTCTGTTTTCTGAAGGGACGGCTCTATGGCATGGCAGCATGTCAGACGAAGATTCAAACTCAGCCGGAACCTGAGGTGCCAGAAAGATGCTGCGCAGACCCAAGTTTCCACAGGTTGTTCACAGTCTTCCACTTGTCTTCCACGTGTCTTCTTGAGTCTTTTCCTTGCGCTTGTTAGGTCCGCTTGCTAGGCTGATGCTGTCCTCCTCGCATCTCGAGGCCGACAACCAACCAGCAAGCGGCCAACATGGCCAACATGGGCCCGGACTGGGAGCCTGGGAAGTGCTCGGAATGTGCACGCCCAAGTCCGAAAACGTCCTAAATTATGAGAATGAGCTGTTCAGGACGTCTTCTTCAAGTCTGCAGATATGTGGTACAGGCATCGGCCATGGTGAAGTCGAAGTAAGATTCAAAGTGCCACGAGTTTCTTTCTCGCGCTGACACTGCAGATCCTTTCGAAACTCCACGATCTACGGACAACTCCGAATCATCGCGGCGCCCCGGCTGCTTGTGGCTGCTTACGGCTGCTTTCTTTTTCACACTGTTGCCAACTACTTGGAAACAAATTTTAACACAAATTTTAACACAGTCCAACGCAGTGTCAGAGGTGGTGGCATCCACTGTGACAGCAGGGTTTGCCTCAGTGGCTTGTGCGGTCTGCCCCAGGCCATTTGCTTTGGCTTCGTGGTCCTCTTCTTCCTGCTGGGGGGTGGAGGCTCAGCCGCGCGGACTCTTCTTTCCTACCCCACATAGCAACGGTCGTCGAGCAGGCCCGGCGACGGGCGTGCACTCGGAGCACCGGGAGGCCTCTTCAGAAGCGAGACGGGACACAAAGAGACACTCTTCCTCCCCCTCTTCCCGCTCTTCCCGTTCTTCCCCCCTCTTCTACCATCTTTGCTTCTCTTCAGCTCTTCTCCTCCCCACGTCTCCTTGCAGGGGGAGGACCGCGCATCGGAGGGTCTGATGGAGGCGGACCGAACAGAAGCGGTGTCTCAAACGCTCAGGGGGAAGTTTGAGAAAGCAGCAGAGGGATCCGTTGATCAGGGCCAAAACAGAAGCCTTGGGGCCATCCCCGGAGGCCACGGAGATCCTGCAGTCGCGCAATCCTCCCATGGTCTCTGCTCCGCTGCCCGCCATGCTGTGCCCAACCCCTTTTCAAACCCCCTCTCACCCCCCCCCTCAAAGTGTTTTTTTCATGGAAGGGGATGCCACACTTCTTTCGTGTTCTGCGGTAGAGGTACGTGGTGGCTTTAGTGGCCCTGGGCGGCTTGGCCTTTGCTGCCTGGCTGGCAGCTTGGGTCCTGGGCAAGGACCGCAATGCAGGGGGAGGGGTGTTTTGGGGGCCCCGGCGTGCATGGAATGCAGGGTTTTGATTTTTTTAAAATGTCTTTTCGCATCTCGTTCCCAAAGAAGGAAATCTCTCCAAATTTGATCGAAAACAGGACGAGGGCGACGAGAAGATGAGGCAAGTCTCCGATGCCGGGGAAGCCCAGCCTTGTCACTTTCAACCTCTTCAAACTCTTACGAGAAGAGCTTTGCTTTTTTTGCTGTGCCTTGCGTTTTCGCTTTTCTTTGGCGCCTCTTCTGAGGCCATCCGGGAAGGGGCCGCCGGGTTTCTCTCCACGCAGACCGGCGCTCAGGGCCAAAATCGGAATCAGAACTCCTTAAAGAGAGGAAGGGGCGGGGGGGTGGGGGGGATGTGTTCAAGTCTGCCCCTGTCAGAGTTAGTGAGGGACGTAAAGAGACGCAGATCATGTTGGCATTGTTGAGTGGTGACTTTGCGCGGTCTTTCGCGCCGCCATTCTGAGGTACGCGAGCATCTTCAAGCTCGCGGTGGTGGCGCCCCGCTCTAAACGTAAAGGGAGAGCGGACCCCCAAAAGCCTTTGAATGAAGAGGAGGAGGTGAGGGCGCTCGGAGGGGAGCTTCGGGGAGTTCATGCGTCCTTAGGAGACATGCGGGAAAGGGGATTTGTCCGTTGTTCTAAACCCCCGCCTCTTCGTGTTTAATTGGGCCGGCCACACGTGCGTAGCCTTCGTGTAGCTATGGCGCCAAAAACCAGCACGGCGCAAGGGGGCGCAAGGGCGAGCGCAAGGGCCAGGAGCCCAAAACTCTAAGATCAGGCTAGTGTGCAGGGTCAGGGTTCTGCAAGTTTAGTTGTTAGGGTTAGAGGTTCGGTTAGGATTTAGGGGTTGAGGGCTTAGGGGCTAGGGTCTGGGGGGCTTAGGGATGTGTTCAGGGTTAGAGGTTAGTGGGTCTAGAGTCTAGAGTTTAGTTTGTCAGCGGGACTCGCGTCGCAAGGGTGGCGCAAGGGACGCGCAAGGCTGGCGCAAGACCGCATGGCCGATGTGGAGCCATGGGCCCTGACACAATAAAACTGGTTTGCACATGTCATGAAACATCGATTCCGGTGCCAAGCCTGTACTTCAAAACAGCGACAATCCAGCCGCATTACGGAATCATCGGAATCATCGCTTCCAGTACTGAGCTCGAACTACGAAACAGTGACAATCCAGCCAGCTTATGGAAACATCGTTTCTAGTACATAGTACAAACCCCCAGAAAACCTTGTCGGTACCACGTTTTGTAGTTGGCATGTTTGCCGACGTGGCCGAACGCTAGCACGGCGCAAGGCGGCGCAAGGGCGAGGCGCAAGGGAACCCTACGGCCTTAGGCGTGGCATAAGAATTTAGAACAACATCCATTTAGCTTTGCACGGCATGCTAGTCCCTTGCCCTCCTTTTTCAGTGCTCCCCCCTACGAAGTGGTGTCTCAGGTGCTGGTGGGCATCTTCCTGATGTACCTCCTCAGGGAGCCGCCCAAAAACTTGCCGCAGGCGCACGGACGTCTCGAAGAATCCTGCGGAATCCTGCGATGAGAAGTTCAGAGAGAGCGCAAGAAGCGCGCAGTCCGAAGCTTGTACGGATCGGCGGTGGACGGCCACTATGTGGGTTTGCGGTATGTGGTGCAACAGATGGTGCGGTATGTCAGATGGCTGTTATATATTCTGTGCTGAGTTCGAGAGAGGGGACTCCAGAAACGAAGATGTGAGCGGAAAGGATGAGCGACAGGGTGTTTCCTTCTTTTTCGTTGTGGTGTTTTCGTTTGTTGTGTTGTTGGTCTTGTTGTGCTGTGTTGTGCTCCTGAGTCGCTCTCTTTGCGTGTGATTTTGTTTTGAGCTCGGAGGTGGCCTCCTCGAGGCTGGCGCTCTGCGTGGCCGTGTCCTTCGCCACCGGCTGCATCCTCTCAGGTGCAGCAGAGAATGGAAGAGCGAACATGCGGAGAGAGTTGCAAACATGCGGGGAGATACCAAAACAAAACGGGAACAGAACAAAACTGGAAAAGAACAGAACAGAACAGAGGAGCGAGTACATACAGCTATAGTGCGGCACATTCGGCACATGGGCGAAGAAGGGTTTTTCGTGAGGGCACCGAAGGTTTTTGTGGCGCCCTGTCGAGGCGTGGCCGGCTACGTAGGGATGTGGGTGGCCGTGCGATCCAACGTCCGCGTGGCCTCGGCGGCCTGCCGCTCCTTTCAGGAGGAGCGGGGGAGAGAAGCGCAATTTCACAGAGTACTTAGATGTGCTTCGTACTTGTGGACTATAATATTTAATAGCGCCGCTCTTGTGCTGGACAGTCTGTGAAAGACTCATTCGTGAGAGCCAGCGAGGGCCAGTGGACATGCGAGTCGAGTGCAGCAAAAGTGCGAGAGAGGCGATCGACGTCGGCCTTCGCGCCGGCGCGTTTAGCGGAGTTCTTGTCGTTTCGATGGCACGCGCCTCAGATCTCAGTCCAGAAGGTCTGGCTGCTCAGCAAGCCAGCCTTTACAGCATTGCGCATTGCGCGCGTTGAGGTGCTGTTGGGCATCATCGCGCTCTTGTTTGGAGTGCGGCTGGTGGTGCCCACGACACACACGGCAAGTTGCGTGCTTCTGTGGCGGGCGTTGAGCGTGTAGTGCAGGTACCCGCAGCGTTGCACCAGTTGCCATTCCTTCTCGTTGGATATGGCTTTGGGGCCTCCTTCGCCCCTCGACCCTTTGAGCGGGACTTGTACTAAAAAGCATGCCGTCCTGCCCCTTTTTTTTCCGTATGTCAGGGCATGCGTGAACCACAGGGATTTCTAGATTCCCAGGTGCACCTAAAGAAAAGTACCAAAAAATATGCTAGTTCGTTCATTCACTTGTACTATTATTTTCTCGCTCGGTGTTATTATTTTACTATTGGTGAAGAAAGACAATTAACGAACACAAGAATATTGCAAATGAAAGCAATAACGCGGGCATATTATAATTTAAGTTCATAGTTCGTGCACTCGTTCTCACATTATAATCTACTTCCCGTCCGTTCAACCGCTCACATACTTGTAACACACTTCACGCGTCTAGAACTTGGGGGAATTCAGCAATTCAGCCCGTTTTGCAACGCTGTTCATCATGCACTTGATGCACGTGTACGAAGTAAAGATGCACGAAAGTTCGTCGCATAGTTTAAAAAGCGACATGTGCTTATCAAATTGTAAGTCTCTATAGACCTGTTTATATGTACCTCCATTAATGGAATCATTACAGCAATCGAAGTAATGGTCTCACACATCCCCCAACTGCTGGTGCCAAGCGGAGTCACCAGCACCCTTTTTGGCAACGCCAAACGTGGCGAATGGCAGTAATAGCGGTTTCCGGTGAAGCAGTGGGTGCGTTTTGCTTAGGTCTTCCGCAACTAAATGACAGCCTGTTGGTGTAAACGGAACGACCTTTCAAGGCTTTGCCCTGGCTTGGCTTTCGCAGAGCTTTGGCCGACCATTGCAGGACAAAGAAGGGCAACCCCAAGGGAAAAGCAGCCTCCCTGGACGGAATCATCGTTCGCCTGTGCGCTGCTGCCTTCGAGTGCACTAGCAACATGGATGCTACCATCCAATATGCATGGATGCTCTGACATGCTCAGACCACATTCGCACGCAGTGGCATCGTGGACGGTAGAGGAGGAGGAGGAGTAGTAGTAGTAGTAGTAGTAGCAGCTCGTCCGCCTCCTCCGCCTCCTCCGCCTCCTCCTCTCCGCCTCCTCCTCCTCCTTCTCCTCCTCCTCCTCCTCCCACCGCCACCACGACGACGACGACTACGGCGACGACTACGGCGACGACTACGGCGACGACTACTACGACAACTACAACTGCAACTACAGCTACTGTAGCTGCAACGGGACGCCCGGACTCCACCAGCTCGGAGCTGCCCTGACCAGCTAGCTCGCGCCAGACTTGGGCTGCTCCTGCAGCTCTGACCAAATAGCTCGCACCAAGTCAATTGCGCGGGTTAACCTCGGGAGTCAGTTGGTTACGCTGTTAAGGAAATTGAGATGTTGATTTTTTTGTCGGAGAAGGCCTGTTAGGTAAAACTGTGGGCAGGTTCTGGAGCCACGATTACGTTACCAGCACAGGTTGTTGTTTCCCTAAAAGAGGGGCACAATTCCCCTCCTGTTGTGCGAAAAGACCGTGTCAAGACATGTAAACATCTCAATTTACTTAAACCAACACATGTTGTGCGAAAAGACCGTGTCAAAATATCACCCTCGTTTTGTGCGAAAGGACCGTGTCAGAAACTGTCAGCAAATTTTCACACCTTCACCAATCAAAAGTTGCTCCTGTGCTGCACCGGCTGTTTTGACCATGGAAGCAGCCCTCAACTTTAAAAAGAAAAGCCCCAGCAGGTATCGCCGTTGCCCTTGTTCGCAACATTGTGTTTTCCACCTTTTTTTCCATGATGGTGGCCATTGTAACGACCTCCTGAGTGTCATCAGTAAGCCTTAAACCCGAAACTCCTAAACCCTCAGCGCCTACCCCATTTGTCATTACCCGGAGTTCTGTTGCCCCTGGACCCAAGAGGGGCATCTTGGCCGAATCCGGGTTTCAAGTTGGACCCAAGAAAGGCATCTTGGCCGAATCCAGGTTTCAAGTTGGACCCAAGAAAGGCATCTTGGCCGAATCCAGGTTTCAAGTTGGGCCCAAGAGGGGCAAGAGTGGCATCTTGGCCGAATCCAGGTTTCAAGTTGGACCCAAGAGTGGCATCTTGGCCGAATCCAGGTTTCAAGTTGGGCCCAAGAGGGGCATCTTGGCCGAATCCGGGTTTCAAGTTGGGCCCAAGAAAGGCATCTTGGCCGAATCCAGGTTTCAAGTTGGGCCGAATCCGGGTTTCAAGTTGGGCCCAAGAGGCCGAATCCGGGTTTCAAGTTGGGCCCAAGAAAGTCATCTTGGCCGAATCCAGGTTTCAAGCTGGACCCAACAAAGGCATCTTGGCCGAATCCAGGTTTCAAGTTGGGCCCAAGAGGGGCATCTTGGCCGAATCCGGGTTTCAAGTTGGGCCCAAGAGGGGCATCTTGGCCGAATCCAGGTTTGAAGTTGGGTCCAGGTTTCTAGTTGGGCCCAAGAGGGGCATCTTGGCCGAATCCGGGTTTCAAGTTGGGCCCAAGAGGGGCATCTTGGCCGAATCCAGGTTTCAAGTTGGGCCCAAGAGGGGCATCTTGGCCGAATCCGGGTTTCAGTTGGGCAAGAGGGGCATCTTTGCCGAACTCAGGTTTCAAGTTGGGCCCAAGAAAGGCATCTTGGCCGAATCCAGGTTTCAAGCTGAGCCCAAGAGGGGCATCTTGGCCGGGTCCGGGTTTCAAGTTGGACCCAAGAGTGGCATCTTGGCCGAATCCAGGTTTCAAGTTGGGCCCAACAGGGGCATCTTGGGTGAATCCGGGTTTCAAGTTGGGCCCAAGAGGGGCATCTTGGCCGAATCCAGGTTTCAAGTTGGGCCCAAGAGTGGCATCTTGGCCGAATCCAGGTTTCAAGTTGGGCCCAAGAAAGGATGTTGGCCGAAACCGGGTTTCAAGTTGGGCCCAAGAGGGCATCTTGGCCGAATCCAGGTTTCAAGTTGGGCCCAAGAAAGGAATCTTGGCCGACTCCGGGTTTCAAGTTGGGCTCAAGAGGGGAATCCGTCAAGTTGGGCCCAAGAGGGGCATCTTGGCCGAATCCGGGTTTCAAGTTGGGCCCAAGAGGGGCATCTTGGCCGAATCCAGGTTTCCAGTTGGGGCATCTTGGCCGTCCAGGTTTCAAGTTGGGCCCAAGAGGGGCATCTTGGCCGAATCCGGGTTTCAAGTTGGGCCTAAGAGGGGCATCTTGGCCGAATCCAGGTTTCAAGTTGGGCCCAAGAGGGGCATCTTGGCCGAATCCAGGTTTCAAGTTGGGCCCAAGAGGGGCGTCTTGGCCGAAGCCAGGTTTCAAGTTGGGCCAAGAGGGGCATCTTGGCCGAAGCCAGGTTTCAAGTTGGGCCCAACAGGGGCATCTTGGCCGAATCCAGGTTTCACGTTGGGCCAACAGGGGCACCTTGGCCGAATCCAGGTTTCAAGTTGGGCCCAAGAGTGGCATCTTGGCCGAATCCAGGTTTCAAGTTGGGCCCAAGAGGGCCATCTTGGCCGAATCCGGGTTTCAAGTTGGGCCCAAGAGTGGCATCTTGGCCGAATCCAGGTTTCAAGTTAGGCCCAAGAAAGGCATCTTGGCCGAATCCAGGTTTCAAGTTGCGAATCCGGGTTTCAAGTTGGGCCCAAGAGGGGCATTCGGGTTTCAAGTTGGGCCCAAGAGGGGCATCTTGGCCGAATGCAGGTTTCAAGTTGGGCTCAAGAAAGGCATCTTGGCCGAATCCAGGTTTCAAGTTGGGCCCAAGAGGGGCATCTTGGCGGAAACCAGGTTTCAAGCATCTTGGCCGAATCCAGGTTTCAAGTAGGGCCCAAGAAAGGCATCCTGGCCGAATCCGGGTTTCAAGTTGGGCCCAAGAGGGGCATCTTGGCCGAATCCAGGTTTCAAGTTGGCCGAATCCGGGTTTCAAGTTCGGCCCAAGAGGGGCATCTTGGCCGAATGCAGGTTTCAAGTTGGGCCCAAGAGGGGCATCTTGGCCGAATCCAGGTTTCAAGTTGGGCCCAAGAAAGGCATCTTGGCCGAAGGGCCCAAGAGATACATCTTGGCCGAATCCAGGTTTCAAGTTGGGCCCAAGAGGGGCATCTTGGCCGAATCCAGGTTTCAAGCTGGGCGTAAGAGGGGCATCTTGGCCGAATCCAGGTTTCAAGTTGGGCCCAAGAGGGGCATCTTGGCCGAACCCAGGTTTCAAGTTGGGCCAGGGGCATCTTGGCCGAATCCAGGTTTCAAGTTGGGCCCAAGAGGGGCATCTTGGCCGAATCCGGGTTTCAAGTTAGGCCCAAGAGGGGCATCTTGGCCGAATCGGGCCCAAGAGGGGCATCTTGGCCGAATCCAGGCCCCCAAGAAAGGCATCTTGGCCGAGTCCAGGTTTCAAGTTGGGCCAAAGAGGGGCACCAGGCTTCAAGTTGGGCCCATCAGGCGAATCTTGGCCGAATCCGGGTTTCAATTTGGGCCCAAAAGGGGCATCTTGGCCGAATCCAGGGTTCAAGTTGGGCCCAAGAGGGGCATCTTGGCCGCATCCGGGTTTCAAGCTGGGCCCAAGAGGGGCATCTTGGCCGAATCGGGCCCCAAGTTGGGTTTAAGAAGGGCATCTTGGCCGAATCCGGGTTTCAACTTGGACCCAAGAAAGGCATCTTGGCCGAGTCCAGGTTTCAAGTTGGTCCCAAGAGGGGCACCAGGCTTCAAGTTGGGCCCATCAAGGGGAATCTTGGCCGAATCCGGGTTTCAATTTGGGCATCTTGGCCGAAGCCAGGTTTCAAGTTGGGCCAAGAGGGGCATCTTGGCCGAAGCCAGGTTTCAAGTTGGGCCCAACAGGGGCATCTTGGCCGTGTCCAGGTTTCAAGTTGGGCCCAAGAGGGGCGTCTTGGCCGAATCCAGGTTTCAAGTTGGGCCCAAGAGGGGCATCTTGGCCGAATCCAGGTTTCAAGTTGGGCCCAACAGGAGCAGTCTTGGCCGAATCCAGGTTTCAAGTTGGGCCCAAGAGGGGCATCTTGGCCGAATCCAGGTTTCAAGTTGGGCCCAAGAAAGGCGTCTTGGCCGAATCCGGGTTTCAAGAGGGGCATCTTGGCCGAATCCAGGTT